CTTATATGCAATAAGTTAGTAATGATGTCTCTCAGAAACACTATTTAAGGCTAATATTGTTTATGTTTTAAAGTTGGTACACCAAGAAATTCTTACACTGAAGGCTGAAGCAAAAGGAAACAGTGAATGTTCGAAGGTCTAAATCATCAGATAGTAGTTCTTTAAATCATATTTCAGTTGCAGTTAAGATGAATCATTATAATATAGTGTTGTCTGAATGGTTTGGTCAGAGACCATATACCGAGGGACAGGCCTCAGGGCTAATTAGTAACTGATCACCGCCGCGCGAAACAAAGCGATGATTATCGCATGACTGTGCGAGATCTGCGAGATTTGAAGGCTCACGTGCGAGTGTATACGGACTTGATTTCATTCATCTATTTCATCCACGGTAAGTTATGTTACTTTTCCTGATTTTGTAAAGGACGACAATCATATATCAGTAATCTGTCAAACTTTATGTTGCTGATAATATCTTCTAAGGGACACTGAATCACGCACTGTCCCGATGCTCTTCATTGTACACATAGAAAATGGCGGCCCCCTCGAAATCTGGAAAATAGTCATTTTCCTAATGCATATAAGTCTAGTGAAATGTAGTGTATTAAAAGATATGTGATTCGTCTCAGTAGCTGTATAATTTTTTTCGTAGTGTGTTTTGGTACTGTGTCAAAAACGGCAATCACAATACATCAGTAATTGCAATTCTGTCATTTCATCATGCTGATCTCTTCATTGTGCTACATATTATGGTACACTTATTTCAGTAATTAATTGCTACCAGAAGATTTCACTTTAATTTATGCATTGAGCGCTATTTTGTGCATGTAATATGATAAAATATCATATTTTTCAATCTAACATTTGATTTTTTACGATGTTTTGAAAACCACGATAAATCAGAGCAGTAGCCAAACACGATGTTGAACGCCAGTTAGCAAAGTTCTTATGCCTAGAGTAACGCAATAATTTAAAATATCTGACGGAAATATAGTGTATATTTATTTTGTTTTATAATGTAATTTTCGTGCTTTTTCTCCTCTGTCACATCTTGTAGATCAGATGTTTTATAAACTCAATATTTCACTGTCCTTCTGGATAAAGCCAAACCCACTTACCATTCTATGGTTACTTCAGATAATTTTGCAATATGGACATTCAAATATTTGCTCAGAATTACAAGTGCATATTTGTCTTTTTTTCATTTGATTTTTTTATTATCCAGATGCCACGTTACAAAAAAGGGTGCATTAGAAGGCGATTTAAGCATTCTGGCAAGAAGTCTACAAGCCAAGATCAGCAGTCAACCATAAAGGATGAAACTGACACAACATGTCGGCCAAAAGAATTAAATGACAACATGTAAGTACTATGCGACTATCATATAAGTAATATTGTGTATTGTAAATGAATGCGTGAGTAAATGAACCCTGGCCTCAAGAGCATCATGAAAATAATGCTATAAGACCTGTTTGTGAACTCCGATCATGTAAAACTCATCAATTATTTGGACCCAAAATGTAGCCTTGTAACAAATACTGTATAAAGAAAATAATAAACTGTCATTAAATGGATAACCCATGACTGTAGACTTAATATTTCATGATACTGTATGGCAGAGAGCATATATATTGATGATAGTAAATGAGCAATAGTATGTATTCACCATCAACATCAACACTGTGCTGGATACTTTCACATTGTAGGTGGGCAGTGTTTGTATTGTGATTCTAATATTCTATTACAAGATTATGACAAGCTTGGTACATGGTTGCTAACTGTAACAACTGCGTAATTAACTTGTGTAAACAAGTTGACAACACTTAACGCAGGATGTGTGTTTGAAGTAGTGTCTAAATCTAGCACACACTTACATTGTTTATTGAGAGCTTTGTTAATTTTATGCCATTGTTTCTGCCCATGTGCACATGGTTCAGTGAATCTAACATGACAACAATCTTCATTCTGTCCATTAACAATAAACTTTGCTTATTGCTGGCAAGGCGATTCGCTGTGCAGAGTTGCGTCCCTTGGACACGCCAGAAACCTATGATTGTGGGTTCGAATCCCGGTTCGCCCCAATTATGTTTGTAGGTTTGTCAGCACCATACCCGTGCTCGTGGGTTTCACCGAAGTGGTAAACGTCTGAGACCTGCATCACTTCGGGCTTTCCTCCCACATTAAGCTGACACGCCGCGATATAACTGGAATATTGTTAAAAGCGGCGTTAAACCCGACACACTCACTCACTATTGCTGGCAAGAGTCACTCTAATGTGTCTCATTAATTTAATAGTTTATAGTATTTATTAAACATGAACTGTATAGTGTTGAAGAGACAAAAAATCAACGTGTACTGTCACTTTAGTTTTTGAAGACATATCTGTATATTTTCTTCCAGTGTAAGACAACTGCAGTGGGCTGTGGCTTGGGCAGCATTTTACATCGGCCCAGCTGAGTATCATCAAGAGCCAGAAGCGAGAGAACCCCACAGTCATAATGGATTCAAGGATTGACAACTGTTGGGCTGATGAGTTTTATGTTCTTGTGGGCGAGATGCACCAGTACAGTCCTGAAGACAATCTTGATGACGTTGTCAGGGGAATTCTTCATCATAGAAGGTACAAACAGTACTCATGTTTGAAAAAGACTTTGCTTGAGGGGTGTCACCAACTTAGAGACTTTACAGTCGTTCAAACAAAGGAGGATGCAATTAACCTGGTCCAAGTCTATGATGGTTCACAGTTAGCTGTGAAACTGTCAGTGTCAGTAACACCATCCCTACTTGCATCTGTCTCAGTCCACAGACAGTACATCGGACATGACAATGATTTTTGGATAGGCTTGCCTCATTTCTTTTCGACCCTCACAGATGTCAAGAAACTTTTATCAAAGTTGTCCTCTTACAATGTCTGCCTCGGAAATTACGAAGACAAATTTAGCCATCTGGTCCCAATAGGTGTTGGGTTGAGTCAGGCTGTTACTTCTGGCATCTCAGCCTACAGAGAAGGTGACTTTGGAATAAACACCAATGGCATTGAAATCAGATCAACCATCCGGTCAACAAGTTGTTCCCTGTTGGTATTTGGGAAAGGGAGATTTAGACATTGTTGTAGGTATCGGTCTACCCTGAGGAAACATCTGTCCAGGGATAGTTTATCTCCTAAACCATGTGAGCCACAGCCTCTTAAACTGTCTCATAAGACACATAAACACATGACAAAATTAGAACTTGTGCACAAATTTCAAACTATTAAAAGTCATAATCAGTCACTTCAGAGCGAGTTAGATCAACTGAAAAGGAAAGTGTCTGATATGATTAGAAGCAAAGGACTCATGCTAAATGACACTTGTGATGCAGACTTAAGAGACATGCTCGAAGAGTACAGTTCTGAGATACAGAAAAGCTATCCTGATGAACATTCTCTGCAAAGATTATTCTGGGAACAGCAAGTGAAGTATGCCAAGTTAAATGACAAACGGTCGATGAGATGGCATCCTATGGTCATTAAATGGTGTCTATATTTGCGGAGCAAAAGCAGAAAAGCCTATGATGCTGCATGGAATACAGGTTTCAAAAAGTTGCCAAGCAGGAGAACTCTCTTCGACTATTCTCATTCTTTGCCCAGCATTCTTGGATTCCATCCTCAGTATGCTAAGCACCTGATGACTGAAGCCAAGTCTTTAGGCATGCTGGAAAATGATGCCAAATCCTTTGTTGGTATATTGCAGGACGAAGTTAAGGTATCCGAAGGACTCATTTATGACAGGTCATCGGGTGAATTGGTTTGCTATGTGGACCTTGATCAAACGGGCAATGAACTTCTACGATTAGAAGAATTATTAAAGGACACACGACCTCAGTTGGCCCGTACAATGCTTGTCATTATGATTTTTGGGATTGTAGCAGACTTCAGGTATCCTTATGCCGCTTTTGCCACAAGAAATATTGAATCGGCATATCTATACTCCATATTGTGGGAAACTGTTTTGACCTTGGAAAACACTGGATTAAAGCCTATCTTCATCACATGTGATGGTGCTACCCCCAATAGAAAACTTTTCAATTTTCATCTTGTGCCACAATTGGGTAATACCTACTGAACATGGAATCCATATTCATTTCCAAAGAGGAAGTTATATTTTATTTCTGATGTGCCCCATCTGCTCAAAACAACAAGGAATTGTTTTGCCAACTCAGGCTCTCACAAGATGTCCAGAATGTTATGGAAAGATAACCATACAATAAGTTGGCTCCATATTGTGAGATTGTATGAAGAATTTGTTGAGAACTCTCTCTATTGTAAAACATACAAACTTACAAGGGACCACATTGATTTGACATCCTTTTCAACAATGAAAGTTCACCTAGCTGCAGAGGTTTTCAGTTCAACTGTAGCTAATGCTCTTGAGGAACAGTACGGAGACGAGGTGACAGAAACAGTTAAATTCTTAAGACATATGGACAAATTTTGACTGTCTAAATACAAGAAGCATAACAGAAGGAATCCTATCCAGAAATCAAAACAAGAAGGAGTACCGGGATATTAGTGATCCTCATTTGGATTATTTATTGAATGATTTCTTGAACTTTTTTAAATCATGGGAGGAGAGTGTCATGAGGCGTCCAGGTGACATTTCATTAGAGCAAAGGAGACGTATGATGCTCAGTCATCAGACATTGAAAGGACTACAAATATCTGTTCATTCAATAGTAGAATGTGTGAGGTTCTTGTTGACTAATGGTGCTGAATATGTGTTGACTCATAGATTTAATCAGGACCCACTTGAGGAGCAGTTTGGACAATATAGACAAAAGGGAGGTGCAAATGACAACCCATCAGTGTATGCCATAAAGCACATGTTTTCAGGGATGAAAGTTATAGGTTCATCTGCCCTTCAACCTATAAGAGGCAATATCTCTCAGAAGAGAGGTGCAGCAGTAGCCAGGGTAACTGTTGATGATTCACCTATGTCAAGAAAGAAACAAAAGCGTTTGAATTAAAACAATAACATGTCTTTATTTGTTCACTTCTATTTTAGTTTCCGGATTCCTTCAACGCACCCCTGAGAGATCGGCTCCTTTTAATGCCCTTGTGTTTCCTGCCACCCTTCATTTCCTTCTGTAGCTGACGTCTAGAGTATTTAGCAACAGCTCCCCCACGTACACGTAGGAACAAGTTCACAATAAACTCTAACATTTTCAGTTTCAATGAATCACCACAGGAGATTAATTGGTCCCAATAGTACGAAACCATGTAATTTGTCATTATGGTTTCTTTAAGTTTGTCACATAGGAGTGACGAGGCACACAACTGAGAAAGTTCAACCTTTTTCCTCATCTCGATCTCAAATGACCTCACGAGTAGGTAGAAATTGTTACTGGGGAATTTCAGACCACCTCTGCTCATTTTCTGTGTCCACTTACTAAATTTCTCATTGTACACCCTCTTTGAACTTTCATCAGAAGATGCAAACCATTCTCCCACGTGCATGTCTATGTCTGTACCACAGATCACCTTCTTCTTTAAGACAGCGTGCAAAATGTAGCCTGATACATAAAACAACACTGCTTGGTCATTGTCACTGATTGTGGATGCTGTTTGTTCAAAATCTTTCTTTTGTGCTTCTGAGATATATTTCAGAATATTTTGCATGATGCGGTCCATAAGACATTGGGCAAAGATATGAACAATCCTCGGCGACTCGCTTGTCACTTTCACCAAAATGCTGTGCAGGTCAGACTGCAATTCATCCTTGAGTCTCATCTGATGAAATTTCATCCACAGTTGTTCTCTATCAGCAGAAAGAGAACAGCCATGTCCAAACTTGTAAAAAAACTTCTTGAAATTCTGGGATAAGGACTGAAATAAGTTTTTCCTGAACTGTTTGATTGTCAATACATTCTTTGGCTATGGTAATGAGATGTGGGCCATTCACGGAACACGACGAGTCATTCATTGGATCCAAGATAACTGTAGATATTGACTTAGACAAGACAGCTTTCAGAGCATCCTGCATGTCTGCTTTCTTTGACATGGGAACTGGTGTGTTTGCTGTGCAGGTTGAATCTGGAGGGTTGCTTCCACCAGGAGAGTCTAGTCGATGTTCGTGTGCTAAAATGAAAATGGTATTGATTTATGACATATTCAAGTGACAAATATTGGTAGATGATAATTACTAAGAAATGTATTGACAATTAAGTAATTATGAACTGGTGACCTGATATATATTTGTTAAAACCAAACAACACACATTGACAGAAATAGTGCAATTATTTCAATAGTTAGCCCTCGTCTTGGTGCTGGGCAAACAAGTCTAATAAGGTAAATTTTGCCTTATATCTGTAACACAATAAAATATGGCAAGACTGATGTTTGACGTCTACAATAACGAAAACAGCTTCAAGTATTTGAATAGCATGTGTTGCGTACATTTGCAAACCAGCATGTTAATGCTGACCACCATCATAAAACTGTTTCACAGACAATGTGAAAATAGTGTAAATTTCTGATAAATTGTTTTGTTGAATAAAATGTGTTAATCATTGTTGTCGTTAATTTTAAAGATATATATAAAAGACCATTACAAAAAATTAACATATATTTATGCATGTATATGTACGTAGATTGAATAAACAGAACTCACCTTTAATATCTGATCTGTTGTGTTTCTTGGTAACATGACCACGGAAGCCCCTGATACTCATGTAAGTTTTTCGGCACAGTGGGCAAGCATATCTTGCTTTCTTGTTTTCCTTCTTGTGATCTTTTGCCTGTTTTGGTCCAGTAGTCCACGAAGCTTCGTCATAGACTGGACTGTCAGTGTAGTTGTCTCCATCGAAGCATTCGTCAGACAGTTGCTCTTTGTCATAATCAGTATAGTCGCCAAGGAGTAGGTCTAAATCTAAATCAGAATCGTCCCAGTGTATAAAGTCGCCCATATCGAAGGAAAATGAAAAATAACATGATCGAGTTTGCTTTATAAAAGGATATAAATCCTACAGCCGAAGCATTGTTTACGATACAGCCGGAAGTATTAGTATTCGACATCTGCGTCTGCGCGAAAACAAAGGGAATTAACTTATGACACTAAAGCGTTACATAATATGATTTGCCTGACAACGGAAGTCCTCCGATAAGAGCATGTGCGCATATGCCATGCATCTTGACCACAGCCGAGAGAAAAGCCACAGGGGTCCTCGGTGTATCGCTTACACTCATTACCGTGGCAGTGATCGTTAATGGTAATCTACTGCTGAGGCCTGTCCCTCGGTATATGGTTTCTGGTTTGGTTTTTGGGGAAAGAGGATTGAACATAAATTCATGTATTTATATCCTTACATTCCTGAAACATGACAGGTTGGTTATGCCACTTTCACATTAGTGGAAACAAAAATGTGTTTTCTTTTGAAAAGTACAACTTTTATCAAGAGAGACACAAGTTTACAATTTTACTGACACTAGAAACCATATTGTTAAAGTATTTAGTAATAATAACCCAACCCTTATTAAAAATGTTGCTTTTGCAGTAAGAAACATGTATTTTAAACATCAACTTTTCCTTCAAATGTTTCTCCCTCCATTTTGGTACTCTGTATGCAATATCAATATATATTGGCAGTGTTCAAAATTAGTGCTTGCCCGTGAGCCCGTGGCAGGTAGATCTCGTGTCGGGCCCATAAATCAAATTACTATGGGTCCTTATGGCCTGTAGTAAATTTACATATTGATTTACTTGTCACAATAAGTTAAAGTTTTATTGATGTGGGCCCGAACACTCTAGTCAGGACCTGCCACCTCTAAAGACTGTGGGTCCCGGTGGCAGCCTGATAATTCTTTTCAGATCAAACGCTAGGTGTATATGCTATTTAGCCAATGTTATAACAGTGTCCCATAAGCCAAGTTATGCCATTTTGTTCAACATATAGATATTTTATGATTTGCAGGTTAACTCTTGTATGTTTAACTTGTGACACTTTAATAAACTCTGCTTAACCACAGCATTGTCTTGGACATTTACTGTCAACCACCCTAAACAAACTATATATACCGTATTAGACGTAATAAGCGCCTAGGGCGCTCTCAAAATTAGAAATAGGGGGCTCGTATTAGAATATTATTTTGGTGAAAAAAGAGAGTTGAAACATAAATTTTGTGGTTTATGCTGACAGCCTGAAATGTTTATATACGACAGATATATTTTTCCAGAATTTAATTGCCCATAATAAAGGGTGCATATAACACACGAGTGTGTATTATACGCGAATAAATAAGTCTTTTGTACATTGATCAATCGGAAGGGGTGCTAATTGGGATTGTTCACTAGCCAATATATTAGCAAATATCGCCGTGGGCGCTTATTAGAGCGGGTATAAATCGAATACGGTATAAATCAGGAAAGCTTATGTTAATGATTTAATCCTGGTCATGTGTCCCCTCCGTGGCTACATTGGCCTTGGTCCAGATTGACGGTCACAGAGTCAGGTCTCACCCATAGCCATGGTAGATTTAGGCAAGGTGCTCCAGAGTATTGTCATATACTAAACTGACTAAACACACCAATACGTTGTTTCTAATAGCTGGCATGGAAAAGTGTGTTTCAAAGATACTAGAGTAAGCATGGTAAGTGAGTGAATATTGTAATGAGTTTGATTGAGTGCCACTTTGAATAGTATTTCAGCATCATCATTGCATGTCGGCTTGATGTGGGAGGAAGCCCAAAATGTCTTGGACATTTACAAAGAGAAAGCCATGAGCATGGGTATGGGACGGACAATTCAAGAAACATAATCAGGGCGAAAACTTGGATTCAAACCCACGATCATAGGTTTCTGGCATGCCTAAGGGCTGCAACTCTGCACAGAGAATGGTAGTGTCCTAGAAGACTGGGCCTCCATGCCCCCAGGGTTACATGAAGTTCTCTATCATAATCAGTTGTCAATGTGTCTTGACCAGACACACCAGTGAATGAAAGCATGATGAATTCCATGCTGTAAGTTTAACGGATCAGCTGAGACAGACCAACCAATCAGCTGAGTCAGACCACCAAATCAGCTGAGTCGGACCACCCAATCAGCCGAGTCGGACCACCCAATCAGCCGAGTCGGACCACCCAATCAGCCGAGTCGGACCACCCAATCAGCCGAGTAAGACCACCCAATCAGCCGAGTAAGACCACCCAATCAGCTGAGTCGGGTCAGCTGAGTCGGGTCAGCTAAGTCGGACCACCCAATCAGCCGAGTCGGACCACCCAATCAGCCGAGTCGGACCACCCAATCAGCCGAGTCAGGTCAGCTAAGTCGGACCACTCAATCAGCCGAGTCGGACCAACCAATCAGCCTAGTTGGACCGCCCAATCAGGCGAGTCGGACCACCCAATCAGCCGAGTCGGACCACCCAATCAGCCTAGTTGGACCGCCCACTCAGGCGAGTCGGACCACCCAATCAACCTCCTTTCGGCTGGTTCTTACAAGAAGCCTTAGATAATTGAGGTATAATCTCCCCAAGAATCTTCAAAGGGGAACAGATCTATTCTGGAAGAACTCCAAAGAAATCTTCGCAGTGGACAGAAGGTAATTTTTGTGGTTAAATAAATACCAACAAGAGTACATACAACAGACACATGTCCAAGATTATCAATGGTTCTTGTCTTTCTACACCTTCTGGCATTACGAGGAAGAATAGGTCCCCAGTTACCAATGACTGATTTAGAAGCAACTTAAAAGAGTTCTGAAGCATACCAAAGATGGAAACACAGCGCCCATGCACGCACGCACATACCCACGCACCCACACACCACTCCATCCACCAGTGATCACTTCTTTTTTCCAGAAAGCTGTACCCACACTTAATGAGGAATAGCGCCCACATGCAACAATTGTAACCCCCAACTTAAACATAGACTTACAATTGTCATAGCATGGAGATTGCTTTGTGCAAGTGGGCCCAGTAGTTGTCACAATGTGCACTCTGACTGCATGTGTGTCATCATTCCCCAATGATGTGAACCACTGCTCATGCTATCACCCACTGGTTGTCCTGGCCAAGACCTGAGTATTTGCAGGCTTCTGTGCTACAACTGTTATAATGTTGATGGTTGCATAACACTGCAAGATCATTCACCCAATCCTATCTCTGTGCAGACCATCTCTAGGGTCAAGTGGTAGAGTGTCCACCTGGAGAGCAGAAGGTCCAGTGTTTGATCCCCAGCCGTGTCATACGAAAAGACGTTAAAAGATGGTACTTGTTGTTACCCTGTCTGGTGATCGGTATTAAGGCGATAAAACTAAGACTGGTCAGCCCGGAGTCAGTTTACTGTGTCTGAGTGGGGCATTCATGTCAAACTGCCGCATTGAATCTCAGTGGGCTACCACCATAAAATAGGCATTAGTTCGGACTAGTACAATCAGCTACACATACATACACACATGCATGCACGTTGCAATAGAATAATAATCTTAGACACGACGTTAAACTACATTTCACCTCACCTCACCTATTTCTGTGTTTCATACCGATCTGCAATCCACTCTATCGTTACACAAACCTACTGTTTTATTCTTTAAACAATTTTTTCTGATGTAGTAAGCTCAGGCCCTCATGATACTTCAGGTTAAATCTCAACAACCGTATGTCAGACTACCCCCTTCAATACCCCTGAAATATTCCTTATCTCAAATACTGAACAACCTGACCAACTACTTTCAAATCTACTTAAAAGAAATGACTCACAGACCTTAGTGTTTGATACTGAAATGTTTTCATGCAATACGGTCATAAATATGGCATTCAATATCACATAGGCAATAAACACCATATTTACTACCACATTCAGGAAAGCCAAGCTTTAATTGCACATGACCCCAGTGTTAAGCGTTTGCATATGGGTGTGGCAACAGTACAGTGCTTATGGTGACAGCACTTGGTTTCACAAAGAGCTAGATATTTACACATGATGCCTATGTTAGACTGGGAAATATAGACATTATTAACTTAAATAACTTGTTTTTGATGCTGCTTTGAACAGAAAGTTAGTTACATATTGTGTGAGTGAGTGAGTTGGGTTTAACGCCGCTTTTAACATTATTCCAGTTATATCACGGCGTGTCAGCTGATGCAGGTCTCAGACGTTTACCACTTCTGTGAAATCCACGAGCATGGGTATGGTGCTGACAAACCTAGAAACATAATCGGGGTGAACCGGGATTCGAACCCACAATCATAGGTTTCTGGCGTGTCCAGGGGACACAACTCTGCACTGCGAATTGCGGCGCCTTAGACGACTGGGCCACCCGTGCCCCCTACATATCGTGTGAGCTCAAAGTGAGAGAGTAACCCAAGTGATGCAGTTCTTATTCACAGTTAGCATTCTGGGCAAAGTCACAAGCATGGTTTGGTGCTGACAAATCAAGGATCATAATCTGAATGAATATGAGATTCGAACCCATGATTAGTGTATCCAGACATGTCTAAGGGACATAATTCTGCACAGAACATTGCAGCTCTAGTGGACCCCTTGTGTCCCCCTTAACTTAACTGAACCTCAGCAACATGAAAATTATGCACTCACATAAAGGCAGTGACCCAGTTGGTCAGTCACAAGGCAATACTCACATATGTGTTTGTACTAGTTTACTCATATTGTTTTCAGAAAAGATATTCAATTTGTACACATGAAACTGTTTGCCTGGCCATGCTAAACATAGCTGATCTGTTATTATGCAGCAAGTCGCGGAGTTGTCCCACAGATGACATCCTTACTTTGTCAGCTTTGACGGGCTTAACCTTTTACTAAGAGTCTTAGCTCCTACCAACTGTGCGTCCAACCTCGGATCAGGTCTGACCACCTGATCCATTTAGTCGCCTCCTACAGGGTTATCATAGAACCTACGATCTTACGAGAGTGCCAGTGGCAGGACATGGTGATCAAGGATTAGAGTCAATGACCTGATTACCATCCATGGTCTGTCAGTCATGTGCAACACCTACAGATATAAACACTGGTACACAAATGTCGGTACTTAGAGCAAGTCCTTTATTGCCTTGGCTATTAAAGTATGTAGCATTGAATTGTTCATACCACAACACATACTGGGGTTTGCAGTGTATACTTAAATTCATATTTTACCAGGGTTCACTCTAGTAATTTTCAGACATGGGCGCTTTATGTGAAATTTCAAATATTCCAGAGGTACACCCACACTTGCCCATACAGCACAATGTTAAAATAAAATGCCCTCTTATATTTGAAAATGTTGGCCTTTTTGTCAAATTTAGGGGCTAAAAGAACAAGTCCCCACCCTAGAATTATCCCTGTTTTACACATGTTACAAAAGAAATAACCTCATTTCAGATGTTATCTCAATAAGTAACCTCATCAAACTTTGAAACGGTGATAATTTTTTTACTGTAAGCATTTTGTCATCTTGTTCATAAAGGAACTAATTTAAATCATTTTCAAATCAGTAAGATCTCTTCTATTAATTTTCTGTATAGAAACCATGGTAATGGCACCTGTTTATTATCTCTGACAAAACACAAACAGAAAGAAGGAAGAAATATGCCTAACCATGCGTGTGAAAGTGTGTGAGAGCTTAGTTGTCAAGAGTTATCTCCCTTATGCCTTCTATGCACAAATTTTGTTTTCCACTTTCTTCAAGAATATCATGCTGTGCTTCCTTCTTAAAAAGTACACTTGTCCTTGAATCGCAACACTACACTGAAGCATTCCTACAGAATTATAATGACCACAAAATGCACATCCTAAACCAGGCATTAAATTCAAAATACATCCCTATAAGTACTTCATCATGTTCATTTTTATATTTTGCATAAAGTTGTTTGGGGTGATTGGTTCAGAGTGTCAAATAAATGCTCATTCTGTTCAAGTGACAGCATGCTTACTGATGTTACAGTTATTTGTATTTATTAACTTATTTCAGAGAGGTTTTGTTCTGTTCATAAAGAGTGTGATTATACTTAAAAAGTTACTTGTTTGATTTATGTAGTTTATGTATATAGTGTCCAGTGATTAATGTTCACTACCAACAAGCCAAGCTGGCCGTTGACTCATATATACAACTAACCTGTCTTGACAGTAGCAGGCCCACATTTATATATATCTTCCACTGACACTTTGAAAAACTGTGAAAATACAGCCTGTCCCAGCTACCTAGCAACAATTTGATCCAAAAATAACATACTCTGACTGCAATATCACCATTTTGGTAGAGAGAATTCATCGATTGTAACCTCTACTACCATTGGTCAGCTTCGTGTGGATAACCAATCAGATGCTTACTTTAAGAGATTGTAAACAAGGAAGCTGAAAACCAGGCAATGTCAACACGACTCAAAATAAAATTCAGACAAGATTTACAATAAAGTAAATGTGGTATTTGTTACAGCAAATCTGAACGACTGAAAAATTATAACATGTGCTTAAATTTTCTACTGGACAGTGGGGCAAATTGAAAAAGAAATTCAACTTTCCTGACAGAAATGTTACCAGCCACAGGAGAGCAGGCAAGCAGCTATTTACATACCAGTAGTGTCTGTTTATTGTTCTAATCTATGAAAGCGTGGACCCTAAACATGCTAAATACAGACTAAGTATCAAGTGTCCATGATGAAAGTTCAAGCAGCCAGACAAACAAAATATACACTAGAGAAGTCTATTCAATTTTCAGGTTATGGTTTGTGGCTCCATTTGGTCAAACATGTAATAAAATAAATGAAAGATGTCCATCTGGTCAAACATGTAATAAAATAAATGAAAGATGTCCATTTGGTCAAACATGTAATAAAATAAATGAAAGATGTCCATCTGGTCAAACATGTAATATAATAAATGAAAGATGTCCATTTGGTCAAACATGTAATAAAATAAATGAAAGATGTCCATCTGGTCAAACATGTAATATAATAAATGAAAGATGTCCATTTGGTCAAACATGTAATAAAATAAATGAAAGGTGACAAAGTGTGGCCCACCTGCTGTAGAGTCAACATTCTCCCAGGCCTCTCCTCCACCAAGGACATCATCTACCTCCTTCAACTTGGGGTACTTCTTGTGAGATATCTGAAACACACGCAGGATAACATACACTACTAGTATCATTATCATCAGGTCAGAATAATACAACTTTCTACTTCTCATCACTCACATTGATCACTCACATTTGTCATGCTGAGCGCGAGTAAGTATGGTTTTACGCCGCTTTTAGAAATATTCCAGCAATTTCAAGGTGGGGGAACACCAGGAATGGGCTTCACACATTGTACCCATGTGTGGAATCAAACCCAGGTCTTCAGCGTGGCGAGCGAATGTTTTAACCACTAGGCTACCCGACTACCTTGTCATGCTGAAGATTTGGGGTTGATTCCCCACATGGGTAAATTTGTGAAGCCCATTCTTCAAGTTGGGTTCCCCTGTCACATATTGGGGTTCTTAGTGATGAACAAGGTTGTTGACAGTCATGACGAGGCTTCATTCATGAGTGACTTGATTATGAGCTCCAATGCATGCTGGCTTTTACTAAGGGACATAACTCTATCTAGCTTAGGTAGCAATCACAGGTAGTGCTTGAAACAATATTGTAGAACAAACTGGGTTTAAATCTCTTACATCCTCCCTTCCTACTCTGTTACTGTACTAACACAAACAGTAACAACTTTCTGCTTTTCTACAGTAGTTGATATTTCTTGATGATATCCTGTTGGTGATGGAGTTTTCGCTGCCAGTTTGGATTTGACATGAGTGACTAACCAATCGAGTGACTTTTATTGCGAGTTACGGCAACATCGTATCTTAAATTGTTCCAGTGTCAACTTTGAGTGTCACTAACCAAGTCACCAAGTCTGACCACCCGATCCCCAATTGTCGCTCTTATGACAAGTATAGTCGCCTTTTACAGCAAGCATGGGTGGCTGAAGACCCATCTTCACAGGTTATGTTCAACTGTAACATTTCATTTGTTTGATTACATAAAATGGGGAAACATTGGCCAGTGTGGTAGGGCTATTTTAGACACCATCCTGGGGACAATTCCCCAAACCTGGTAGTTTTTTTAAATGCTGTTATGGCAATAACAGCTGATGAATGATGAAAGCTGAGGAGTGAATGAGAGAGTATGGTTTTACGCCTCTTGTAGCAATTAATATTCCAGCAATATCACAGCGGCGGACACCAGAAATGGGCTTCACATATTGTACCCATGTTGGGTCTCAAACCCAGTCTTCAGCGTGACGAGCGAACGCTTTAACCACTAGGCTACCCTATCTCCCCATGAATGCTGAGGAAAAATCAGCATATTGCATGGCGAGGGGACATAACTCTGCCAAGAATTGCGGTACAAAAGTACATAAAGACCACCATGCCTCCAATACACTTGACTGCAGACGCTGGACCTACTCTTATAGTTATAAGTGATATGTCGGCCTTTCGGGCCGACATTTCAATGTGTAATACCACACCTTTCTCGTGATATTCTGTATGTACGGACACGTATTGCACGCAAACCGCAAACACTTCGGTCCCTCTTCCACAACTAAAACGTTAGCACATATTGGACAAAATGTCAACATGTTGATAACTTGTTCCCTCAAATAATCCTGTTATGTTGTGACGAAATGTTCACATGGCATTGAGTAAACTGGAAGTAAACAGTACATCTCAGTACATGATAGGGTAATGAAGACTGTTTTTTTATGTGTGTAATGTCTGAGACTTGTTCGGAAATTATTTCTTCATTTGATACAAATACAATTTTAAATTATTACTCAATTAACATTTCAACCTTCAACTTATAATTAAGAGTCAAGAGTTTTCCGTACTTAATCACAAAGATGTCTTTATAATGCTAGATGAAGACAGTTGTTCCAATAATAGTAGTATCATGTCATGTGATTTCAAGATGGCAGCCCCCGTTGTAAACACACGAGAAAAAGGTCTGACAAGTGATTATTCTTTGCGTGTCTGAGATAATTGTTGTCGGAAACACGTTATTTCTGTCTTGAAAGTGAAGACATACCACGCGTAGTTGTCAAACAATGTGAGTATATTTGTTGTGATTGCTCTCTTAAATATTTCGGCCAATATCGCACTCTACTCTAGTTGGCAGGTTGAAGCTAAGCAAGGCTATTGAGTTAATCTAATTAGCCAACACCCTACCACGGGATAGGGTCGGGACGAGTCCCATGTTTACTACCCGGGTACCCAAGCCCCTATTACTTGACCCTACTGTAGGTCTCAAGAGATGCGTATAAACTGTTCATTTGGGAATTGTTTGACAAGAACGACCCAGGGTCTTCCCTAGCCTCTTAAAACTGGGGGTCTTTATGTATCCGTTGCTGTATTACAGAGAATCATATGTCTTTTGAAGGGGGTCATTTTAAGAAAATACTAACTGATGTTAGATTTCGTAATGAATTTAATCTTTATTTTAAAACATGTTATCTTTGTTTTTCTAATCAAGCTGTTTGGATCATGTTCTAAGTGTTCTAAGTATTCTATTAAGTATTCTACACAGTTGCTAATCTAATTACAGTGCTCCCTCACTAGTGCGGCCTTCAATATAGCGCTAACTCTGTTTTAGCCCACGGTAACACATGGCTTCCAAAATGTACTTACATTTTTAATGAACTCAAGTTTTACACTGACAGCTGATCACCGCAAGCATTAACAAATCCGAACTGAAGTACGCAATTCAATCCCATTATTATACTATCTGTTTGATTGTTTGATCGCACAAGTCACTGTTATTTATAGCTACCATGGTCAGATTACCTCTGTTGACACCTTGAAATAAACTTTGGTTGCCAGAGAATGGATACATATATATAAATGTATCATAAATGCCATACTTTAATTCGTTTAAGGTAATATTTGTGGTAATTTGACTATTCAATCGAAATACATATAGCTCTGGAAGTCGCTACATATAGCTTAGGAAGTCGATACAGTGACAGGTCAGTTGTTCCATATGTAAAAATATCCTGCAATTGCAATCAGCTGTACCAAAGTGCTATGCTTATGGTTCTCATAATTTTTAATATACATAGTGAAAGTAGACTAACAAATCGTCTCTGAAATGAATATATTTTACAGACAAAAACAATTGTTAAATTATAGTTATAAAATATAATAAAAAAGCGGCCCAGAGACTTTCTTCATTTTCAGACACTGCAGTAATCTAGACTTGCCAAACATTATAGACTTGCATGGGCTGTATTGGATATATATTTGTTTCAGGGTCTGTATGACAGACTAATACATGTAGTAAAAGCTGCAACTAGAACAACACAATATTGGAATATATTATTCCTGATAAAATAATAATTTCAGATAAAATTTCTTCCGACCATTGCATCCAAATTCATTGAAGTTGTACTTTTAACTGAATCAGTGGTAGATCAGGAGAAAACGTGTGTACAGCTGATTGGTTTACTTAGTTTACGAGAGAATACACACAGTAATCTTAATTTGTAATGTCCAATATTTGTTATTATATTTGCAGATAAATACAAATTACCATGACTACAGTGCTATAATCTCCACGAATTTCCCAAATGCTTCGTACAGGATTTTGAATGTAATGATCGTGAGAAATTTAACATGATGTCGAAATTTATCTTGAATAAAATGAATAATTATAGTTGCTGAGGTTATGATCCATATTCAACAGTTAAACAATCCTAAACAAACTATTGATTCGCTATTGTCAAACAGCAACGACTTTCATTTTGTCATTGATGTATCTATTTCTCACTTACTTGTAATCTAGGATAAGTTGAACCAACTCACAAAAAGTGTTTGAGACAAGTACGCGGTGTACAGAATTTGGAGAAATATATTTGGTTTGTAGGTAGAGAGGGTGTACGCATGTTGTGCATGATACCAGAATTCTCCACAAGCCGTTTGATCAAAGTTAATTACTAACAAATATACAGTCAAAGCTAGGTAAGCATATATATTCTCAGGCTCGAAAATTGGTCTATAATGTTATAAATTACATGAAGAAAGAATGAACAAATAAATCTCAAGCATTGTCAAAAGCTGGCATTGCCATTTACGCTAAGCGCATCAGAGCAGAAGGTATCACTCATGACAAAGGCGAGGGTAGTTTTTTTATCCCAATTATTTCAACCCGTGCGCTATTGAACTTGCCACTAGAACTCATTGTTAGCCGGGACAAGACACGCACATATCCATCGAAATACTTATCGCGGACCACCTTCTACTCCTTACTGGGGGCACGGGTGGCCCAGTTGTCTAAGGCGCCGCGATTCGCTGTGCAGAGTTGCGTCCCTTGGGCACACCAGAAACCTATGATTGTGGGTTCGAATCCCGGTTTGCCCCGATTATGTTTCTAGGTTTGTCAGCACCATACCCGTGCTCGTGGGTTTCACCGAAGTGGTAAACGTCTGAGACCTGCATCACTTCGGGCTTTCCTCCCACATTAAGCTGACACGCCCTGATATAACTGGAATAATGTTAAAAGCGGCGTTAAACCAAACTCACTCACTCTACTCCTTACTTCACAATGGTACATGCCTGTGGGCGGACCTCGTACATAGTCATACAGGGTTAACTGTCAGGCCACAACTCAACTTATCCTGGCTTACCAGAATGTTCACTTCAAGGCATCAACAGTGGTAATCTGATCATGGTTGCACTTTTAATAACCAGACATTGTAATAACAGGAGTAACTTGCATACATCGGTACAGATTGGTTGACATATGTCATTTCCTTATTGGTTATGTTCTCGCTTGGGGGAGGGGGGAAAGACTGCATTGACTAATTGTATAATATGCACACCGACACAACTGTTGTTTGGCAGAAAGAGCTCATTGTACAGAAAAAAATAGTGTTATTGATATGTTTATCCCATTTCATGACCTGACATTGTCACTCGTGGATTAACTTGTTATTTCACTCTAGGGAAATATTGATTTTATATTTGAAGATAATATTTCATAACTTGATACAGAATTAAATAAAATGCTAATTTTCCAAGCTATTGAAGTTAAACCTGATTTAAAGAGGTGGATAAAACTTTGAAATAAGATAATTTATGAAGTCATTCACCATTGGTTTACCGTGCTCTACCATGTCTACTGCACCTGAATATTATGAGGTGTGGAGTTTACAAATTACATCATCAGCTGATCATGGGTAATAAGACAATTTACTTGACATGATGAATTACAGATAATTTTTTTTAATTAATGGAGCATGGATAGACATAGGAAAGATAATTTTAATATTAAGAGGAAAGCAATATAGGAGTAGGTTTGTTACCTGTACATTTGAGGTTACTGAACTGAATTTGGGGCGAAATGTGCAGCTTGTTCCAATTGTGAAAGAAATTTGATTAAATGGCTATATATAGCGCCATGTTAGGCAAACTGGACTTAAAAGAAAGCTGTGGTGGTGAAGGAGTCAAGAGCATTTATTGTAGAGATGTATATAATACACTGCATGTTTTCAAAGAGGCATTGATGCCGTGATATAACTGTAATACTGTTAAAAGCGGCATTAAACCCAACTCACTAACTCAAAGAGGCATTGAACCCACCTCACTCAATCCCTCAAGGCTAAGAAATGTGGAACTTGTCTGTGTGGTGCAGAGGAGTGCTAGTACATAGGTTTGACCATTCATCATGTTCATATAATTAGATACTTGTTGTCTAATTGCAGATTTGTAAGCTTCCAAGATGAATGTCCAGTATGAGAGGCAGATTGACGAGATCACGACGGAGGAACTGCGACCCGATCTCTACTACCAGAGGGAGAGAAATCCTACTGGGCCAGAGAGAAGATGGCCTAAAGTTATTGGAATTGTGGAAATCATCAGTGGATTTGTTACAGCTTTCTTAGGTAAGCTTTGACATGTTAGACACTGTAAATAAAATTTAACTGATTGAAATCATACTCACAGTACCCAAAATATTTCCACCCGATCTTGAAGAGAGTTTGATAATTGGGTATCATGAATCGATTGATACAGTTTCATCAATCATTATCTTCATCATTTGGTCTTGAAAATACATTTCCAGATACTGTTATAAAGTTAAATTTTGTGCTTGCATGAAAAGATATTGTATTATAATTGGTTTAAATGTTTTGAGGATGCATCTGCAGAGTCTTATCTTGAAGTGTAAGCATCTGAACGTCTTGTTAATTAAAATTAATGGATTTACTAGCGTTTAATATCATGCATAACTGACCAATGTGTATGTCTAAGTGTTGGTTAATAAAGGCTGATCAAGCATGTCAACTGGTTTGAAAGAACGTATTGACCTTTCTTGCAACAGTATGTCAATTTCTCCATGGCTGATTGCCATATTTTTAGTCATATTCACCTTATGTTGTGATGGACAGAGAGATGTATCAAAATCATTTCTCTATGACTCGTAACTACATAAGAATTTTAACAATAATATTATCACACTGTTTCTAGATAGACTATTCATGTACATAATTAAACATCCGTTTTAATTTTTTTAAGAAAACAGCTCATTTCATATAGTATTATGTCATCTTCCCGAGGCAAGGGAGTTAACTGACTATAGAAGTTCAGTTTCCACACTTGCCGAACTAGGCTGGAATTATGGAGTTGTATTCTGGCTGAATTAACAAGTATATACATAGTCCAATCAAAATCACGTAATGAAATCAAACATCCAGTTCGTAAATAATATGGATTTCAACGTGCAGATTTAGGTCGACTGCAAGATTTGTAAAGGATGTGTACCATCAACTGGGCATCGTCAGATATTTTCCAGACCTTTTCATGTTTTTAATCAAGATGCTTACGTGATTTAATGCACTTCGCGAGGTAAGACCCGTTTTGTTACAATACAGATCATGTTCATCGATCATATCATACAAATGGAAATGATATGAGAGATGGAATTTGATTGGTCAATAGGTGGGACATTGAAGGGACATAACTCATAATAGCAACTGGTGGCGATACGACTGAGCCCAAAAATTTAAGCCTAGTTTGGCAAGGATGGAAAATGGTCTTTTACAGTCTGTTATCTCCCTTGCCTCGGGAAGATGGTATCATGTATACTACTCTAGAGAAGGTAAAGGACACCCATTCTTTCATATTACTCAAGTTCATATGTCATGGCATGACATACTAACTATGACTATTAGTAATATGAATGAAGCAGGAGTTCTTTAACTTCTTACATGGATGGGTTTTTTTACAAATGGCTACCGCTGAGAACCACCTTGTGTATCACAACACGTCCTACTGTGTACTTCCCTTCACTTTCATTGCCTGAATAATATTAACCCTAAGCGAAGCAGCTGATCGCTATTGCCGGTTATTATTTTTCACACGGAACCAGTCTGACAAGTCACCGTCAAGGCTCCCGCGCACGCGATCGTGTGATTGCGAGAACTACGTGTTGACATAGAATCGTCAAACTGTAACAAATATGACTTTTAACGAGTCAAAGTATGGCATTTAAGATATATGTATCCATTCTCTGTCAACTAAAGTTTGTTTCAAGGCTTCAATAGCGGTAATCTGACCGTGATTGCTGTTAATAACGGTGAGTTGTGCGATCGGAAGATCGCTTCACACACGATTTCGCCGAAATTAATTAAAACATTATTAAAAGGAAATTTGAATAAAATTAATGAAATAAGTTACAAACATAAGTCCAGATATACAAAGAAACTTTTTATAGCCAAACTGTGTAATTACATGATGATTTTGCGTACTTCAGTATGGATTTGTTGACATGGTATTTCTGGTGTTACATGCTCACGGTAATACCTTTCCATGGGGAAAAAAAACATCAAAACTCATTATTTCATGTATAATGCACACCCCCTTCTACACAGCTGTGCTTTTTGGAAAAAATGTGAGCACTGTACTCAAGAAAATATGGTACTGCATAGCAGCATCAAACTGTTTTCCACTGATGCAGGTCATGGTACTGTACGTGTTTGAGACATTCACAAAAGCCGGGGATTGAGCTGCTTCCATTTTGCAACTAATGTAACCACTAGTTACTCTGTGACGTCATACCAGGAATCTTATTATAGCATCTAACATAACTCTTTTATCATATATTGAATATGTTCGTTTGTTTGTTTCTTAATTGTTTAATGCCATACTCAACAATATTCCATCTATATGTCGTCGGTCTGTAAATAATATAATCAAGACCAGACAATACATTGATTGACATCATGAGCATCGATCTACGAACTTGTAATATGATGACATGCATCAACCAAGTCAGCCAGCCTGACCACCCGATCCCTTTAGTCACCTCTTATGACAAGCATAGTCACCTTTTACGACAAGCATGGGTTGCTGAAGCCCTATTCTACCCTGGGTCTTCACGGGTCTATTGAACATATAGAAGTATGAGAAGCAACTACAAAATTCATTGACAAGGTTGTGAGAATTAACTAATTTTCGGCATTCTGTTATTGAACTGAGTGATAAAATTATAGAATAATAAAAAAGATGCAGTATTGAGAAGCATTATAGGAACAGCATAACTTTGATGCCATGTTGAAATGTGTGAGTTATGATGCCACTGACCGCCTCCGTGGTCTAGTGGTAGAGGGTCTGCCCAGGGAGCGTAAGGTCCAGGGTTCGATCCCCGGCCGCGTCATACCAAAAGACGTTAAAAGATGGTACTTGTTGTTACCCTGTCTGGCGCTCGGCATTAAGGGGCTAAAACAAGGCAGAGCTCCAGATAAGCTTTTGGTGTTGTGGGTATTTTACCCATGCATTTTAAAATCATTGGGTATCAGTAATTCTATCTGCGTATTCAAATTTCTTTTACCCACTAGTTTTTACACATGTGGGTATTTAAGTTAAATATTTAAAAACACTATTCATCTAGTTCCCTGCAAACTGGTGTCGTGTGGGTTCGAGAGCTTTATAGGACTCAAAAATACCACGATACTTCCACAAGAAAGTGTGATGGCAAATGATGTAACTGTCATCGTGGAGTTTGGCAAGGTTGACGGAATGCCCGTTTATAATTTCAAAATAAGTTGCTGATTTGCTAATCGAATACGCAGGGTTACTTCACAATATTTTGATGATACACACAAGTTTTATTTTTGTAGCATATCTGTAATGTTCGTTGCGTATTTGATACGCTTGGATTATATTTTACTGTGTATTTCTGCATTTCTGATGCGTATTTCACGCAGATACGCAGCTTATCTGGAGCTCTGCAAGGACTGGTCGCCTCGGAGTCAGTATACTGTGTCTGAGTGGGGTATTCATGTTAAACTGTGGCATGGTATCTCAGTGGGCTAGCACTATAAATCGGCTTCAGTCCAGACTTGTACAAGCAGCCACACACACACTCACACGTACATGCACGTCATTATATAAGTGCAATAATCTTGGACGCAACGTTAAACCCCCTTTTACCTATGATGCCACTAGTGACATAGGACTGCAGCTGCTGCAGTTATGATAGCGATATGTTCCTAAAACAAGCATGTCGGTTATCGGTGGTTATCAGTGTTGACTTCAACTGAATTTGTCCACTGTACAGCAAGTCAGCCAGGGTTCAGACAGTGTGATGTAATTTGCAGATCAATGTCACACTGAACATGAGGAAGGGGAATATTTATCATGTGTCACTTTTATCATGTTTATGAATGATATCATCCAGATATCCATGATATCCATTCGTATTCTGTTGTAACTTTATGAACAGTTTGTCATAACACATTTGAAACTGTATCCTTAGTATCTGTCGACTCTGTTTCATTACGTTCAGAACTCTAGACTAATTTGCCAGCAGAGATTGTTTTCGGAAGTGACATCACTATCTCTCCTATCACTGACTTTGCGCAGAATTTTCTTCGCACATAGAATTATTTGATTGGATAGATTATTTCTTTCAAATTGAGCACAAGTTAAAGCTATGGTGGCAGAAGATATTATGTACTGGATAATGGAGGATGGTTAAATTGCTGTCCAGTGCGTGTGTATTCATGGGGATGCTGTCTTGCTATGACATGCAGTAGATCATGTATATCCTGGTATATACATGGTAAAGGTAAAATTATTCTATACATATTTGTAGTTACCATGCCATATGGAACTCTGGATTTATTAAAAACCCAACAGAATTTATTTAATATCCACAACAATATGATAATAGCACAGCTGTATAATTTTGCATTCAAAATATTCCCCATTATATTTGTTTTCATGATACAGAATACAGATCAGATATGCTTGTCTGAATGCTTTGCTCAAATGTACCATGGATTTTGAATCCTCAATGCCGATTAGTTGACTAGAAAGTTCACACGATGGGACCTGCTATGGTAGCAGAATATTTGATCTGATTTTATGAAAAAGGTCATAAGAATACAGAAAACAATGCAAGGTGTGTATCCTAGAAATGTTATAAAGAAAACATAGCCATGGCTGAACATGCTTAAGTTACCGTATATCGCTGTGTATAAGGCAAGTTTTTCGTACATAGAATTAGGGGGCTTTTGGGGAGGGGGGGGGGGGGGGGGGGTAGGGGTTTAACATGCTTAATATATAGACAGCGATATATTAGATATTTATGTGACTATTAATCTCAAGAATGTGACCATACATTCTACAATACAATTTCTACCAGCAATGTTCATCACTACATACGCATGATGTAGGACAACTGATACTGCGCCCTGTCCAATGGGCTGACACTGATGTAGTGTGCCATCATCAGCCCAAGTGAAACGGAAATGATGAAGTGTCATTTACTAGCCAAGCACAGGTCATGGTGTGATGATATGCCAGTCCAGTCACCATCAAGAGTCATGCACATGACCCCAGTGGGTGTCATACTAAGTAGCTGAAACTTGACACCTATAATAGGATACAGTTGCTTGTGCATGCATGCAGTGTCACAGTGACCCCTGTATACCGGCAGTATAGTGGATGCATGCAGTGTCACAGTGACCCCTGTATACTGGCAGTATAGTGGATGCATGCAGTGTCACAGTGACCCCTGTATACCGGCAGTATAGTGGATGCATGCAGTGTTACAGTGACCCCTGTATACCGGCAGTATAGTGGATGCATGCAGTGTCACAGTGACCTCTGTATACCGGCAGTATAGAGGACACATGCAGTGTCACAGTGACCCCTGTATACTGGCAGTATAGTGGATGCATGCAGTGTCACAGTGACCCCTGTATACTGGCAGTATAGTGGACACATACAGTGTCACAGTGACACCTGTATACCGGCAGTATAGAGGACACATGCAGTGTCACAGTGACACCTGTATACCGGCAGTATAGTGGATGCATGCAGTGTCACAGTGACCCCTGTATACTGGCAGTATAGAGGACACATACAGTGTCACAGTGACCCCTGTATACTGGCAGTATAGTGGATGCATGCAGTGTCACAGTGACCCCTGTATACTGGCAGTATAGTGGATGCATGCAGTGTCACAGTGACCCCTGTATACTGGCAGTATAGTGGATGCATGCAGTGTCACAGTGATCCCTGTATACTGGCAGTATAGTGGATGCATGCAGTGTCACAGTGACCCCTGTATACTGGCAGTATAGTGGATGCATGCAGTGTCACAGTGACCCCTGTATACTGGCAGTATAGTGGATGCATGCAGTGTCACAGTGACCCCTGTATACTGGCAGTATAGTGGATGCATGCAGTGTCACAGTGACCCCTGTATACTGGCAGTATAGTGGATGCATGCAGTGTCACAGTGATCCCTGTATACTGGCAGTATAGTGGATGCATGCAGTGTCACAGTGACCCCTGTATACTGGCAGTATAGTAGATGCATGCAGTGTCACAGTGACCCCTGTATACTGGCAGTATAGTGGATGCATGCAGTGTCACAGTGACCCCTGTATACTGGCAGTATAGTGGATGCATGCAGTGTCACAGTGACCCCTGTATACCAGCAGTATAGTGGATGCATGCAGTGTCACAGTGACCCCTGTATACTGGCAGTATAGTGGATGCATGCAGTGTCACAGTGACCCCCATATACTGGCAGTATAGTGGATGCATGCAGTGTCACAGTGACCCCTGTATACTGGCAGTATAGTGGATGCATGCAGTGTCACAGTGACCCCCATATACTGGCAGTATAGTGGATGCATGCAGTGTCACAGTGATCCCTGTATACCGGCAGTATAGTGGATGCATGCAGTGTCACAGCGACCCCTGTATACTGGCAGGATAGTGGATGCATGCAGTGTCACAGTGACCCCTGTATACTGGCAGTATAGTGGATGCATGCAGTGTCACAGTGACCCCTGTATACCGGCAGTATAGTGGATGCATGCAGTGTTACAGTGACCCCTGTATACTGGCAGTATAGTGGATGCATGCAGTGTCACAGTGATCCCTGTATACCGGCAGTATAGTGGATGCATGCAGTGTCACAGTGACCCCTGTATACTGGCAGTATAGTGGATGCATGCAGTGTCACAGTGATCCCTGTATACTGGCAGTATAGTGGATGCATGCAGTGTCACAGCGACCCCTGTATACCGGCAGTATAGTGGATGCATGCAGTGTCACAGTGACCCCTGTATACTGGCAGTATAGTGGATGCATGCAGTGTCACAGTGACCCCTGTATACTGGCAGTATAGTGAACACATACAGTGTCACAGTGACCCCTGTCCCGTGTTCACCACTAACCATGGACATGCTCAGTTGACAAAGTCTTCGCTTATCACTATTAACCTGTTGGACATGTGTACTGACAGCTTCTGATAAGCCTGTATCACAAGCACATCACTCTTGCCAGTCTCTGGGTGTGATGTGTCTGGTTTTAGTGAGTACACAAGCTACAGCGTGCTTTCATACAAATACTCTCACAGCAATTCAAGGCCATAACACATTCAGTGCAACTGTACTCTTACCTTACATGTCACCAATAGAGATTCAAGTTTAGAATAGGTCCACAGCAACCTATCCTGGCCATAACAGCCACTCAAAAGGATCGCGTGGTCAGGCTCAGTGACTTGGTTGATGCATGTCATAATAGCAGTAACCACAACGGTGTGGGACGTTGCTCACACTATCAATCACTTGTCTTGTCAAGACACAATTATTTTCAGGCCAACGTCAGGATGCTGCTCCACCTGAAGCTTTTAGTTGCCCAAGTCGTGATTACATATAAGGACCCTCATAAAAACACCTGAAATTATGCTGGGTCTTGTTCCACGAAGCGATCTTAGCCCAAAGACAATCATAGCTCGCATACTTTAATATAGACTTGCAACAATCGTAGCTCTGAGATCGTTTCGTGGAACGGGGCCCTGGCAGTTAAGACGCCTTTGACATTAGCTTAAACTGACACAGCCTGGCGTGCTACTGCAAAGTTCCATCCCTGAATGTACATATCTTAAATTTAGTGTCAAAAGTTTCAGTCAGTGTGCTGTATATCACCATGGAGATATGTCTAGCTCAAGTCTGTTATTTGCAATAAATGTAAACATAATAGCATATGTTTCTTCTCTTGCAGGGGCAATGGAGGTGTTTATAGTGCCATTGACGGACAACATCCAAGATACCAATGTAATTTACTTGAGTAAAACCAACTGCTTTGGTGCAGGCATTCTAGCAGGAATAATGGTAAGCTGTAACATATTCAAAGTAAGTATGGGATAAGGATTCCGAATAATGTTGGATGGATATGAATAAACAAGTCTCAATGGTCTGCACATGCAGCCTCCATTATCCAGTGTATTATGGCGCTGTGGGATTCCATGATAGATCGCCATGTCATAAGAGGTGCCGAAGTTCATCGGGTGGTCAGGCTTAGGGAATTGGTTGATGGATCCATTCACCACTAAAGCTTCATTTCAAAAGTGATGTCACAGTCTCATCTCTCTTATCACTAGTTAAGCACAGAATTTTCTCACTCATGAGTTTGAAATTAACACCCAATAAAAAGACACTTCTGAGTTCTGAAGAAGAGTTTGGCCTTGTACAAGCGAGCCAGTGATACATCTAAACTGGAAAAGAAGATCCTGTTTATTAACATGATCAAGAGGGGGTAAGGGAAGTCCTCATGGTATTAGCATTGCCGGTTGTATCTGAGACAGGATGCGACAAAGCAAAGCGAATACAGGAGTGATATTGGTGCATGTTTCACTGAAACAAACAGGGAAATTTGATTGGACATCTGTATTTAGCAACGTCGGCCGGAATCAGAACGAAGCTATATGTTGTGAATTTGTCCCGGATATATTTTACTAGAGGTGAATTATAAAGTTGAAAATTGAGTATGATAGACAAGATGAAACAAATGAAAACCTCTTGGTGATACTACAATACCCGTACCTGAACATGCTGAATTTAACAATACCTGAACATGCTGAACATAGTTCACTCACTTCTCCCAATCCTAGGATGGCATCCCATTAACTGTCTCATAGGGATCTCATCCACTGCTGGATTGCTAATTACATCAATTGTTGTAAACTATATTCAGGTATTCTGGTATCACCAAGAGGTTGGCATGCTTCACCTTGTCTATCATCCTCCGTTTCCTGCTGTATCATTCCTCCATTCTATTATGACAAATATCTTGGACTCATTAGCCACCGTAGCTTGGTTTTGTGGCCTGTTTGAATGCCACGATACTAAATATAGATGTCCAGCCAAATTACACTGTTCAATTTAAACAAGCATCGATATTACCAGAATTTTGCATTCCATCACAAATATTATTAGACAGTTTTGTTGTACTCTTTCTCTCCCCCCCCCCCTCCATCTTAGTATACCCCAGAAAACACATTATCCAGGTAAATTTGTTATAAGTCTTGTGATTCGTTTAAAGACTTGCTGGGACGTGGCTGCATGTAGATGTATGCAGAATTCACTTTCAGAAGGACCTGTGAACATCCGGGGAAGAATAGGTTTTCAGCAACCCATGCTTGCAAGCGACTTTTGCTTGGTTGAGTGGATCGATGGTCTTAATGTCAATCATAGGATTGTCTGGTTCAGACTCAATTAAGCTTGAATATTGCTGAGTGTGGATTTAAACAACAAACAAACAAACAAACAAACAAAACTTTCAGAAGAGGCATTTTGATTGGTTCTTCATTCAAGCTTGTAAGCAAGCGAAAGTCTGTGCTAAGTAATGGTGGTGGATGGGTCCAAGGGATTGGTTGTAATACAAAGGACATACAATACACTTAGTAATTGAGGATGTTTTATTCTCTCTGCTGGGATATACTTTCCACAAACTCCTTTACATGATCACTGGTCTCTTTCTCAAATATAGCAATGTGATAAGATCAAGTGAATTTCCATGAAAACATTTAGGAAACTCTTAAGAGTCTTTCTACTAAGGGGGGGGGCTTGGGTGGCCCAGTCGCCTAAGGTGCCATGATTTGCTGTACAGAGTTGCGTCCCTTGGGCACGCCAGAAACCTGTGATTGTGGGTTCGAATCCCTGTTCGCCCCGATTATGTTTCTAGGTTTGTCAGCACCACACCTGTGCTCGTGGGTTTCACCGAAGTGATAAACATCTGAGACCTGCGTCACTTCAGGCTTTTCTCCCACATTAAGCTGACACGCCGTGATATAACTAGAATACTGTTAAAAGCGGCGTTAAACCAAACTCACTCACTCACTCACTCACTCACTCACTCACTTTCTACTAAGCACAAGGCTGCTGATTGTTCATGCTGGTACATCTACTAGCACAATACAATCTACCATCCAAACAGCTGTTGTAAGTTCAATGGTCTCATCTCCCATTAAGAGTCAACATGGCATCAACTGAAATGTTGAGGCATTAATGCATTAATCAGATCTCTCCTAGTACTTTATTGCTATTATTGTTTTTCAGATTTGCAAACACTTTTTTTTGTAACATCTTCAACTTACGTATCAAAAAGAAGGAGGGGGGTTTATTGGTAAAACTCATTATCAGTTATCAGCTGTGCACGTAATAAACCTGATAGTGGAGGTGTTAGTTCCTGGAAGTGTTTCCTACCTACCAGTTAAATCCTCCCATGGGATATGTACCAAACATCTGCCAGTGCTGCAACATACTTGACATGTACATCTTCCCAAGGCAAGGGAGTTAACTGACCATAAAAGTTTAGTTTTCACCCTTATGTTATGGCTGGAATAACGAGTCTATGCATAGTCCAATCCAAATCACGTAATGAAATCGACAAATGGTTCGTAAACTGCTGTGCAGATTTCTGCCAATAGCAGGATTTGCAAAGCATGTGTACTGTCATTGTGCCAACTTGGTGTCAACAGATATTTTCCAAATCTTTTCATGTTTTAATCAAGGTGCTCATGTGATTTGATGCACTTTGCGAAGTAAGACCTGTATTTTTTACTATATAGACCTTGATCATCGATCAAATCGTCTCTACTGGGCACCGCCATTGATATGAGAGGTGGAATCTGATTGGTCAATAGTAGAGGCATAGAAGGGACATAACTCATAACAGCCACTGGTGGCACTACTATCGAGCGCAGAAATTCCAGCCTAATTCGTCAAGGGTGGAAACTGGACTTTTACAATCAGTTAACTCCCTTGCCTCTAGAAGATGGACATGTATGATAATTGCAAAGTTAATCATGTTGATGAAAGAAACTACACCATACTATACTGTACTATGTATACATGATATAGTGTTTAGTTCACTGATGTTTGTTCGCCGTTGTTTCAGATGATATTAACAGGAAGCACAGCAATACGAGCGTCCATCAGCAAACGAGCTTCAACAGTAAGGACTACTTTGAACTTGAATATTCATTGTCACTGTGTGTACAGTGGGAAGAATTTCAAAACAAATATTTCCCAGATTTGGGCAAACAGGAAATGTTATCCAGTTATGAAGAAAAAATCACAGACAAGTCAAAGTAAATTTATCTTTTATTCATAAACCTGAACAACGTAATTGATTAACAGGTTTTGAAACTACCGGGTTATCGTAAGTTCACCCATGGAAACCTGTAAAATTTCCTTGAGGACTGCCACTTTTACCATGAGGTGATGTCAACACAGCAGATCAGTCATGTGGACTTGTGACCATATAAATTAATGCCTAACCCAGTTGAATATGAATTTGAAAATGAAAGCCTCAAAAGGTTAATATGTGAGTTGATGTAATTAGCCGAGTGTGCTTCTGCAGGTTCAGTGTCATATGGGAGTAAACATTGTATTATTTATTATGCGAGCCTTCTCGTCTGAAGTGTGAAAATGTGTCATTGTAGAAAGGTGATATTTAAAACCTAACTTCACCAAACAAATTAACTTTAGAAACCATGTATGGACACAAAGCCAAAATGAACGACCCCAATTATCATATGGTGGTAAATGATTTGAAGCAATATGTGTGTACAGGTACACCCAAACATCAGGAAATATCTCTCTGAATTATTGGGAGTGTTGGAACATAGTTTATTGGTGCATCAATGCATGAAGTTTTAGTATCAAAATTTATTATAAAAGTAGTTCATGTGACAGTCTGTCTGTTGCATAAGGACACTGATGAATCATACATTTTGTAGAAGGGGCTTTTGAGAATTTTTTTATAAAATATCTTATTTTCAGGGCACGAGATACTTTTTGAACCACTGAGTTTTACTGACCTGTTATCATTCCCTTTGGGTTTTCTAGATATATTTGGGTTTTCTAGATATATTTGGGTTTTCAGTCGATATTTACTATCTCGGGTACAGTCCATTGGGTACTTTCAAACTGATAAGTGACCCTTCTTCAAGAATTGGGGCGGTCAGGTAGCCTAATGGTTAAAGCGTTCGCTCATCACGCTGAAGACCCGGGTTCGATTCCCGACATGGGTACAATGTTTGAACCCTCTTATGGTGTCTGCACTACACAGAAATAGATAAGCACGCTACGGGTTACAAACGCATATTACAGTGGTATTTCAGCTGTTCTTCCTCACAATAACACTTCTGATTTAACTAGTTTGCAGTGGAAAAATGTGTCTGTTTAGTATATTTTCTGATTGTAGTGTTTGGAACCAATCAGTCAAATCTGTAAACCAAATATAAGAAAATATCAATTCTAGATTAAATTATGCCATAGAACTTGCATTAGTATCTGAGTTGTAGGTATTACTGTGAACAGCTTAATACTCTATATACCATATTCGACGTAATAAGCGCCCCGCTCTAATAAGCGCTCACAGCGATATTTGCTAATATATTGGCAGGTGAACAATCCCAGTTAGCACCCCTTCTGATTAATCAATGTACACAAGACTTATTTATTCGTGTATAATATGCACACGTGTGTTATATACACCCTTAATTAAGGGGAATTAAATTCAGGAAAAATATATCTGTCGTATATAAACATTTCAGGCCGTCAGTATAAGCCACAAATTTAAATATTCTAATAAGAGCCCCCTATTTCTTTTTTTGAGAGCACCCTGGGCGCTTATTACGTTGTATATGGTAGTTTGTATGTTTCTCTTCTGCCAGGTATACCGCTTCTACAACCTGACCATGCTGACACTAGCTCTCTACGTGGCATTGACCATCTTCCTCATAACAGCCTACGGGCTGGGCTGGACAGTCAAGTCCAACTACCCAGTGAGTACTCAGCCACTTCATCCAGAGCAACACTCCTCAGAGCTCCAGATAAGCTGCGTATCTGGGTAAAAGACGCATCAGAAATGCAGAAATACGCAGTAAAATAAAATCCAAGCGTATCAAATACGCAACAAACATTACAGATACGCTACAAAAATAAAACTTGTGTGTATCATCAAAATATTGTGAAGTAACCCTGCGTATTCGATTAGCAAATCAGCAACTTATTTTGAAATTATAAACGGGCATTCCGTCAACCTTGCCAAACTCCATGATGACAGTTACATCATGATCATTTGCCATCACACTTTCTTGTGGAAGTATCGTGGTACTTTTGAGTCCTATAAAGCTCTCGAACCCAAACGAAACCATTTTGCAGGGACTATATGAATAGTGTTTTTAAATATTTAACTTAAATACCCACATGTGTAAAAACTAGTGGGTAACAGAAATTTGAATACCCAGATACAATTACTGATACCCAATGATTTTAAAATGCATGGGTAAAATACACACAACACCAAAACCTTATCTGGAGCTCTGCTTCTACGTGGAGACAGGCAAATGTACTATTATAGTAAATCATCAAGTCCAAACACTGCCAAAAGAAGAAAACAAATTAAAATAATACAGAGTGATCTCCCTTCGATTAATGAAAGATTTAGTCATTTTACGTTTGCCTATGCTTGTAATTACATGGTCCTTTTAGATATTGGACTTTGGTTGGTGGTGTTTCGCTGAATTGCAAGTTTTCATCTTTTTCAGCCAAATACCTTCCATGAAGTCCACATCATCTTGACAACTTTCATTGTTTCAGCCAAATATCGCTTCCATGAGGTCCACATCTCCTTGACAACTTTCATTGTTTCAGCCAAATATCGCTTCCATGAAGTCCACATCATCTTGACAACTTTCATTGTTTCAGCCAAATATCGCTTCCATGAAGTCCACATCATCTTGACAACTTTCATTGTTTCAGCCAAATATCGCTTCCATGAGGTCCACATCATCTTGACAACTTTCATTGTTTCAGCCAAATATCGCTTCCATGAGGTCCACATCTCCTTGACAACTTTCATTGTTTCAGCCAAATACCCCTTCCATGAAGTCCACATCTTCTTGACAACTTTCATTCTGTTTCAGCCAAATACTCACATCCATGAAGTCCACATCTTCATGACAATTAGCACAGTGCTGGGTCTGTTGTTTGTCACGTCAGCGTTTGTCAAGTACTATGACCTTGTGTTTTGTGGCGAGATGCAGCTCGGCAAGAAGTGGCTGGAGTGTCTATGTTGCTGCTTCAACAGGCGGGTACGTCAACGCTTCTTCCACAGGGCTCATCAAGACCCCTTGCACGGGGCACAGCAACACACCATCTACGGGGCACAGCAACACAACATGTACGGGGCACAGCAACACACCATCTACGGGGCACAGCAACACAACATCTACGGGGCACTTCAGCACACCATCCATGGGGCACATCAGTAACTGTTTCACGGGGCACTGTTGATCAGCTAATCCTTATTAACAAAAAACGGACTCAATCATGTCAAAGCTTGTTCATCAGTTGTGGACTTTCAAGTTCTGTGAAGTGCTGCTGTTATATTATATGGTTTATTATGTTTATGTCAATGTTCTGATATTTTCTATCATCGAACCATTAACAGAAAAATGTTCACATAAAACAATATACCCTAATTCCTATACTGAAAATGTTATGAATGTCTGGGACCGCCTCCGTGGTCTAGTGGTAGAGCGTCCAACCGGAGAACGGAAGGTCCGGGGTTCGATCCCCGACCGCGTCATACCAAAAGATGTTTAAAGATGGTACTTGTTGTTACCCTGTCTGGCGCTCGGCATTAAGGGGCTAAAACAAGGACTGGTTGGCTCGGAGTCAGTATACTGTGTCTGAGTGGGATATTCAAGTTAAACTGGGGCATGGTATCTCAGTGAGCTAGCACTATAAATCGGCATCAGTCCAGACTAGTACAAGCAGCCACACAAACACACACACATACATGCACATCGCTATATAAGTGCAATAATCTTGGACGCGACGTTAAACCCCATTTCACCTCACCTATGAATGTCCAGGGTGTGATTTTCCTATTTTTAGTTCCTACTGGTGCAGCTCAAATGTCATTTAAGATCAAGCATGTGTGTTCCATGCTTCTCAACAGGAACAGTGCATATGTGTCTGGCTTTGTAGGATGGTCAAATTTTTCTTCCACCGTCAAATCCAAATGAAATACTAGAATCAGGGCAACAAATACTCAGTGACCATAAAATAAAACAACACACAGCCGTGCCAATTTACATTTGTCAGAGGGGTACACAAAGAATATGATCTAGACTACCTGTTGTCGGACTTTCATTTTTGTGGAAGCCTTGGGGGCTGACTGGGTTTAGATCGCTGACTTTGTGTGTTTGCGATTAGGTGCCTCACTCTGAGAGTGTGGGTTTGAATCCCGGACGGCACTCAACCCAAACTATACTTTACTATGAAATTGCTTTCCCAAATATAACATTTGTATCACACACTATAGTTCCAGATTTACTGAAACTTGCCTTGAATATGTGATCTGTACTGCCTGTAGTTGTCTGATGAGGTTTGCTTTTGGAACAGGAAGTAAGATTGTGATTTATAGACAAATGTAGAAACACACATGTCCTATCTCACAGAGTAGGAAACCATTGTTAATAGGGTTGAAGTGAAAATCCACAATTTCAGTAATACCGTTTTCTCCCATCTAAAACTGCATTGTCCAGTTGTTTGAAGATAACCAAGTACTCTGCTGTAACTTGGAACATCATCTGGAGTATGTTTCCTGTTGTTTCTGTGCAGCAGCCATGTTGTTGTTGCAGCCTGGTTTGTTAAGATGCCTCCTGCAGGCTGAAATGAGACGACCGCCTCCGTGGGCTAGTTGTAGAGCGTCCGCCCGGAGAGCGTAAGGTCCGGGGTTCAATCCCTGGCTGTGTCATACCAAAAGATGTTAAAAGATGGTACTTGTTATTACCCTGTCTGGCGCTCGGCATTAAGGGGCTAAATCAAGGACTGGTCGGCTCGAAGTCAGTATACTGTGTCTGAGTGGGGTATTCATGTTAAACTGCGGCATGGTATCTCAGTGAGCTAGCACTATAAATCGGCATCAATCCGGACTTGTACAAGCAGCCACACACACAAACACGTACATGCACGTCACTATATAAGTGCAATAATCTTGGACGCGACGTTAAACCCAATTTCACCTCACCTCACCTGAAAAGAGACAAACTCACACTCTGCTTGTGTTGTATATATGATGACCTCTGTTTTTGTGGTTACTGTTGAATGTATTTTATATAGATTTTGCTTTTGACTGAAATGCTTTCATATATATATCCCAACATAACCCATGTTTATTGTGTGCATACAGTAAATGCATTGTGTTTATATTTCATGCCCTGCCACTATCCTTTAACTGGCACGACACCTCTACATAAAACCCACTGTCACACACATACAGTCTTCAAAATTCATGCTAGTCTACTAGCTCAAGACTACTGTAATTCAGGGATGGTGGATGGGGGGCAGGTTTGTTAATGCTAAAGGTATCCTAAGGGCTAGTTGAATTTCAAAAATGTTGGTGGATATTGCTCTATGTTTCACTATTTGAGCTAGCAGATATTCTTGGTTAATTTCCATTGCTGTACATTGTGTAAAAAATTGATGATGATATATTTAATTCTGAACCAGTTCTCAATGTTTAAATTGTTCTACATATTGGAAGTGAATAAAACGGAGAGAAAACAAAGTAAGCATGTTTGTCGTGTTCATGCAGGACTAGGTACGTATACACTCTGAGGACGAGCGACATGAGGTTTACACTTGTCCTCTGGACTTATCTCAAGACAGACACATTTCTAAGGCAGCACATACACATCCAAACACCACCTATCCAAACACCACCCATCCAAACACCACCCATCCAAACACCACCCAGCCAAAGACCACTCATCCAAACACTTACCATCTACCCACCCAGTGACTCCACACCCTCTCAGTGTGCTCAACCACTCAACCATTGCTCAGCTCCCATCTCTCAATCCAATTCGCTGGTCCAGTCCCAATTCATCCCCAGCTCACCCACACTTAGTGTACTGTTAGTGTTAGTGTAAGTTTTAGTGTTAGTGTTAGGTGTACTTATGTCCAGCATAGAGTCAGCACTGTACATGGATAAATAGACAGCAGCAAATGGTGATTACTTTCGTGAATGAGCACTTTGTTTTTGGTTAAAAGTACAAAAATACAATGTTTAAAAAACATAAACATTTTATAAACATAAAGGCTTATCTTGTCAGACTCACAGCACTTTAATTCAATGATGGGTAATATTACACTGTTCTGAGAGTTGTATTTACCACTGTTAACCTTTTCAACAGAAAATGTTTTCAACGATGTGTTTTATTGACTTCCTGCTTTTGCTAATATTTTGCAATGTGTTTTTCATGATTGCTACATTTTCCCCGTGTGTGAATGTCACAGCAAAATGACTTGAGTGATTAACTTCTGATATTTTAAAATAAGTTTGTATTATTAACACATAACTGAGCATGCTGAGTGAGATAAACAACAATATACCTAAACAGATTAATATTTTAAAGTGTCACATTTTCTATATGTTTTATATGCACTATTCGCACTGGTCCCTCTCAAAGTTTGCTTTACCTAACTTGCCTAATTTGCAAATGTTATATTGTATGACTGCAGATAATTATCAGTCTAGAATGTCATAAAAAGGCTGTTTATTTTACAGTTACTACCAACACAGTATCAACATTGATAGAAAGTTTTTTAGTAAGTAGCATTTTTTATGACAGTGCTTATAACACAGTTTAGCATTTTCCTTACTAGGCCATTGGATATAAAACGCTTTAGCCATACTAGGAGCTTTTGTTACGGAGGATATTTAACTAATACATGCACAACGCAAACACATTATCATTCTTATCACATTGCACTTATGTTCTTATGTTATAGTGATAATTATTATTGTGATTGTGGTAACATTACAAGAATAATAGTTTATGTATATATGTAACAGAACGTAGTTTTAACGAACACTGATATTGTGTGTGTACTAATGGCTATTTCAAGTAAGCTATTTCAAAAGTCCTGATTGCTTCACAATATATAGAGGATATTCCATTTTTCTCTCGAGTAACGGGGAGAGGAGATATTTTCACGATTGGTGTGCTGCACTCAGCAATACTCCAGCTTTGTGACAGCGGTCTGTGTATAATCGAGTTTGGACCAGACAATCTGATGATTGATGTTATGAGCATCGATATACGCAAATGGGATATGATGCCATGCATCAACCAAGTCAGCAAGCCTGACCACCTGCTCCCGTTAATCCCCTCTTCCGACAACATGAGTTGCTGAAGACCAATTCTAGCCCAGGTCTTTCGTTTTTTTTGTCTCAATTAGAATCTGATGTGAAATAGTACTGACACCAAATCGGCGACGCATCAACAATGTCACAGCTTTAGGATCTGTAGACGATCCACAGTAAGATCGTTGGTGCATGTTTGTTTTAGTTCCCCCTCACTAACCCTAAACTAGAACTCACATGAAAGCTGGTTAAGGGAAGCTACGATAGTAAATAGGAATCTGATAAAACAGTCAACATTCCTTGATGACATCCGACCTCCTGCGTGGTCAAATGGTAGAGAGTCTGCCCAGAGAGTGGAAGGTCCAGGTTTTATCCCCGGATGCATCATACAAAAAGACATCAAAAGATGGTACTTGTTGTTACCCTGTCTGTAGCATAAAGGGGCTAAAACAAGGACTGGTCATCTCAGTGTCAGTACACTGTGTCTGTGTGGTGTATTCATGATAAACTTTGGCATGGTATCTCAGTAGGCTACCAGTAGAAGCAGCCACACACACAGACAAATACACACATACATGCATTTCGCTATATGAGTGCAATAATCTTGGAAGCGTCAATCTCATTAAAATCTCATTAGTGATCGCTATTGCTGCACAAAGCTTTGTTCAGGATGAAGATGTAGAGTGTTATCTGACCACTTCATTTATAAATGACCATCTGTCTGGTGACAAGTGATTTAAAATGAGTTTGATATGGTTCACAGAAAATACAGAGTTAAGGTGTAAAGAATTATCGCTTAACCCAGCTTCTAACTTTGCCAGCAGGATGACTATTAAAATGCTTTGGAATCTTTCTCCATTTAGTTTCCTTTGAGGGTTTTAAAGGTAACATACTTCATTCAAGGGGAAGTAACTCTGGTAAAGCAAGGGACTTTTTTATTCTTTTCTGTATATACACAGTACCTGCTTAATACTAAGCCATGTAGAAACGGTGTCATGAATCATGAGAGGTGTTCGATCCAACCAGGCAGCCATTTCCTGTTATATTGAATAGGAGATTGAAAGTAAATTTAGGATCATGGATCCAGTGTTTTTTTGTGCATGTGCAACAGGGTATTATTATCTCATCTGGGCAGTTGCTGAAATGTTATTCTCACTTGTGGTGAATCCAATCTCATTAAAATCAGATCTTAGTTTTCGCTATCGCTAAACAAAGATCCAAGGACTTCCCATTAAGGGTCATGTCAGAACGACCTTTCTTCCAACCAATCAGAGCATCGCTTACCAGATCATGAAAGTGACAGCCGGAATGAGTTTCTAATCATGCAACCACGATTTATCTAACACGGGGTATTCCGAACGACAGGTACGGGTTTTATGATTATATCCATACAGTCTAGGCCATCTATAAGCCATACCAGAATGGTCTTCATATTAGTTTTAACATTTTTAATCCAGAATACGTCAAAATATGTTTCAAAGCGTAGTCGCCAGTTTGAAACTAGTGTCGTACAGCTCGAGAAAGCTGCCATCTGATTGGCCAATGTCAATTTCTTGTCGGTCATTTCATTGGTCGGTCAAAATTCGCAAAAGGTCGTTTTGTCGTGACCCGTAATGGGATGTCCTCAGATCTTTGTTTAGTGGTAGATTGTGGTGAATCCAGCGTAGAATTAGTGCCCACTAACACAAGCTTGTTGTGAGAGTTGACACAATGCAGTGGTAGTCAGACACTGTGATGTGGCTGATTGCTTGTCATGGTCCCCAGGTGATGTGGCTTATGTGGAGGCAACTGGATGAATATTTGTTTGTTGGTTTGTTGGTTTGTTGTTTAATGCCACATGCAGCACTATTGCAGCTTTCATGACAGCAGTTTGTCAATAATCAAGTCTGGACCAGACAGTCCAGTGATTGATATCATGAACAATCGATCCACGCAATTGGGATACGATGCCGGGCATCAACTAAGTCAGCGAGCCTGACCACCCGATCCTGTTAGTTGCCGCTTACGACAAGCATAGTCACCTTTTATAACAAGCATGGGCTGCTGAAGACCTACTCTACCCCGGATCTTCATGGGTGACTGGATTAATAACATACTGCCATGTGACCCGTGAAGATCCGTGGTAGAATAGATCTTCAGCAGCCCTTGCTTGACGTAAAAGGCGACTAACGGGATCGGTTGGTCAGGCACGCATTGATGTCATTGATCCTAATTGCGTGGATCGATGCTCATGATATCAATCACTGGATTGTCTGGTCCAGACTCAATTATTTACAGACTGCCGTCATATAGCTGGAATATTGCTGAGTGCCGTGTTAAACAACAAACCAACCAAACCAACCTAATACTGCCATGTTGAAACTAGGATATTGCAGACTGCACACATAATCATGTTAACCAACATTCACTCTCTAACATATTCGCGCAATGCTATACTCATGGTGTAGCACTCAGCACATTGCATAAAGGGAGATAACTATGTTACGAGAAATAAATAAGATGAGATAGTGATTTCGTCTGTCATATTTATTTGATGTTAGACTGCAAATGGGGAAATAGCCATACCTCAAGGGAAATAACCTTTATTTCTGTTCACAGCAAGGGTGGTCGCAAACACATTCCAGAATGGCTGCAAGAGGAAGCCAGCCTGCAGGCCTACCCATATAGATCCCCAGCACTCGGTCCTCCCGCTTCTGCTGTCTACGTGTCCACTGATGTGTTCTGTGCTCAAAGATACCATTCAGAACACAGATACACAATGAAGAGAGAGCAGAGTTATCTGCCCTTACTAATAGCTATTACATGTGATATGTTTGTTTCACGTTTGAGTCTTCCCTGGATGAAATATTCTTATGGGACTTGAAAAACTGTTTGGTATTATGTATGTTCATCATTACGAAAATAGATTCATACCTTTAGTTTCTATCAATCTCATTAAAATGGGATGTCCTCAGATCTTTGTTTAGCAGTAGCGAGAACTAAGATCTGATTTTGATGAGATTGAGTTTCTTTTGAATTGGACACTGTACACTAAAAAGAGACTGGGGGGAAACATTGTCAAGTGGGATTCAAATTATATTTTTTTTAGTTTTGTCAAACTTGTGTTTTAGTTCCAAGTTTGAAAAATGCACTTTCAGCAATGACATTTAATTGAAATTGAAACATTTGAAAAGAGATGTTTCATGTATGCTGTTTATCTATATCCAATCTTATTTAAGTTATAGAAATCAGTAAGTATTGTTATTTTTTATATCATGTTGTTTTATCCGTCAATCACACAAACAGTACAGATTGATACCTGTGACTGCCTTATATAGATACAAAACTAAACTAAATTTCCTGTCACTTTTCCTTCTGCTATGTGATACAGATCAGTGCTCATATTTTAGGTGGTTTCTGGGTCCTTAATGTTTGCTGCTATAGCATTTGAATGTGGGACACCTTAAATAACGGTTAACTTTAGGTTCTGACAATACCGCTTTAGTTTTACGCTGAATTTAGAACACTGCATGTCCACACACAAGGAAATCTCCACCGCCATAGAATGCAAAATGTTTATATGTTCTTGTACTGAGTACATGTATAAATGAATTTTGATAACTTAAAAAAAAATTTGTTGGACTGTTTTATATTTGTAAATTATTTCTCTTAGAAATGTTGAAAAATGAAGTTATGCATCTTCCAGTGGCAAAAGTGTTTACTTAATACCAGTAACCTTTGCCACGGGAAGATGGTAATTATGTATCTAACTTTAGTTCATCACACTTTGTGATATACTGTGGCATTTGATCATTTGTAATCTTTATTTATGTTTAACAACATCTGTCTAATGTTCTTATTAATTGTTTGCATCACATATATACATGCAATTATTTAGTTGTAGTTTGTTTACACTTATGTTTTTGTTTGTGTCCTGCACATGCAGCATTTGTATGTGTGATGTGACTGTCATGGTTCATGAAAATCAGGACTCTCATGGGCATTTCATGCTTGGAAGAGAAGTATTTGGAAGACAGCGTGATTACAACCTGTGATCTCACTGACTGTGTGTCATCATACTTTGATAGTGTCAATCCGTTTTCATGCTGTCTATCACTGTTACCCTGGCCCTGATTACTGAACCCAACTATGTGTATGGTGGTTTTCATAGGGATGTATCTAGGGTTCCAAATAATTGCCCTTTAACAGGCAAATTGGGAAAAAATTGGGATATTTTTCAATTTTGTTACTACAGACCCAGAAGATCTGGGGTAGAATAGGTCTTCAGCAACCCATGCTTGTCGTAAAAGCCGACTAAAGGGATCTGGTGATTAACAACAAACAAACAATCTTGTTACTCTTCTTATTTTTGAAAATTCTGAGGTACTGGACATTTTAATTCAAATTGGGAATTTTTACAGTCATTTGCTGACATGGGCTGAATGTCAACCTCTGTGCTGGTCTAGATAGCTCCTTGGATACTTGGATACAGTATGGTGTTTATAGGGTGTTTTGGTAAGAGATGAAAAGCATTAATTAATTTATTTGGCCCTGAGCAGGGATTGGATTCGGAATATAGCAGATGCATGACAATTATGTCATTCATGCCTTGTCAGTAATCCTTTTTGCATTCTTTGAGTATTACTATTCTTAAAAGAACTAATACAGCATTTCACACCCTCCACCCTGACATCAATTAATGAAACTTCTTTGGAGAGCCGTTCTTGAGTTATGTGATCTCAAAATGCCAGTCACTCAGATACGGTTGGCCTATTTTGCTAACGTCATATAATTGGGGAATAATAGAGTAAGGATATTGCACGAATTTACAATAAACCTTGTAATGCAAGATCTCCAAAAGGTGTATAGTTCATATTAGACTTCTCATTTTTTCGGACGGTGGGCTATTCTGTGCTCAACATAAATTATTTGTACACTTTGATTTGAAGATGAAATCAAATGAAAACAACTAGAATTTGTATATAGGTTTATGGCTGCAAGACTGCGTTATGCCTCGTGATAGTCACGTGCACGAAACGTTCCAATATGGATTCCTGTCATGTTTATGGCTGCAAGACTGCGTTATTCCTCGTGATAGTCACGTGCACGAAACGTTCCAATATGGATTTCTGTCATGTTTATGCCTGTAAGACTGCGTTATTCCTCGTGATAGTCACGTGCACGAAACGTTCCAATATGGATTCCTGTCATGTTTATGGCTGCAAGACTGCGTTATTCCTCGTGATAGTCACGTGCACGAAACGTTCCAATATGGATTTCTGTCATGTTTATGCCTGTAAGACTGCGTTATTCCTCATGATAGTCACGTGCACGAAACGTTCCAATATGGATTCCTGTCATGTTTATGGCTGCAAGACTGCGTTATTCCTCGTGATAGTCACGTGCACGAAACGTTCCAATATGGATTCCTGTCATGTTTATGCCTGTAAGACTGCGTTATTCCTCGTGATAGTCACGTGCACGAAACGTTCCAATATGGATTCCTGTCATGTTTATGGCTGCAAGACTGCGTTATTCCTCGTGATAGTCACGTGCACGAAACGTTCCAATATGGATTCCTGTCATGTTTATGCCTGTAAGACTGCGTTATTCCTCGTGATAGTCACGTGCACGAAACGTTCCAATATGGATTCCTGTCATGTTTATGCCTGTAAGACTGCGTTATTCCTCGTGATAGTCACGTGCACGAAACGTTCCAATATGGATTCCTGTCATGTTTATGCCTGTAAGACTGCGTTATTCCTCGTGATAGTCACGTGCACGAAACGTTCCAATATGGATTCCTGCCAGTGTTGGCTGAGGTCGTATTGTCGGGAAGAGGGGAGCTAGTATTATCTCAGTTTCCTCTCTTAAACTAGTTGATGATTTTACTGCTACACTTTGTTTTTGAAGTATCGCGTTGTCTAATCGTAAGTTTGGTCTGGAAGAAACATGTGTCTCTTTCAGACTCAGGGTTTCTAGTGAAACAATCGTGTGTATGCGTTGTTTTCACTTGACTTGTTACTGCTTGATTATCCAATGTAGTTCAGGAATTATTGTCAAGAAAATGACAGACAGGTAAACGGGTTGTGTGCTATTTTGTATGCTTGAATTACGTTTATGCATGATAATTTAGTTTAATAACATAGTCATTTATAATGCTATCAATTGTTTTTCAATCAGCATTAAACTTTAGTAGTATGACAATTCACGTGAAGCTAGAGATGTGAGAATAAGGTTACCAGTGTCGTTTTCAAACATATTTCTCTGAAATTAAACATGACTATCGGTGCCATAGATGATGCAGCAGCTGGAAACGACAAGCAGACATAGAATCACGGAAATCACGTAACTGTCATAGCCTTGGCACTCAGTTGTATATGAGATCAACTGACTTAATTTTTCAAAGTTTGTAAATGAAGTTATCAAATTGTTTTCAACACATTAGATTTTTCAGTGGCTTTTGTTTTGTATTCCATGTCACAAAGGTTTGTGTGAACAGACTTGTTTTGATGGTATACATGATGCTGCGAAAATAATATTGATTCGTGTACCAATCATTTATTCTTTTATGTTATCTTTTTTTGGTATTTTTTACTGACATATATAAGGTGTCCAGTTGGTTGATGTGCCCAGCAGTGTTGGCTCACCACGCGGAGAAGATGGGTTCCTTGTTGGGTGTTCATTGATGTGATATTGCTGGATTATTGCTAAACTATTTCCAGGGAGACATTAACCTCGACCCACTCACTCACTCACTCACGCACGCACGCACGCACGCACGCACGCACTCACTCACTCACTCACTCACTCACTCACTCACTCGAATGTGATCAATCTGGAACAAAATATTAATAAGTGAATCCAAGTCTTGATTATGCGTCCCTTGCCCAGTGTTGAAACTCATCCCGAACTGTGTCAATTTCGAACGCAAAACACAAGTTTCTCGCGACCACAATAGTTCTCGGCCTATAGTTACAACAATGTAGAGGCCGTATCTTTTTAAATCATTCAGATACGATTGCACCTTGTCAGATTATGATCATTTATTAAAAAAAACAACTTTTTATTTATCCCCTATTTCGGAAATGTTCCTAACTTTTCAAAAAGCATGACCTGATTTACGTTTCCCACTATGAACAATTTCCAAACCAAGACCATGAGTAACGTGATCAAGTGGAAAAGTTCATAGTAATCTGGACGGACGTCTTCAGAAAAGCAAACGTAGACAAGCATGTTGGTTTTGTAAAAATAACACAGAGAAGAAACAGGTGATTACAAAAATTGTAGCAACCCACCTTAGAGGTTACATCAGCCGAGAGCCCGATTGTGTCGCTCAGCCGAGGTGACTTAGGCTTCATCAAGCAAAGTTGAACCCGGCAATCCGCAATCTATCAACAATCTGGAACCTCCAATAACAATAGACGACGTAACATGTGGTTTCTAATTCCAGGTTAATAGGTGAAATGGGGTTTAAAGTTGTGTAAATTTCCTCGTAGCGACGTGCATGGACGTGGGTGTGTGGAGACTGTTACTTGTCCGGACTTATGCCGGTTTCATAGTGCTAACCCACTGAGATACCTCGCTGCAGTGTAGCATGGCTATCCCACGCAGACACAGTACACTGACTCTAAGTCTACGAGCATCACGCAGGGTAACAAGTAGCATCTTTGTACTTCTTTTGGTAGGACTCTGCCAGGGGATCGAACCACCGCCTTCAGCTCTAGTGTCTAATTCTAGAATATAAGGGTCGAAATAATGAATGTAATGTGTAATTTCTAGACGATATTTACCCGTGCAATTTAACAAGTAGTCCTGCACCATGACTGGAATATATTTATTTTATGAAAAAATAATAATCTAGAAACGCATACAAAAGCAAGTCTAGCCAGCTCTAGCTAGCTCTATTCCACAGTCATGTCTTTTTGGAGAGAGGACCGGTCGAAATAGCGACCGGTATTTAAGTCCCTTACTTATCATATCATGGAATCCATGTGGCGGGTGTTGTGGACAGATTGGTTGATACGGTGGTCAGAGAATGTGCATTAGAAAATTTATTTGGACACTTGTCGAATTTACATTTCAAGATTGCCCTGATAGGAAGGCTCTGAAAATGTTTATTCTATGAAATCAGCATAGGGATTTTTATTTTTAGTCAAGAAGGATATTAGGTAATATAAGATTTCAGAGACTGTTCAGATTGGTCTGTTCTAGCGTCACATGGTTCCATTGTTTGCAATCATGACCACGCAAAGGGAGTACGTTTCGTTTTCAGAACAGTGGTTGATGTTATGTGCTATTTCTTTGGAGGTTTGGCATTAAGAACGTTTATCTTCAATTTCTCTTTTCAAATAATCGGAAATGACAGAGATAATGGTGAATGATTGATGTAAATTCCCCGTCCAAGATACGCCGGTACGGCAAGCCGTTTTCACATTTATTAAGGAATAACAGATATCTTCAATTGTTTTAAAGATATCGGTATTTTATTTAAAGATATCAATAATGTTTTTAAGATATCAAAAATTAATTAAAGATATCTTAAATTCATTTCTGATATCCATAATATAATTACTGATATCTTAAAATGTTACGGTGATATCAACAAATTAGTTTGTGATATCTCTAAATGTATTTAAGATATCATATAACATTTACCATCCTACAGTACATAAATATATTAGAAATAAATTCAAGAAATCTTAAATTCAATTCAAGATATCTTGAAATAAGTTATACATATCCACAAATGCATTACATATATCTTTAATTCAATTAGAGATATCATTAATTCTGACCGTTACTGATATCAAAAATCCATTTAAAGATATCATTAATAATTTTGATGATATCTTTATATCAATTATTGATATCAGTTATCTAATTTAAGTAACATTATTAATGTAACATCTTTAATAATGGTACAATTGAAGATATCAATAATTAATTATTGATATCTGTATTTAGTTTCAAGATATCCGGAATTGAATGAATGACATCATAACAAAACATGACATTTTGATATCTTTAAATCATATTTTGATATCAATAATCGAATTTAAGATATCTTCAATTCTTTTCAAGATATCAGTAATACGCTTCACCATATCCTTAATTCATTTCGTGATATCTTAAATTTTATTGCAGATATCTACAACTATCTGCATTTAAGATATCTTCAATTCGATTCAAGATATCTTCAATTCAATTCAAGATATCTTTAAAACAATTCAAGATAACTGTAATTCCGTAATAAATGTGAAAACGGCTTGCCATACGCCGGGACTTAAACCATTCTTTCACCGGAGGCAGAAGTTAGATATGCCATTTAGCTCGTGGTCTCAGGAAACGTATGATACTAGGTTCGCGATCCTCGATTCTCACATATTGTTTGTAGGTTTGTCAGCAGCAGACCCGTGTAACGCCAATTCGGCTTAACATTTATTAGGTATAAAATAACATATATCTATCAGGTATAAACGTTGATTTGTGGAAAGAGCAAACGAGATGAACAGTTCACGAATACTGCCAGGCTGGGTTATGTCACAGTCACGTGTAGGCAAATATTTCCAACATGGCTTCCAGCAAGTGCTGGCCGAGGTCCCGTTGACCGAGTGGCCCATGATCACAGATCACTCACATATCACAGAAATATCTCAGGACACCTAAACCGAAGTCAATGTCAGTGTGTACGTGTGGGGAGTTTTATATATACATGTGTACACCATATATAAATAGACTCCCGGTGTGTGTCGCCACGGTCAGCTGATCGCACTGCTTGAAAAGACGTCCTACATTCAATGTTGATTCGTGAGTTGCGCCTCTTTGTGGAGGTAAAGTATTCATTATAATGAGGGAATAATGTATGTCCTCGAGTATACACCCATATACAATTAAGCTGTGTCAACGATTGCAAGTACACGTGTATTCTGCAACATAGGACTCCGTTTATCCGGGTTTCTTATTACATAGTTCTGAACAGAGACGTTTCTGTAAGGGTCTTGATTGTGCTGCAGTCACCCCACATAACTCCCAATCCCAGTACATCCTGTTCAAGAAAGATCTTATTACACTATGTTAGTACGCAGATCTTAGTATTATCTACGTTCAGATATACTATCATATATTTTCGGGGTCGGTCGGGTAGCCTTGTGGTTAAAGCGTTCTCGTCACGCCGATGACCCGGGTTCGATTCCCGCCATGGGCACAATGTGTGAAGCCCATTTCTGGTGTGCCCCGCCGTGATATTGCTGGAATATTGCTACAAGCGGCGTTAAATCATACTCACTCACTCATATATGGCTCGCTGACCAGGCATTTCTGTTGTACTGTAATTTGAGTTGAACAGAATTGCCGTTATACCACGGCGTGTCAGCTTGATGAGGGAGAAAGGATTGAACTTAAAGGTCGTAGACTTTACCACATTGGTGAAACCCACGAGCATGAACATGGTGCTGATGAACCAAGAAACATAATCAGGGAGAACCTGGATTCGAACTCACGACCATAGTATCTGGCACGCCTAAGTGATGTAAATACACACAGCGAACTGCGGCTGCATGGACGTAAGGGCCACCCGCGCCCTCCTTATAATTTGGAAATTAACCCTATCCTGTCGGAATCAGATATATTGGGGTCTCTTCAAGCTGTATGAGACATGGATGCTTGCCACATTAGTACAGTGCCATTCACAAGGGACAATCTGTCCATGGTAATCAAGAACTACAACACATGCACATTTCGCCATAAATATATTATTTCAGAACATAATTAACAACATTTAATGATGATTAGTTTATAAAATTAATATACATCAATCCGTCACTATACCATGTCTTAAACAATTCCACGTATGATAACATTTTCAGTCACTTTGCAGACCAGCTGCAGACACATTGAACACATGATGGCATGACATGGCCAGACACTCACACAGACCTGATGTCAAGATCGGACTAAAGTAGAGACAACATGTGAACAGTCACCGACAAGGGGTGGCAGTTTGTTTACGGGAGTTCCGGTGTTGAGAACCAAGGAAAGACACTGTGACACTCTAGTGAGTGAGTGAGTATGGTTTTACGCCGCTTTTACCAATATTCCAGCAATATCACGGCGGGGGACACCAGAAATGGGCTTCACACATTGTACCCATGTCGGGAATCGAACCCGGGTCTTCGGCGTGACGAGCGAACGCTTTAACCACTAGGCTACCCGACCGCCCCGACACTCTAGTACTGCGTATACAGTTTCATTATGAACGCTCAGTTTGCACCAACGTTAAGTGTTAAGTAAAAACAACAGGGATCAAGGAATTCATCCACACACTGAAAGCGAAGTCAGACTTCATCAGTTCATCTCACCCATTTGACCTTTGATTCTGTGCCCTGTGGAAGACAGTATCACAATGTTCTAATTATGTATTGTCAGGAGGTAGGGACTTGTATTGTTTTGATTGAGTGAAACGCTTCCAACTTGCTGAGGTTGACGATTGTCCAGTCGTTCCTGAATTCGTGAATTCTCCTTCCAAGACCATTGGTGCTGACAAATTTCCAATAACGAGATTAGCACCGTTTCATTGTCTGCCGCCTGATCACCTGATTGGACACCCGGTGTACTAAACGTACACTCTTAACAGTAAAAAAACCGTCCGGCTGCTTTCTGAGACGTTTTTAAATCGTTGTTTCTCGTAGCCAACATACGCCTCTGGAATGACGAGGCGGGGTTATTTCTTAAAGGTGAAGGTCATGCAGGACGTTCGGTTCATGGTGCGTATGGTGGGGGTGGTTCTGGTTTGTATGTCTCAGAGTAAGGAGGGAGTACAACCAGACCCGGAGACGATATAAAAAACACATTCTGTGACATTGGATCTGAATCTACCGGATATCCGGTTTCGCCCGGAAGTGAGTCACGCATAACAGTTTGTTGATAAACATGGCTTGCAATAGTCTGATTGGCGCGTCTCCTGCGTGCGCTGAGATGCCGTCTCTTATAGCGTCGCAGCATGAAACACACAATACAGGCAAATATGGAGAATATTGCAAAAAAGGCCACAATGTAAATCATAGCATCGCCGTTGACTTCCATGTTCTGAAATCAGAAAAGAACAGCCTTTGTTCAATGTATAAGCTTTGTTTGTTTGTTGTTTAACGCCGCACTCAGCAATATTCCAGCCATTTGACAGCGGTCTGTACATAAACGAGTCTGGACTAGACAGTCCAGTGATTGACATTATGAGCATCGATTTACGTAATTGAGATCCAATGATATGCATCAACCAAGTCACCGAGTCTGACCACCCGATCCTGCAATGAATATATGCTTTGTGTTAGACAAAAGGGCGGGATATATTAATGTTTCCGCATGACCGAGTAATTTGGTGCCTTTAGATATAAGTGGTGTGAACCTGGATTCGAACCTACGATCATACGTTATGTCGCACCCGAAGGACGCAACCATAAACACAGTCATGCAACCCTACACATGCTTTGAGTTTACGTCAATGGCAATCGACTTTCAGTGTGTGTTTTGTGTGAGGTATTTCTAATGTGACCGCCAGATGCTATTCTTTGTGGCAATGTATTTTTACTACACGCGTTATACATTGACGGACTTGACCTGTGGTTATCTAGGTCATGTATTGTGCATGGCTGGTTTGGGGAGATGACTCGACAAATGTTCTGCTCTGTTTACAGCTAACATAACCCGTCTGTAAAAAAATTGTAATACATTTCTGTCAAACATGTATACCCCATTTAGAAATAGTATATTGACTCAGAGACGACTAGTCCTTGTTTTTAGCCCCTTAATGCCGAACGCCAGGTAGGGTAACAAAAAGTACCACCCTATGGCGTACTTTGGTGTCACGCGGCTGAGGATCGATCCCCCAGCCTGCCGCTCTCCGGGCGCACACTCTACTTCCACTGGGCCACGGAGGCGGTCTTGTGATATACAAGACTTACATGAAACACATATATGAAGAGTTTACATACCTACGAATGGAGCCAGAGAGTTACATATTCACAGTTCTGTACAGTGCCCCTGACCTCGTGTATGTGACACGCCCCGTTTGTATATCATTCTTGATTGACTTGGCATCACACGGTCTAGAACTTTGTGGAGCAAATATATTGCTGACAGAGCTGAAGTCGTCACGTTTCTGTCTCGCACCCCTTGAGTCACGTGACAGGCCAAGCGAAAACTCACCGGGAAGAACATTTGGGGTAGGGGCGCTCTTTGTTACTATTTATAGAGAGCTTATCGGTGAATATGTTGGGTGCGCTGTGAAATTAGTTTTATTGTTTTGAATGTACGTGAGCATTAAAAGAAGAGACGTAATTATATAATCATAAACAAAATGTCATTAATTGATTGATTCGTTTGTTGATTGACTGGTTGGTTGGTTGGCTGATTGATTACACTGATATATTGATTCATTTATTCATTGATATCATATTTGGTCGCCGACTCCAGGAGAGTCCCTGTCCATTGACAAATGTTGGCAACTAATCTCTTGGATTGCTATGGTCTGGACAGTGACACATGTTGTCAACTCACCTCTAGGATCACTGTGGTCTGGACAGTGACACACGTTAGTACCTCACCTCTAGGATCACGATGGTCTGGACAATGATGCACGTTGTCTACTCGCCTCTTGGATTCCTATGGTCTGGACACTGACACGTGTTGGTGACTCACCTCTAGGATCACTTTGGTCTGGACAGTATCACATGTGGGCAACTCACCTCTAGGATCACTTTGGTCTGGACAGTGCCTCGTGTTCGCAACTCACCTCTAGGATCACTTTGGTCTGGACAGTGCCACGTGTTTGCAACTCACCCCTAGGATCTCTATGGTCTGGGCAGTGACACGTGTTGGCAACTTACCTCTAGGATCACGATGGTCTGGACAGTGTCACGTGTTGTCAACTCACCTCTAGGATCACGATGGTCTGGACAGTGGCACATGTTGGCAACTCACCTCTAGGATCACGATGGACTGGGCAGTGACACGTGTTGGCAACTTACCTCTAGGATCACGATGGTCTGGACAGTGGCACATGTTGGCAACTCACCTCTAGGATCACTTTGGTCTGGGCAGTGTCACGTGTTAATAACTCATCTCTTGGATCACTATGGTCTCGACAGTGGCACGTGTTGGTAACTCATCTTTTGCATCACTAGGGGCGGTCGGGTAGCCCAGTGGTTAAAGCGTTAGCTCGTCACGCCGAAGACCCGGGTTCGATTCCCGACATGGGTAAAATGTGTGAAGCCCATTTCTAGTGTCCCCCGCCGTGATATTGCTGGAATATTGGTAAAAGCGGCGTAAAACCATACTCACTCACTCACTCTTGCATCACTATGGTCTGGACAGTGACACATGTTGGCTACTCACTTCTAGGATCACTATGGTCTGGGCAGTGTCACGTGTTGATATCTCACCTCTTGGATCACTATGGTCTGGACAGTGACACATGTTGTCAACTCACTTCCAGGATCACTATGGTCTGGAGAGTGGCAAATGTTGGCAACTCACTTCTTGGATCACTATGGTCTGGACAGTGGTACATGATGGCTACTCGCAATTTTCGCTCTCATATATTGGCTAAATGACGTCATGAAAAGCTGGACCAATTTTGAGAATGACCTTTATAGCGTCACATTATTCTATTGTTTGCAGTCATGACCTCGCAAACGTTTCGTTATCAGAACAGTGGTTGATATTATTTGATATTTCTTTGGAGGTTTGGCATTAAGTACGTTTATCTTCAATTTGATGCTATTATGGTAAAATATTGCTGTAAATCCGCCGTCAAAGATACGGGGCTTCATTCATCTGAAGCGGAAGTTCGATATTCCACTCGACTCGCGGTCTCAGGATACCCATGATCGTAGGTTCGCGTTCCCCGATGTGTCCAAGTTCTGTCAGCACCACACACGTGTCCGTGGGTTCCACCAAAATGGCAAGCATGTAGAACCTGCATTACTTAGAGCTCTCCTCCTACATCAAGGTGACAATCCCTTAACCGACATACTGTTTAACCGCGTTAAACCCAGCTCACTTCTTGCGACTAAACCATAACTGTTCATCCATATCATACCGAGCATGTTTGTGTTAGAATTGTTAAACCGAACTCACTTACTCAATAAAGGCACATGTCTTTTGTGTATTTGCTATGTTATTTATCAAACTTGAACGCCTCCAAACACTTGGGTCCACGCGGCACTTTCCCTGCTACCTCATACCTACATAATGTATAGGACACAATGAACTGGTGACAACACTCGATTTCAGTGTAAACTGTAAATTTCGGTTTTTAACACAGGGTATTGTCTGCTTTACATTTATAAGATGTAAAGTTTTATTTAAAGCAAAGGGGAACATTATGAACAGTTCACGAATGCCAGGTTGTGTTATGTGATAGTCCTGCAAGTGCTGGCCGAGGTCCCTTGCCAGAGTGGCCCCAGATCACAGATCACAGATCACAGAAATATCCGAGGACATCTATGCCATTGTGCTGTTGTTGTTGTTGTTTTAAGTGTTGAAGAGGTCACCTTCTGCCTTAGCAATGTCTGCTGACCTGTCCCTCTTTGAGACTCATGTGTGTGAGAGATTATATATATACATGTGTACAATATATAGACTCCCGGTATGTGCCGCCAAGGTCAACTGATCGCACTGCTTGAAAAGGCGTCCTACATTCAATGTTGATTCGTGAGTCGCGTCTCTTTGTGGGGGTAAAGTATTCTTTATAATGAGGGAATAATGTATGTCCTCGAGTATACACCCATATACAATGAAGCTGTTTCAACGATTGCACATACACGCGATTCTGCAACATAGCACTATGTATGTCTTATCTCCTGAATTCTCATTAAATAGTTGTGAACAGAGACGTTTCTGTAAGGGTCTTGATTGTGCTGCAGACACGCCACATAACTCTCAGTCCCAGTACATCCTGTTCAAGAAAGATCTTTATTGGGCACGCCAGAAACCTATGATTGTGGATTCGAATCTCGGTTCGCCCCAATTATGTTTTTAGGTTTGTCAGCACCATACCCGTGCTCGTGGGTTTCACCGAAGTGGTAAACGTCTGAGACCTTCGGGCTTTCCTCCCACATAAAGCTGACACGCCGTGATATACCTGGAATACTGTTAAAAGCGGCGTTAAACCCAACTCACTTATTTATACTATCATATATTTTGGGCTTAAATATCATCATTCCTTAAATTGTAAACAAAACGTGAAGTGCGAATCCATTTGATTTATTATCCTGTGGGAATTTCGAATTAGAATTGGTCGTAAGAGATGAATTAATGCTGTTGGGGTCAGATAATTATTTTGGGGTCCCTACAGGCGGTATGAGACATGGAAACTTGCCACATAAATACAGTGCCATTCACAAGGGACAATCTGTCCATGGTAATCAAGAACTACAACACATGCACATTTCGCCATAAATATATTATTTCAGAACATAATTAACAACATTTAATGATGATTAGTTCATACAGTTAATATACATCAATCCGTCACTACACCAGGTCTTAAACAATTCCACGTATGATAACATTTTCAGTCACTTTGCAGACCAGCTGCAGACACATTGAACACATGATGGCATGACATGGCCAGACACTCACACAGACCTGATGTCAAGATCAGACACAAAAGTAGAGACAACATGTGAACAGTCACCGACAAGGGGTGGCAGTTTGTTTACGGGAGTTCCGATGTTGAGAACCAAGGAAAGACACTGTGACACTCTGTGTAAACAGCTTCCTTATGACTGCTCAGGCTGAACAAGTGTTAAGTGTAAAGAATATACAACCGGGATCCAAGGAATTCACCCACACACTGAAAGCGAAGTCAAGCTTCATCAATTTCTCTGTGACGTCAACACAAGGCTTTCAGTCGAAGGCTTCTTGCTAATATATCCCCACTAAATGGTTTATAGAATATCGTTTACAGTACATACATAACACTAACAAAATATATTTAATATACATTGTTTAAGGTATTATATAGGACCTTTTTCGGACACAGTCTGCCAATATTGTTTCAAAATCACGCCCTGGGGTCTGACTATGTTTAGTCAGGGATTTCCAGTGAGCATTTTCTTGTTACCTCAATTGATTTCCTCAGGACCAACTACAGTTTATACATGCTAGCATGTGAACAAATCGTTTATGTAACATACTTGTTCATTGTTAGTCCTTCACAAACGTAAAACTGACCATGTTTTGTAACTTAGTTCTAATGCACAGTGCCATGAAAGAAACTTTGCTTGTCTGTCATTTGAATTATTTTACTTTTTCAATTTGAGTTGGCAAAAAGGCCTCTTGTTATTGCTCATCATTAAACTGAACATCTTTAAATAATTTTTGTTCCATATTTTTCGTGCCAATGGAAAAGTTCATGGTGTGATACACATACCCATTTGACATTTGATTCTGTGCCGTGGGAGAGACAGTGTCGCTGTGTAATCAGCCAATTAATTATTGACAGGAAGTAGGGACTATTGTTTTGATTGTGTTGGAAAGATTCCAACTTGCTAAGGCTGACGATTGTCAGGTTATCGTTCCTGAATCCTCCAACCAAGACCACTTGTGACGACAAATTCCCAATGACGCCATTAACACCGTTTCATTGTCTGCCGCCTGATCACCCTTCACACAGTGCACATCAGCAAAAAGTGCACATCGCCCGGCTGCTTTCTGTGACGTTTTTAAATCATTGTTTCTCGTAGCCAAAATACGCCTCTGGAATGACGACGTTGGGTTATTTCGTAAAGGTGAAGGTCATGCAGGACGTTCGGTTCATGGTGCGTAAGGTGGGGGTGGTTCTGGTTTGTATGCCTCAGAGTAAGGAGGGAGTACAAGCAGACCCGGAGACGATATAAAAAATACATTCTGTGACAGTGGATCTGAATCTACCGGATATCCGGTTTCGCCCGGAAGTGAGTCACGCATAACATTTTGTTGATAAGCATGGCTTGCTGCAGTCTGATTGGTGCTTCTCCTGCGTGCACTATCTCGTCGTCTCTTATAGCATCGTAGCATGGACCACACTATACAGGCAAATATGGAGAATATTGCAAAAAGGGTCATAATAATACCCATGATGTAGGCGGCGCTCTCCATGTTCTGAATAAAAAAAAACAGCCGTTGTTAATGAATATGCTTTGTTTGTTTGTTTGTTGTGTAGACGAAGTTGTACAAGCATTATCGGATGATGTAGCAATATTTGCATATAGTGTTCTAAATTTACAGAATAAGACAGATATGTCCTAAACATATTTTGCTACGCAGGGAGCATCTGTAAATACTAACAAAACTAAAGTTGTTGTTTTCAAGAAATGAGGAAATATATCTAAACATGAGACATGGTTCTTCGGTCATGAAAGACTGGAAGTAATATCATACTACAAATATCTTGGCTTAACAATTTCATATCGAAATTTATTAGTTTATCATTAAATTTAGAAAAATACCTGTTGATTCGCTGTTTAGGATATTTGATGGTAAAATACAGCCAATCCCGGTGTACGGCTCGGAACTTATATCGCCATATTTAAACAAAATTTTATAAATTTGTTCTTGGCGTCGGCTACCGGTTACCAAATAAGGCAATTTTAGCAGAATGCGGAAGGCACCCGATATATATACACCACCAATGTAGGGTAATCTCATACTCGATACGTTTGCTCAGACAACTAGATACACGACACTCTAGACGATGCTATTACATGCTTAAGCGCCTTGGTGACTCTGGGGATATAAACTGGGCTTCAGCTGTTAGAGAAACTCTTTTTTCGCATGGATGTGCATACGCATGGATATCCCAGGATGTTGGAAATAAAATAATGTTCTTAACAATGTTTAAACAACGATGTAAAGAGATGTATTCTCAAGGCTGGTCAGCTGATATCAGATGTTCAAAATCGCTACATGCCTGTTCCATGTTTAAGATGGAAATAATACCATAAATGTATTTAACAAGTATTCGATCTTTATCTGTACGCAGCTGTTTAACGAAGTTCAGGTGTGGTATACATACCCTCAATATACAATTATACAGGCACTCCAAAGATAATGATGTTTTAACATCGATGTGTCCTTACTGCAAATTTTACCAAAAAGATGAATACTATGTTTTATTATTTGTCCAGTTTATGAAGATATAGGAATCAAATACCTGCCTAACTATTATTATACGTATCCATCACAAAGAAAATGTGTACAGTTAATGAACAACAAAAATAGCCACATTCTTCTTGTTTATAAGATATTTGAAAGAAGGATGATACATTGAATATTAATAAAACTGTGTACATCTATTCTGCTATGATATACACGTAGTACTCCACGACGAATTTTCCTAGTACAACAGAATGTCATTGTACTATTGGCCTCATGAACACACCTATACGATATAAATCTGTCTGTCTTATTCTGGATGTAGCCATTCAAATAAAACACACCCCAACGTGTTTGTTGTTTGTTCGCCACACTCAGCAATAGTCAAGCTATTGGACGGCGGTCTGTAAATAATCGAGTCTAGAGCAGACAAGCCAGTTATGACATGTTGAACATCGATCTACGCACTTGGGATATGCTGATATGCATCAACCAAGTCTTCGTGCATTTCTGAAATCCCGTGACACCACAGTTTGATGTCTAGGAACAATTACTCCCGTATGATACACTACAATGTCCTCCTACGTGTTCACAAAGAACATAACACATACCTAAAGTGTACTATTACTTGTTTTGTTCGATTGGCCACTTGAATGATATGATTCAATATTTATGGTGGAGTGTTCAATACATGTCAATATAGGTTGCACATCTTATATAATGCTTCTTAGCCTGTTATATGACACTTAAACACGTATGAATGTGTGAGATGTTTTTTCGCCACCTTTAGAAATATTCCAGCAATATCACGGCTAAAGGACACGGGGAATTTGCCATGTTGGGAGTAATCAAATCGTGACGCGCGAACGCTCCAACCACAAAGTCGACGTCTAGCCTACCCCAATCGCCACTCACAATAAGAATATAACTTTTCATACGTCACTTCCTTGTCTGTTTCATCAGAACATTTCAACCTATTTACCATGGTCACCTTGCCTACCCACACTTAAAACCCTTCAACCATGACACCCTTATGTGAACATACATTCTCAAAAGTCTTAACGCTATGATCAAGAGATCGCCGGACGGCGAGACCACAAAGAACCCTGACATGTCATACTCCCTCAGACAGATTATGACACAATGAATAAATATTTACCGATCTCCTTCCACGAACCACTAGAGGAAAACGATCAGGTTATAGATACATTGATAGTTAAGTACATATAGATGAGTCATGATGGGTGGTAAGCAGAGGCGACCTATATCGATTTTCAATTTGTGTGTTGTGTGAGGCATTTGGCAACCAAATGATACCCTATTCATGGAAGGACTTTACCTTCTAGGGCATTTTTGTGAATTGCTGGTTGCGCGAGATGACTCGACGGATGTTCTGCTCTGTTTACAGGGAACATTACCTGTCTGTAAACATTTTGTTTACTGTCTTTGTAATCCTGCTAAACACATGTCCAAATATGTCAGTGACGATTACTATGACGTGGATGTCCAAAGAAATATTGTTAGCATGGGCTTGTTTGGTAAAACATGCTTAATTGTTTTAATTGGTATTGAAGTCATTCAAAGGTTAATATATAGGTCGTGGTATACTCACATATATGAATAGTGTACATACCTACGAATGGAACCATAGAGTTACACAAGCAAGTCCCAGCTCTATGCAATGCTCCTAGCCTCGTGTATGTCACACGCCCCGTTTGTATATCATTCTTGATCCACTCAGCATCTCACGATCTTGAACTTTGTGGAGTAAATATCTTGCTGTCAGAGCTTAAGTAGTCACGTCGTCTCGCACCCTGTGTGTCACGTGACAGGCCAAGCGCAAACTAGCCGGGTGGAACATGTGAGGTAGGGGGCGCTCTTTGTTATCATGAAAAGAGATATCACAGGTACATGGGTTGGATGTTCTGTGAAATGAATGTTGATGTGTTGGAGTTATCTGAACCTTATAAGGGGTTTTACTTTTAAAGCCAATAACTCATTGCCATTGCTTTCTTGCTAAATGGATTAACTGCTTGATTGAACATGTTTTTCAGTCAGTAATTTTCAGTTTTATACTGATGTTGTTCGCAACGAATGATGAGCAAAGAGTTGTTATTTCACCTCATTATGTTTTTAATAAACATTTTCAACATACAGTATGTGATAATGAAGTCTTGAATTTGTGTCGCTACCACGTGTTGGTAACTGACCTCTTGGGTCACTTTGGTCTGGACAGTGCCACGTGTTGGTAACTGACCTCTTGGGTCACTTTGGTCTGGACAGTGCCACGTGTTGGTAACTGACCTCTTGGGTCACTTTGGTCTGGACAGTGCCACGTGTTGGTAACTCACCTCTAGGATCACTTTGGTCTGGGGAGTGTCACGTGTTGGTAACTCACGTCTAGGGTCACTATGGTCTTGACAGTGCCACGTGTTGGTAACTCACCTCTAGGATTACTATGATCTGGACAGTGCAACATGTTGGTAACTCACCTCTAGGATTACTATGATCTGGACAGTGCCACGTGTTGGTAACTCATCTCGAGGATCACTATGGTCTGGGGAGTGCCATGTTTTGGTAACTCACCTCTAGAGTCACCATGGTCTGGACAGTGTCACGAGTTGGTAAGTCACCTCTATTGTCACGATGATCTGGACTGTGGATCTCGCTACTTAACAGGTTTTTTAGTTAACCGTTATTGAATCATCTGTACGAACACTGATATGAGACACAAATAGTAACTAAAATAATAGTCATGAGGATTGCAATCTATATTTCATGTTCAAATGTAATGATACAATTCAAAGAAAAGACAAATTGCACCATGAACACATTGACTTAGAGTGAGTGAGTGAGTGAGTGAGTATGGTTTTACGCCGCTTTTGGCAATATTCCAGTAATATCACGGCGGGGGACACCAGAAATGGGCTTCAGATATTGTACCCATGTCGGGAATCGAACCCGGGTCTTCGGCGTGACGAGCGAACGCTTTAACCACTAGGCTACCCGACCGCCCCTTGACTTAGAAGGTCACTCCATAGACAATGACTTTAATTTTGCTCCTTTACCTTTGGTGGCACGGGGTCTTGTGTACAGCGCATAGGTCACAAATCAGGTGAAGTTTATCAACGTCGGCCGCGAAAAGTCCTTGGTTGGTTTTGGCAGCCTGGCGTCTGAGGCTTCGGCCCTGCCCCACACTGAAGCACATTTAACACATGTGGCGTCTCCTTGGGCAAGTGACTTTGTTCGAAATGAGCCTCTGTTCACCCATCAGTGAATAGGTACCCGGTAGGATGAGATGGCAACATTCTAGCTCCTAACAGGCAGAGTGGGTTGTATACTCCCCAGGGAGCTGGGAATGATTCTTGAGCGCACAATGATCCAGTGACCGGGGTAATAATAGCGCTTTGAGCTCGTTGGTCTAACTAAAGTGGTAAACGTCTGAGACCTGCATCACTTCGGGCTTTCCTCAGATTCAACTGACGCGCCGTGATATAACTTGTTATAATATTGTTCAAAGCGGCATTAAACATAACTCACTCACTCACCCTCAAACCGTGGACTTGTGTAAGAGTTCAATGGATGAGCACCTCTGACTTTGCGAACTTTCTTTTGCTGATAACCTTATATTTTCCAGTGTGTAGCATATATATAATTAGTATAAAAAGAGAAAATATTAACCGGCTAGCCAAAGTAACACAGAGGCTGTAAAACTGAGTGAGTGACTGAGTGAGTTTGGTTTAACGCCGCATTTAACAGTATTTCAGTTTTATCGCGGCGTGTCAGCTTAATGTAGGAGGAAAGCCCGAAGTGATGCAGGTCTCAGACGTTTACCACTTTGGTGAAACGCACGAGCACGGGTATGGTGCTGACAAACCTAGAAACATAATCGGGGCGAACCGGCTGTAAAACTGACGTTGTGTTTGGTTGTTATATTAATCAACCTTATGTCACCACTGTACTCCTACGTTGTACACCTTTCTCTTTTGTGTTTTTTATCAAGTTAATGTTATTCGTGTGCACGTATGCTCAATGTTGCCTTCTTCAGGGGTCAGTGGTTTAGAGCTTAGCTCATCTCTCGACGAACCGGGTTCAATGTAAAATGGGTACTGCTCTGTGCCAATGTCCCCCGTTGTGATATGGCGAAGTTATTGCTTAGGCGACTTGTGAAATTAAAATGCGTGTTATTTCGTAATGATTATACTATGTGTGGTTATGCAAGTTTTCTATTCGAGCTTATTCAATGGTGAACAAAATGTATTTATGTAACTCTAGTGAGTGAGTGTGGTTTTACGCCGCTTTCAGCAATAATCCAGCAATATTACGGCGGGGCTCACCAGAAATGGGCTTCACACATTGTACCCGTGTCGGGAATCTAACCCGGGCTTTAACCACTAGGCTACCCGACCACTCCTTGTAACTCTAGTGACCGCCTCCGTGGTCTAGTGGTAGAGCGTCCGCCCGGAGAGCGGAAGGTCCGGAGTTCGATCCCCGCCGTGTCATAGAAAAGACGTTAAAAGACGGTACTTGTTGTTACCCTGTCTGGCGCTCGGCATTAAGGGGCTAAAAGAAGGACTGGTCGGCTCGGAGTCAGTATACTGTGTCTGAGTGGGATATTTATGTTAAACTGCGGCATGGTATCTCAGTGAGCTAGCACTATACATCGGCATCAGTCCAGACTAGTACAAGCAGCCGCACAAACGCATACACGTACATGCATGTCGCTATATAAGTGCAATAATCTTGGACGCGGCGTTAAACCCCATTTCACCTCACACCACCTTGTAACTCGAGTAGTTAGGCCAGGTCTCGTTGGATTGCGTCATGCACTGTTTAACTTATGCGCATTGTCATAGACGTGTAAGCTGGAAATAATTATATTTGTTTTTCCGTGATGGGGGTGTTGTATGGAGACTTGGTGTTTTTGCAGCTCCATCTGCAAAACCAGATATATCTTTTAATTAAAACTATAAACCATGTTTTTGAGTGTATGTTTTGGGATAATTTAGCTTTGAACAGTATTACAATTCATACGATATGTCAAATTGATGTGTAAGGAAAGCTTGAACCCACAAGCATGGGCATGGTGCTGACAAACGAGTACAGATTTCTGCTACGCCTAAGGGACGCAACTCTGTCCAGACTAGAAGCTACTGTGCTATCCGTGCGTTCGTACCTGTTCAGTAATCTGGTATTTGTATGTTTTGTTGTTTAACGCCGCACTCAGCAATATTCCAGCTATATGACGGTGGTCTGTAAATCATGGCGTCAGTAAGAGAAATCATGAATATCGATCTGCGCAGTTGGGATACGATGACATGCACCAACCAAGCACCGAGCCTGGTTACCCGATCCCGTTAATCGCCTCAAACTTGAACATGAGCATGACTAATTCTAACCCGAGAGTACCAGCGTCTGTCCATGAGATTTGTTAATTTGGATTCGGAGTCGTTTTGTTGACACAGCTTCAGTGAACCTTGATTCGTACATTATGCAGTGCACTAGTGTGGTTGATAGTGTCGAATCCGGTTTGTATTTAACCTGGATATTTCCAAATTGGTGAGTGCGTGAGTTAAAACTTAACGTCACATCGGCACTATTTTCAAATTATGTTAGTTAACGAAACAGATACTTTTCAAATGAATAATCGACAGCTGATGTTGATAAAAAGACCAAATAAAACAAACACGCCGAGTTTTTCTTTAAATGACAAAGTTAAAAATTCAAAGATGTATTATGCGTTCTACTTGTCTAATTTGGATTATATGTTTTAAGAAGAACAAAATTACCCAAATGTAACAGTTGGGTTCGGCGGTTTTTGCAAGTCATGCATGTAAAAATGCAGTAAGCATGTAAAAATGTGTTTGTTTGTTTGTTTGTTTAACGCCGAACTCAGCATACTCCAGCTACATGACTGCGTCCTGTAAATACTCGAGTCTGGACCAGACAGTCCAGTGATAGACATCATGAGCAACGATCTACGGAGTTGGGATACGATGACATGGATCAACCAAGTCAGCGAGCCTGACAACCCGATCCCGTTAGTCGCCTCTAATGGCAAGCGTGGGTTGCTGAGGACCTATTCTAACCTGGATATTCACAGGTCGTACAGAATATTTAAGAAAATGCCCATAATGCGTGAAGGTATATATATATATGTGGGATGTCATTATAAACGTTGGACATATCAGTCATGAGACCAAAGTGCGAGTGTCCTGTCAACATTACCAAAATAGCTGACATCACGCATGCTCATCAGCCGGAAGAACTGTGTGGATTCAACATCCGGTCACAACCATTAGTCAGCAGTCGGGTGTTTCCGTCACTGCGAGCATGTCCGGAACATCAAGGTCACGGAATTCCATGTGATAGTCCTCACCACTTCTGTAGTCTATCTTTAGTTCTTTTTGAATCCGCATTTCTGCATACGTACAGACTAGCCTGCCTGTGGTGGACCGAAACAGGCTACGTGTAGGTCCCCCATACCTCTTGTTTTTCGTAGGGGAGATCGGGTAGCCAAGCGGTTAAAGCGTTCGATCGTCACGCCGAAGACATGAGTTCTAATGCCCACATGGGTACAATGTATGAAGCCCATATCTTGTTCTCCCGGTCGTGATATTGATGGGATATTGCTTAAAGGGACGTAAAACCATACTCACTCACTCCCTGCTTGCCGTAAGAGGGGACAACATGAGGATTGGGTGGGTACAATGTATGACGTGACGTGACGTGACGTAATTGTACCATCCGTACACCGACACGGTGAGTTATTGCTTGACTCTCAACCGCGTGTTTTCATGAAAAGAGTCGAATATTTACAGGCATCAATGAAAGAGTTCGAATATTGCCAACAACGGCGTAAAACAAGAGGCACCCAGGTGTATAAATCTTGGGAGCTCGCTGTGAGGCAAAACAAAAGTCATCAAAAATAGTTTATTCGTAGAAAATGAAAAATGGGTTTCAAAAGGTCATTATTAAGAGGTGTGTGTATAACTGATGAAAGAATACATTTCAACATGACGGCTATGTACATGACGGCTATGTACATGATGGCTATGTACATGATGGATATGAGGACACAATGTATCATGCGACAAAATGGGATGAAAAGATCAATGTCCAAGTAATGAGATGTACGTTGGAAGCCTTAAAGGCACACGGCCAAAGTTAACAGTTTCAGTTCAACAGACAGGGCTGTACATAATATTCCAATGGCGTTTATCACAGCAATGCCCGATGATGCCATGCAGACAGCATAGATAGGACAGTCCAAAGAATCTCTGCGACCCGTTAAACCAGACCTTCCTGCTGCCAGGGAAATTGACAGGGTAACACATGTCCGGATAAACGAAATATTCCTCAATATATAAACTTCCGGACAAGAGAAAGTTTACATCCACGTTTGAAGTTGGACAAAAAATAAACAAAAAAGAAGTAATTCGATGGGGATGCATTAGATACGGGTATCTTAGCTGTGTTTTGGACCTTACAGTGTTGCGGCGACTGCGTTCAAATGAATACTTTCTTTTGCCTGGCAGTTTATACATTCGTTCCCATCAAAAGCGTCCAGAATAAGGATTTTCCAGATTAACACGGGTCAGAACTAACAAGGTTCCACTGTATATGATGAAGTGGGACCTTCGAGGCCTGGCAGTTTATACATTCGTTCCCACCAAAAGCGTCCAGAATAAGGGTTTTCCAGATTAACACGGGTCCGGACTAAGAAGGTTCCACTGTATATGATGAAGTGGGACCTTCGAGGCCTGGCAGTTTATACATTCGTTCCAACCAAAAGCGTCCAGAATAAGGGTTTTCCAGATTAACACGGGTCCGGACTAAGAAGGTTCCACTGTACATGATGAAGTGGGACCTTCGAGGCTAATGAGAATAGACATACATATAGACCATATTATACGCATTGCAATGTTCATCTAAACATGTACCAGAGGTGATATAGAGGTTATATTATGATTTCTCGTTAGGTGGTGAAGCTTGATCATTCATTTCTACTTTTTAAAAGAATGTTTGCATTGTTATACAGTGATGTTAACACAATGACCTTCCCCTTGATGATAAGTGGTGAGTGTCAGCTCAGTACAATATAATGCTTTTGTTCAAATTGTTTGTGTAACACGGATACATAAACGTTGCACGCTGTCTGTTACCGACGCTTGTGACGTAGGTGACAGCGACGCAAAAGAAATCTACTAACTCACTCACTCACTCACTCACTCACTCACTCGCCTGGTTGGTTGAAACTTCAATCCCAATAATGGATAAACAAAGTCAGTTCGAGCAGCTTCATCTAACAGCAATTTGACCCTAATTATTTAGGAATATCATCTTCAAGGAAGCGAGATACAACCAACAAGCTCATACGGTGCACATACCGTACCTGAAGCCCTGTATCTGGACACTCCAGTATATCAAGGGACTTACGTCTGTCGGTAACCGATAAGAGTCAGACAGGTATAAATGGTTGGGGTGACAGGGCTGTAAATTACTCACAAAACAAATATTAACATTCAATTTGCTACCTCTACGCAGCTTATGAGTATTTGTCGAATACTCCACGGAGGATATTGTTGTTTGTTTGGTGTTAAACACCGCACTCAGCAATATTCCAGCTACATGACGACGGTCTGTATATAATCATGTCTGGAATAGACAACCCAGTGAAGGACATTATGACCATCGATCTAGGGAGTTTGGATACGATGACATGCATCAACCATGTCTGCGAGCCTGACCACCCGATCCCGTTAGTCGCTTCTTACGAGAAACATAGTTGCCTCTTAAAGCAAGTATTGGTTGCTGAAGACCTATTCTAAACCAGGATCTTCACGGGTCTGAGGTCATTGTAACTGTAGTCGTATAATTCGCAGGTGGGAGTCAATATTCCAGTTGTATCAGGTCAGATGTAAATTATCGAATCTGGACCAGGCAAGCCAGTGGTTGATAACCTGAGCAAACTTATAGAACCACGCCGTTTCGGAATGAAAACATACAATCGTGTTGTGGTCACGTTGAACTTCAGAGATCGGCACTTACGACATGCATGGGTCATGATGACCAGTTATGCTTCTAAGTTCCTCGGGGGTCACATTTCATCTGCAGATATTGACATGTCAGTTATTTTATGAAGCACAACACTCTGCAAACAATATGTTACATTTGCGGACTGCAACACAGCTGTGGAAACATCCGCATAACATCAGACACCAGTCGATCATGACCATTCTCTTGCATCCCTTATCTGGTTAGTAAGTTGCCGATTGGACAATACAGTCAATGATATGTCACGTAAACAGGAACCCATTACACCCGTCCATGCCGTTCACGGCGCATACGGCGGGGGAGGATCAGGCTGTGTCGACCTTGAATATGCAGGAGGGGAAGGAAACATGTTTTCAGCTGAAATAATAAACACATTTCCAGAGCATGCGTGATCGAAGTACGCAGCGGGATTTCGAGTCGATGAAATGTCTCCAGAGTTGAAATTTTGCCCACTTCCGGTTACAACCGGAAATGCGTCACTTTGCACATCCTGTTGGTATACGTGACTTGTGGGGGGTGATCCCGCTGGGTAACGTGGGGCAGGGGGAGGGGGGCGGTTTCTCCAGTCTCTTCGGGTCCATTTACCATCCCTCCACTGGCCGCATCGTCTTAGCATCGCCCAAAACATACAGCCTAACACAAAGATGGTCACTAGGATGGCCGTGGAAACCCCTCCAAAATAACCGTCGACCATTCTGAAAAATAACGGTGTTTTGTTTATATTTAATTTATTTTAAAAACGTGTAAAGCGTATCAAAACATTCCTTTTATGATATAATTACCATGTTTATCTATCACAACGTTAAAATGAATACCGATATAAGTTTGATATTTTTAAACTCCATCATATTTGAACAATGCATTTATAGCGTTTTAGATTACCAATGTTTTGCAGACTAACTACGCAATGTTTTTCTTTCCCAAAATACCTACGATGTAATATTATATAATAATCGAAATTAAACCGTTAAACATCTTTTGAAGCCGCAAATATTGAACCCTAGGGGCAACTGTCCAATTTACAGAGTCATCAATGACGTAATGTCGTATCAGCCTGTCGCCAGGTCACCCTACAGGGGGCTGTCCAACAAAGCGATCTTACCTGTACGGCGGCCGTAATCCCCATACTCTAAAATAGATTGCGGTGGTCTAAGGCTAACTACGCTTTGAGGAACGCGGCCCGGGCGCGACCCAGTGTCAAGCCTATATTATATCATATTGCGTTAAAGAGATTTCTCCACTGAAGACTGGCAAGAGGTCACGATTATCTGTTTGGAGTATACTCTGTGTTTGCGACGAACTTCATGGGTTGACTTGAACTAAAATCTGGTTGCACATCCATTTATGATGCGACTCTAATGCGAGTGTGACTGAGTGAGTTTACGCCGCTTTTAGCAATATTTCAGCAATATCACGGCGGGGGACACCAGAAATGGGCTTCACACATTGTACCCATGTCAGGAATCGAACCCGGGCCTTCGGCGTGATTAGCGAACGTTTTAACCACTAGGCTACCCGACTGCTCCTTACATAAGGACACAGCAATGTATTCATTTACATACACGTATAATATATGCATGGACTAATTATTTCGTATTAGTACTACAGAATATGGTAAGAATAACAAATTCAAAAATTTAACTTTAAATTACTGAAACAAATATTGATAATTCAAATTCAATTATTATTATAATCTCAATAATGGGGGGGGGGGGGGGGGGGGGTTATATCGTAATTTTGCTCCACGACTTAGTGATGATGTCAAATAGCAACTGAAGTCTGCTTTCGAACCTGATATTTTTTCATTCTACCAGTCAATTGCTCGATATATTCAAATATTATCTAAATATCTACATCTGCCAATACCTTCGCTACCGTCACACCATGTTCCCATTTAAATGCTGACCCAAAATACCTAAATGTAAATCACACTCGAAATCTCCTGACACCACTTTGTTTGAGCTCCGGGCCACCCTGATATCACATCGTATACCCATAAATATGGCACTCGACACACGGTGTCAAGACTGGTATGCAACTTGAAGCCAAGTATGCAGATGCAAGCAAGGGAAACCAAACACCGCGTGATTATGCATATATAAGACCTGTGCAATGCACAAACATGCACTGTTGATTATACACTACACAAACATGTTTACAACGAGAGAGATGTTTTGTTTATTTAACTCACCTGTCTCACCTTTGTCTATTTGACTCATCTATAGTACATATATATAAAAACAGGTAATTTGAGATGATAAAACACATCAAAATTACAATAAAATACTGAAATGATAAAAAAAACACCCGGAGGTTATTTGAGGCATTAAAGTCTTTTAGAGAATGCGTTAGAGAGAGAGAGAGAGAGAGAGAGAGAGAGAGAGAGAGAGAGAGAGAGAGAGAGAGAGAGAGAGAGGCGCAAACAGACAAATAGACATAAATAAATTCAAAATAGGTAAACGAAAACCGATACTTTTCATATGATAATAGTGTATATATCATGTCGTGACAGATTAAATATAGTCATATGAAAAAGTCGGGAGTTCTTCTACTTCATTTGAGTAGTATACCTAATATTCACGCAATTTTCTTTCAGAAAGACCCTTCTGGTATGAACAATACACCTAGTTCGTCCAAACATCCCCTCCCCGACACCTCGCCATATTCTTACCCAAGCTCACAATCGCCTGGGGGTGTTTACAAATCGATCTTTGACCCCCGGGGAAGTTAAAACTAGCCTTTTTTTCATGCGCTTCAAGTAAACACCTTGTCAAATATTTGAGAATGAAGTGTGGCCTTCGATTTCTGTTAACGACGACGTGACTGTCCCGTTACACAGCAAATATTTTTATCAGGCAACATGTCTCTGCCCAGACTGTCGTTCTGCACTGTTAAGTGCCAATACACGTTACAAACAAGGGCCGCTCCTGTTTACTTTGTACATTCACAGTACAGAAGTCGCGTGGTTGACCATGTAGAACGGATTCCATGTTGAAACCGACGTAAGACACATCACATACACTACAGTTGTGTATATTCAGAACTAAGGACAGTTCCTTTTTAAACAATATCTCAATTCACAAATAACTACTGATATCAACCGGGTCTAACACAGCATTTGCTCCACCGTATACCTTGTTGACGATGTTTTAAATATTACTTACCTGTATACAATCAAGATGAGGAATGAGTGTTGGAATGACCACAATTACCTGTGGGTCACGCGGTTTAAGACAGGTGAACGGTCATCCTTTGTCCACTGGTCTTATCTGGTCACGTAGACGCGTATTTTCTCTGCTGACCAGCGAGACGTTGATGGCCTTCCTAGTTGTTGAACCTGCAGGTCTGGGGTTGTCTCGCACCCTCGGGTCACGTGACATCTTGAAAAGATCCCCTCGGGTGGAACTTATGACGTAGGGGATTTCCTTGTCGCTATAATTAGATATTCCTACCCACCGTTCCACTTTGATAATCCACTTAAAGAAGTCAGGTACGTGACGCTGAGATTTGGTTATATCCCATTAGTTAGACGTCCCAATTGTTAGACATTTTTATTTAGGCAAAGAGGGAATATACCTACAGGTGTAATGGATCAGCCCTAATTAGATTAAAGTACTGCGTAGGGATAGGGGACTCACAGTTTAGGGAGTATATATGTTACAATTTCGTTTAATTAACCTAAATTACATTACTCTCAGCACAGGTTCAATAGGCATGAGATTCACTATGTAAACTATGGAGTAGCTTAATTGTCTTACTGTATGATCAGTTGAAGGAGTTTAGATTATCTACTTATCAAACAAATAAATATGAGATTTGGGTACGTATCATTATCAGTATCGATATGGCTGGTTTAAGGAAAGTAGAGTAAATCACCTCTCGGCGTGGAAGTAAGCAGTTGATATTAGATGGATATATATTTTTTTAAAAACCAGAAACCGCGAGAGGCAAACCTGCACACATTTGAGATGTGTCGTCAAGACGTGCAATGACAAATGTACGACTGTCGGTGATAAATAAACTGTAACAGTTATTAAATGTAAAGTGTACATTACCAAAAACTGTCACAAAGTGTTGTTACAAACTGTATAAAATTTATCAAATGTAAAGTGTCATTAAATGTTAAGTATAACATTAAAGTATCTATTTAAAGCTGCTTTGCTTTGTTTGTCAGATCTTATCTGGACTATTCCACTTTAAAGTCTGAGGTAACAAGCATAAGGATTAGTGTGCACTCAACCGTTTAAAGTAATGTTATAAGCTGTCTAACTATTGGGACGTCTAACTAATGGGAGGACACCTGAGATTTACCTGGATTACGTCATGGGCTGAGACGGCTAAAATGGAATTACAAAATTACAATTAAGCCCTACTACTCGGATTACAAGTGAGGTGTCGGGTATTTCACCACAGGTATTATCCAACTAACATACTGTTCTTTTAATATGCAACGTTACATTGTGTGACGTCATGCGTATCGTCCCTAATGCCCGACTCGGCACGTACTATAACGGCGCGAACAGTCACAACAATGGCACATTTGGTATGAATTAACCAATTGGGAGATTGACTATTTCCCCTTTTTATATTTATATATCAGTGTTGATTTGGTGCCTCGATATTAAGTTTGGCACTGAACTTGTTTAGATACATACATTACGCTAGGAACTATGTAAGCTAATGTTTTCAGTAGCCGATAAGAATGTCGTCGGACCATAGGTTTTCGGACGGCCATGTTTATCGCAATTACTCGCGCTGTGACGGGGAGGGGAGAGGGATTACACAGACATTGTAAATACTCAGATGATGGCTTGTTTATAAGAGTAGGTTGTTTTTTAAAAGTGAATGAGCTGTTTTACAGTTGTTCATGTGATCAGAGAGAAAACTACGACTGTTTCATAAGCGTCGGAAAACCCATAATAATGAGATAATTATTAAGCATGATAGTCGCCGTTAAGCAAGACCCGTGAAGATTCCGGGGTAGAATAGGTCTTCAGCAACCCATGATTGCCCTGGTGACTATGCTTATCGTAAAAAGCGACTAACGGGATTGGGTGGTCAGGCTCGCTGACTTGGTAGATGCATGTCATTGATCATTGATCATTGGATCGATGCTCATAATATTAATCACTGGATTGTCTGGTCCAGACCGCCGTCATATAGCTGGAATATTGCTGAGTGCGGCGTTAAACAACAAACCAAACCAAACCAAAACTTTAAGCAAACTGTGTCGTATATATACTCTTCGACAAAAGAAACGCAAATACCATACATGCTGGCTAATATGTTAGGAATAACTCATATCCACGAGATAATAGATTTATAGGATGCACAAATGAACATACTCGTATGTGCTCATGAACATTTCATATGTGACGTCATAGATCCATGACACGAGATGCACCGTACATTGTATGTCTCGTGCAGGATTAGCGTGTAAAGTATGTAAATCACGTGCAGCTTAAGAATACAGACACTCTGCGGTAACACTTGACTGATTCTTAGTTTTGTCATTAAGTGGCACACGTTGGAAACTTTTTCTTAACGAGGATACTTCTCTCGTTTCTATAGTTCGCGTTTCTTTTGGCGATGAGTATATATTCTCAAACCATGGTCTTCAAAATATATAGCATTACAAGCTTGTAACCCGAGAATTAAAAGCCGCCCCTTGATAGACTCTTGCAAAATTACGATGTTAAGCGCACTTCACAATGTTTGTCTTTTTATTTCTAGATGTACGGAGTTCGTGTGCGAAAATGCCTAGTTGTGGACCTGCAGTGAAGCTTCAACTCGTCTAGTTGTTCAAACGACCCGTGAAGATCCGGGGTAGAATAGGTCTTCAACAACCCATGCTTGCCGTAAATGGCGACTATGCTTGTCGTAAAAGGCGATTAACGGGATCGGGTGGTCAGGATCGCCGACTTGGTTGATGCGTGTCATCGTATCCCAATTGCGTGGATCGATGCTCATGATATTAATCACTGGATTGTCTGGTCCAGACTCATATAGCTGGAATATTTCCTAGCTGAGTGCGGCGTTAAACAACAAACCAACCAACCACCCAAACGATTTTCCGATTGAATTTTTTGACAAAATCATAGTATCTATCTAGCCACAATTGCTTCGCATAGTCGTACTTTACTCTTTGTTCTTCTAGTTTTCATCCAATATATAGACTCATCTAATTTGGATAGCACAACTTGGTGTACGTTAACTAATTATGTTTCCACCAATACCAGTATTGTCACGAAAGGATCGGTATTGAGAAGAGTGATATTTGTCATTTGTTATACAGGGAAACCACGTGGAACACAAGTAATAACTATGATACCCTAAGAACGTTGATATTGGCATCCTTTTAGGTTTTTAGTCCGACATGCAATGAAAACTCCTTAATCCGAACCCCGTTAATTCGACAACCCCACTGTTCACACAATTACGTTAAGGAATCGAACCAGCCCACTGTTTCTTTCTTTGTTGTTTAACGCCGCACTAAGCAATATTCCAGCTATATGACAGCGGTCGGTAAATAATCGAGTCTGGACCAGACAATCCAGTGACTGACATCATGAGCATCGATTTACGCAATGGGATACGCTGACATGCGTATCCCCAACTTGTATTTAAAAATTCCGGAGAGGGCCCCCCCCCCCCCCCCCCCCCCCCCCCCCGCTGGCTATGGTATTTATTCCTAGTTGATGGGAACAGTTACATAACATTTCCGAATCTAATATTTTTTTCTTCCGCGTCGGATATGAAACCCGTCCGGTTCTCACGATAAATTGTGACACTTTCAACATCAAAGCACAGTTCCTTTTGCAGTAGATTGCTCTTTTTCCGAAAAAAGTGCGTCCATTGTTTTATGACGACACCATTGCCCAACGCGGTCAGTGTGGAAATGATGATGATGATCATGATGATAATGATGATGATAGATTGACGCACACACCCATCAACGTCATGAGGAAATCCTGTTTGAGAATACACACAACCGAATGTCACTGGCTGGGTCCCGTGATGAAATAATTTCCTCCTTGCTCTGCACTCATCCCACGTGCTGGGCTGTTTGGACTGATGAAGGTTAACTGAGTACTAACTTTTAAATGTGTTATGTTATTGAGTGAAAAGAATGACTCCTTGTTTTTAACTTTTCACAAAAGGTGTTATCATTTCATAAAATACAATGTGTAAAGCCAAAAGGAATTTCAAGTCAATTTATGTACATTCCAGCAAGTGTTAATGTATGCCAATGTGTGAATTAGACATATAATGTTTATAATTCTTAACATATCAACATATCCAATGCCAATTTATGCACAGCTTGAGGGAGGCGACTTGGTTGATGCATGCCATCGTAGTATAACAGTATTCAAGTGATATCACGGCGTGTCAGCTTAATGTGGGAGGAAAGCCCGAAGTGATGCAGGTCTCAGAACACACGAGCACGGGTATGGTGCTGACAAACCTAGAAACATAATCGGGGCGAACCGGGATTCGAACCCACAATCATAGGTTTCTGGCGTGCCCAAGGGACGCAACTCTGCACAGCGAATCGCGGCGCCTTAGACGACTGGGCCACCCATGCCCCCTCATGTAATCGTATCCCGGTTGTTTAGATTGATACTCATGATGTCAATCACTGGATTGTCTCGTCCAGATTCGATTATTCACAGAGCGCTGTCATATAGCTGGAATATCGCGGCGTTAAACAACAAACAAAGCTTAAGGGTCTTGTCAAGTGAGAGCTTGATCACATGGATACATTTATGTCAGTTTTCCAGCCTCTGTATTGAAAATTGCGTGATGCACGTGCAGATCATGCAGCACGTGCTATTTAGCTGCGCTTTAAGTGAGACAACTGAAGATATTATTCGGATATATACCACTCGCAAAAAAGCTCGTTTCGGCATGTTTTTTCAGTTTTTCGAAGGCAGTACAGTTAATTCCGATTACGACTGTCAAGGTTTTAAGGCATCGTATCTCTGGTTGTTACAGGTAAGACTGAGTGAAATCTACGTCTTGCAGCTCGTATACAGAAATTAGTCCCCAGTACCCCGTGCTTGTCGTAAGGTAACATGCGGTAAGGTAGCCTTGTGGTTAAAGCGTTCGTTCGTCAAGCCGAATGTCCGGGTTCCATTGTCCACATTGATACAATGCGTGAAGACTTTTTCTGGTGTTCCACGCCTTGATATTGCATAAAACCAAACTCAGTCATAAATCGGTCGGCTACAACGTGTGATCTCGCTGATTACGCCGGGGCACGGGTGGCCCAGTCGTCTACGGCGCCGCGATTCGCTGTGCAGAGTTGCGTCCCTTGGGCGCGCCAGAAACCTATGATTGTGGGTTCGAATCCCGGTTCTCCCCGATTATGTTTCTAGGTTTGTCAGCACCATACCCGTACTCGTGGGTTTCCCCGAAGTGGTAAACGTCTGAGACCTGCATCACTTCGGGCTTTCCTCCCACATTAAGCTGACATGCCGTGATATAACTGGAATACTGTTAAAATCGGCGTTAAACCCAACTCACTCACTCACTCGCTGATTGCACCATATAGCTGGTCTTGTGTGGTGTAAAACAATATTCAGTCTGTCTCGCCCTCTCGCGCATTGACCGAAATGAAAGCGAAACTGACAATGTAGTGTCCGACTTGACTTCCCCCTTCAGTGCTGATGACCCCGTGCATTCAACCGAAGACTAAATGATGAGTGGCGGTGTATATGAGTGTCGAGTCACGATTAAGCCATGCTTAGCCATGAGGACCAGGGTCGGATAGTCTAGCTCGCTGACATGGTTGATGCATGTCATCGTATCCCATTGCGTTGATCGATGCTCATGATGTCAGTCACTGGATTGTCTGGTCCAGACACGATTATTCACAGACCGCCGTCATATAGCTGGAATATTGCTGAGTGCGGTGTTAAACAACAAATAAACAAACAAACAAACACTAATAGATATATCATAAATGTGCCATTATTTTTTACGCGCAATGGAATCAGTTAAGCCAGATAATCTAGACTGATTGTTCTCTGCCGTTGACGCTTTATATACACTTTGAATATTACAGTTTACCAATAGCATCCTGTCAGCGGAGTTACGTCCCTTAGCTGTTCATGGATCCGCTGGCTCTGGATTCGAAACCCGAATTCGCATCGATAATGTCAGGACTATATCCGTGCTCGTTGATTTCAAGAAAATTGTAAACCTCGAAAGCTAGACTGATATGTAACTTTGACCTTTCTTTCAATCTTAATCTGGCACTCGGGGATATGAGTGAAGTGGTGTACCAACCGCCTTTGTACTCACTCAACCATCCACGACATATAACACTCATCCAAAGAAAAAGCATAGGTTAGCTGCAGTTTATGCGACGCATAAAGCGTTCATGGTTTTGTTTAAAACATCACTAGTTAAGAGTGAATGAGTATGGGTTTACGCCGCTTTTAGCAATATTCCAGCAATATCACGGCGGGGGACACCAGAACACTAGTTAAGAAATACCTACTGACACGTTTATAGTTTAGCGCTCTCCTCAACGCCCGAGACGTCAGTCGCAGCGCTGAGGTCCATATCTCAAGACTGTCTCCTAGGCCCTAGAGAACAAATTTAGACAGTGAGTGAGTGAGTTTGGTTTAACGCCGCTTTTAGCAATATTCCAGCAATATCACGGCGGGAGACACCAGAATTGTACCCATGTCGGGATTCGAACCCGGATCTTCGGCGTGACGAGCGAACGCTTTAACCACTAGGCTACCCGACCGACCCTAAATTAAGACAGGAATCCTAATCAAGTCTCAAATTATGTGGCAAGTTTAGATTGCCTCAGGTCGAAATTATGCATTATTCTGGGCTCCATTTGGATTCTGTTATATATTTTGTAGGTATATATTTTTAAATAAGATAACTTGATTTCTGGGATTAAAATGATGTAAGTGTATGGGACACAAGTCACCGACTTTAACCACGTGGGCCATGATCACGATGCGGTATGCGCGGCGACGCTAACCCGTGAACCGAGGCTCGCTGGCCCTCTCGTCTGACCTCGGTTATTCAACCCTCCGAAACAATGGGCAAAACGTATCCTAGTGGTATAAACGAAGAGAGCCAGTGTTTGACATGTTCAGACAACTTGACTGTGAGGAAAACACTAGTCCTGTGGCACAAGTTTACAACGCCTTGTGGAAGTAACTTACTTCCTATCTCCTGCTAGCTCATTGTTGATTCAGAGGAAAACTCGAGCGGGTTCATATTTCATTTCTCCCAGCGATAGGGAAGAAAGTCGCACCAGCAATTATAATCTCTCGTCGATGTTAAGATATATATCATTCATATGACAGATGAGATGTCACTTTGACCGCGGACGTGAGAGAAGAAAACGTACATGTATTATTTTGTGAGGTGAAGTGAAATGGGGTTTTGCGTAGCGTTCAAGAACATTACACTATATATATGGACGTGGCGTGCATGAACGCGTGTGTGTGGCTGCTTGTACTAGTCCCGAGTAATGATGGTTTCATAGTGCACTGTTTCTTTGTTTGTTTGGAGCACGGGTGGCCCAGTGGTCTAAGGCGCCGCGATTCGCTAAGCAGAGTTGCGTCCCTTGGGCACGCCAGAAACATATGATTATGGGGTTCGAATCCCGGTTCGCCCCGATTATGTTTCTAGGTTTGTCAGCACCATACCCGTGCTCGTGGGTTTCACCGAAGTGGTAAACGTCTGAGACCTGCATCACTTCGGACTTTCCTCCCACATTAAGCTGACACGCCGGGATATAACTGAAATACTGTTAAAAGCGGCGATAAGCCCAACTCACTCACTCACTCACTCTTTGTTTGTTTGTTTGTTGTTTAACGCCGCATTCGGCAATATTCAAGCGATATGACGGCGGTCAGTAAATAATCGAGTATGAAACAGACAAGCCAGTGATTGACATTATGAGCATCGATCTACAGAGTTTGGATTCCATGACATGCATCAACCAAGTCAGCGAGCCTGACCACCCGATCATGTTAGTTACCTCTTACGATAAGCATTGTCGCCTTTTACTATTCTACCCCGGATCTTCACGGGTCTGCTAGACCGCTGAGAAACCATGCCGCACTTTAACATGAATACCCCACACTGTACTTACTCCGACCAGTCCTTATTTTATTCCTTAATGCCGAGTGCCAGGCAGGGTAAGAACAAGTACCATCGTTTAACGTCATTTGGTATGACGGGGCCGGTGATCGAAGTTCCTTTCTTTTGAGAGACGTTCTATCCCCTTGACCACGCAAGCGGTCTATAGCGGCGTAAAAACTATATATGTTGTTGCATTTCTTAACCCGCAGCAGTTATTTTGATTCAATACCTTCCGTAAAAATAATAAATTGCATATATTGATAAAAGACCATGCTTCAGAATGAGAATTGAGTGATTTAGGACGTTGCGGTGAAAATGTCACGGTATTCTGTCTTGGCTCAATTCGTCTTGCCAAATTGGTGAAACCCATGAGCACAGGGATGGTGCTGACGAAACTAGACACATACTGTAATCAGGGTTAATCAGGGATTTGTACCCACCATCATAGGTTTCTGGCACGCCAAGGGGACGCAACTCCGCGCAGCGAATTGCGGCGCGTTAGACGACTCGGCCCCCTGTAAACCCTCATAGTTATGAAATAATGTCCTTTGTAGATGGTCCCAACTGTCGCCGGAATACAGGATTTGCGGATTAACGGGGTTCACTGTAGATTAAACTTGGCGTTTTCAACAGTTCATGCATAGATTGTGAATAATAAACAATGTACTGCAGTTTACAATCGAAAGACATCAGGTGTCTTTTTAAAAAAAAACCTGCATAATGGTGTTCTGAGGTTACCGTGCAGCTGAAACATAAAATGGAAATGCTTTTGCTCGCTGATTTGGTTGATGCATGTCATCGTACCCCAATAGCGTGGATCGATGCACATGATGTCAAGCATTGGATTGTCTGGCCGTCAAGATAGCTGGAATATTATTGAGTGCAGCGTTAAACAACATAAATACATGAACGAACGGTAACAGACCATCTAAAAATACAGATAATGTTTATTCATGTTTTTCAGTACAGAAGAATGTTTGTTTTATTTGTCTACTTCATCGTTATTTGCAGCTGAGTAAGTTGGGGACTGACTTGTGTCAGAGTTATCTCCCTTCTGTAACTTCTTTTGTATGGTTTTGACTATTGCTAACTTCAGCAATTCCCTTTTGAATCGCTCGTTACAATATCCATAAATATATGGGTTTAACACAGGACTGAACATGAAGGATTTCAAACTAAAATGGAAGAACACCTCCCCAGTCTCCGTTAGATATGAGTCAATGTCTTTGATGAGAAATCTACAGATGGCGACTATGATGTAGGGGAGACAACTGGTGAGGAACACGGATGTAATAGCCACCATGATTAAAGTAGTTCGTCTACGACTGTATTCCTTCGCCTTTTGTGCCCTTTCGCCAAAAAAAGAAGTCGTCCTTTTAAGGGAATCACATGGGAACTCCAGTGCTTCTAAGGTATTGTTTAGGGCTGCGTTTACCGTATCCCTGCTCAGTGCTGACATCGAAGAAAACCGTTTAGTTCTAATTTTTCTTCCTTTCCAAATCTGAATTCCAACAAAGGCATACAAAACACACAAAGAGATAAACGTTCCGAAAAACAAGAAAATAAGTAACGAATAAAATAGCACGGGAAATATGGAGCCTTTATAACTGTCACTTATTGAACATTCTGTTCCGTTCAAACCACCTTGGAGGGCGACAGTCTTTGATCCAAATAACACAACAGACGGGGTTGATATTACCGTAGCTACTACAAAAATGACGCCACATGTCTTCCATGCCTGGCTTGCCGACATATGTGATTTCTTATATTTACAAATGAGACGATATCTCTCTGTCGCGATGGCAATGAGCAAGAAACCGGAAGAACTTGTGCTTAAAGTTCTTGCAAAACGAAGGAGTTTGCATAGTCCAGGGATGGGGAATTCGTGAGGGTAACGAAGCTCCACAATGTCTAGAGGGGAACAAGCAACGCAGCTGAACAGATCGAACATGGCCAGCGTTAGTATGAAGGAGTTGATGGCATTTTTAGGCATTCTTTTCCAAATGACGGTAATGACAGCGGTGTTTCCAACTATTCCGAGTAACATCAAGATGGCGGCCAGTATCGATACCGGAAGTAGAAGGAGAGCCTTGCCGTTGCTAACTTCCGTCAGGTTGTATATACGATCATTGTCCATGGTTGTACGTCCAAACCCTTCCTCTGAAAGGTGGGTGGCTCCTTTGTTTTGACCTGAAACACATGTTTTAGATCTGGGGCATTAGTCGTATACATTCAAGTGAAAAAGCAATCCTGTCGAGTAATGCATAATCTTAAACCCTGACTACACTTGGATGGACCTGCATGATGGATGATTCAGGGACAGAATAGACCCCAGTATGACACGAGAGACCCCCTCCGTGGTCTAGTGGTAGAGCGTCTGCCCGGAGAGCGGAAGGTCCGGGGTTCGATCCCCGGCCGCGTCATACCAAAAGACGTTAAAAGATGGTACTTGTTGTTACCCTGTCTGGCGCTCGGCATTAAGGGGCTAAAACAAGGACTGGTCGGCTGGGAGTCAGTATTCTGTGTCTGAGTGGGGTATTCATGTTAAACTGCGGCATGGTATCTCAGTGGGCTAGCACTATAAATCGGCATCAGTCCGGACTAGTACAAGCAACCACACACACACACGTGCATGCACGTCGCTATGTAAGTGCAATAATCTTGGGCGCGACGTTAAACCCAATTTCACCTCACCTTGACACGAGAGATTGCTAATGAATACGTGATGGTTACAATGAGACCTGGCTGCCTCCGACGGCGTTGATTATGATCATGCAATCAACCATTAGTTTTCCTGGTCCAGGCTTAATTGTTTTCACATACTTGCATACTGATGTAAATCACTACTATTTAGACCAACAGATTAGAGAATTAAAAGTGCGCCTTGCTTTTGTACAGCTCTCTTTAATATACAATTTGAAAGAAAGATTACTTTGAGGAACAACACCCGATCCCGACAAGTATACGTGTACCCCGTCTATGTACAAAGGCACGCACACAGTGTACATGACATCGTATTTCCCGAGGGACCAGTTGACGAAAAATGCACCAGACAATCAAGTGATTGACGCACTTGGGATTCGTTGCCGAAGACCAATTATAACCGGGGTCTTCACGGGGTAGTCCTATATGTACCACAATATGGAGCCTTATTATAATATCCAACTGTTTGACCAATTAGAAACTGGTAATGAATATTTTTCACCCTTTTGGGGGGGCTTTTACAGTGGAATCTGTTTCGGCCGACGATCGAGGCTGACTATTTGGTGGTGTTGATGTCGTATGGTTAGATCATGAAGACACTGAACACATGTCAGAAACTATGCTATGTTTTGAAGTGGAGAATGGCTGCTGTTGTCATTGCAACCGGATAACGCTGATGTAGAATCAAACATCATTGTATCATTACAAAGTGGCGGAAATACAATATTATATACATATTATTTGAGATTAAGGAAACGGCACTTGTTAAAACAAAACAAACAACGATTGTTGGAGTGTGTATACTTGAAAAAAACAATTCTATAACCATAAGTCTTGGTTAAAGAAGACATTCGTTTGATACTGACTGAAATGATCTGTTGAGATTTGTACTTCCTGATACTGATAAACGTTCTCCCACGGTCATTTGATATTCCAGAAAATGCAGGGAATTATAATTTGTCTAGGGTTTCTATTTTCTGAAAAATAACGTGCGCCCATTGTTTTACTCTTCCTATCCGCAAAGGAAATTGCATATTTTGAAACGCTGACTGAGAAAAACATTACGTCTTAAACAAAAATCCCAACTATAAGAGAGCATTACTGTCCAGTACGTATCATAAAGGGTCGATACTGTCAAGAACGTATTATAAAGTGGCAATACTGTTAAATACGTATTATAAAGGGGCGTTACTGTTTAATACGTTTCACAAAGGGGCGTTAGTGTCAAGTACGTATCATAAAGGTGCATTACTGTTCAGTACGATTCATAAAGGAGCATTACTGTTTAGTACGTTTCATAAAGGGGCGTTACTGTTTAATACGTATCACAAAGGGGCGTAAGTGTCAAGTACGTATCATAAAGGGGCCTTACTGTTAACTACGTATTATAAAGGGGCATTACTGTGAAATACGTATTATAATGGGACATTACTGTTAGATACGTATTATTGGTGAGGTGAAGTGAAATGGGGTTTAACGTCTTTATATTTTGCTTACAGTAGAAATGTCTCTTTAACAAGCCATAGTTCAATGATCTCGCTTCGATATCTCGTGTATCGCCCACACAGTGAGATAACGATCTCAGTCACTCTACGATCGGATATATTCAGGCCACCACACAGTGGCCTCCAGTGACATATATTCATCTGTGTGGCGGCTAAGGATGTATCACACTTGTGAACAATCGTATGCAAGATGGACTTTAAATTTAAACGTGGTCCTGCCCTGAATATGTATATCCTCGCAGTATTAACAACCTTCCAACCATTCAGTCAGCTGTTACTACATACAGTAAACTACGGTTATAACGAACCCAAATGGACCACTAATTTTAGTTCGTTATAGCCGTAGTTCGTTATAGGCATATATACAGCATAATTACAGCAAATTTTAGGGACAAAAAGTAAGTTCGTTACATCCGTCAGTTCGTTATAAGCGTGTTCGTTATAACCGTAGTTTACTGTATTTCTTTCATGGAAGTTGGTTCGCGTGTGAACGAAGCTACGGTAGCGATTATATTCACTAAAATTTCACTCTGATTGGGGTTATTGGACATGAATTTACATAAGATCGATTAGATTAAAATAATTTGAAATTGTGATATTACATATTTCTTCTTCTTAGTCTTAGTTATTAGGTTTAGTTGGAGTGCTGTAAGTACAATTACCATAGTAAAACATCACATAATGCATCCCTATTAAAGTTCTACATTGGACCACGGGAACTATCTCTGCAAAATGAATACACTTTTTATTTTTTACCCCATGAAATGGATAGAAATAAAGCTTGTAAGAATCAACATGTTGGTATAATTCTATAATAAATGGACTTAATACACCTAGCATTGTTCGAGAACACACCAGTGTCCTACTGAAGATTCATATTCGAGTAATTCATAACAGCTACAAAGTCTCAATCATCCTTGTACACAGTTAGCTACTGACTCCCTTAAGAGATCAGTGTAACTTTAATATATATGCCTTCACATATATTATTATTATCATATGCATATTTATATGTATATTTGTTTTATAGCATCATTTATGTCAAAAAGGCCATATATTACATATTTTAACAATGATATAACAGATAATTTCAGATAATGAATGACACTTAAATAAAACATCTCCTTCTACAATAACAGCACAACCAAATGCACCCCGGAACCCCCCCAACACCCCCCCCCCCCCCCCCCCCCCACACACACACACACACACACACACACACACACCCATCCACCCCTTCTGACACTTCCTTGTCACCTTGTGTGGAATAAACAAACACTGTGGTTTTAGTTCCCGCCAAAACGCTCCTTGATGAGGTGATACTTGATGTAAAATACATCTAGGATTATGAAACTGACCTAAAACAAAACGTATGATTAACACCTTGAGACAGAGCTTAACGAATTCTTTTTTGCTCACGTCTTTTCAAAGTGTGTAGTTGTGTCATCTTTGAAAGGACTCGTACTCTTCCTCGTTGTACTATTGCTATTTCAGGCACGGTGTAAAATGAAATCCGTTAAAGTTCAAATCAGAATTCAAATTCTGACCAAGGAAAGATCGCATGCCATGAAATAGACATGTAGAACCGGACACCAAAGGTGATGGTTTGTTTGCCGTTAGCAGGTTACATATTTCTGAGACTTCTCTAAAGTCTTAATCCTGCCGCAGAATTTCAAACATTGCGAGTTTTCGTTATAGTTCTGCAATGCAAGTCAGTCTTTATACGAGATAACGTTAAACCATACGTCTGGCATGGTAATTATAGGATTCACATTTGATAACGGATTATTGAAAAATAATACATATCAGTCTATATGCTCCACAAACAATAAAGTGATACAATGTTAAACCAGTTATCCACATGTATCACTACGTTCATTTAAACCTCTGCGTATTGCATTTCTGGTTAGGATGACCCAACATAATAGTTAGCGATGAGGAATTACGAAATAAGAGCACTATACTGAGTGTACGTTCCGCCTCTATGTGATTAACAGCTTCTTAGATACACCCTTTTTTTAAAAAATACGATGTCATATTAATAACTGATGAGGAGAATAAGATTCACTTTCCTTTAAATCTAGTAAAATATATGAATATTAAAACTAATTACTAACAGTAGCTTCGTTTATAAGATGGTGTAACCGTTTTTTACTCACGCTTAGCGGTGTCAAATATGTGGCTGTTCAACAGCTCGCTAAAACTCTTTATGTCTCTCTAACACTGCTGCTTTGTTAGGCCTTGTGTTCACTAACAGGAAGGATAGAGTATTCGTGCATGCGCAGATTGTGACCTTTCACGTGCGCAGACTGTGACCTTATACGTGCGACCCGTTTCGATAACTAGGAAGTAATTTATGGGTTTCAAAATTGTATTGAAATTTAGACTTAATTTTGTGCTCATATTATCGTAAACTCGCCCGTCTGCACGTACCGCTGATACGGCTGAGGAAGTAGAAGCCCGATAAGTGTTTGATCTAATTGTTAGAGTACTATCTGTCTATGTCAATGCAAGTTGTTCCCATAAAGACCCGTGAAGATCCGGGGTAGAATAGGTCTTCTGCAACACATGCTTGTCGTAAAAGACGACTAACGGGATCGGGTGGTCAGACTCGCTGACTTGGTTGATGCATGTCATCGATCCCAATTGCGTGGATCGGTGCTCGTGATATCAATCACTGGATTGTCTGGTCCAAACTCGATTATTTACAGACCGCTGTCATATAGCTGGAATATTGCTTAGTGCGGCGTTAAACAACAAACTAACCAACCAACCTTCCCATAAAATATTTCTGTGTGTTTTCTATCTCAATAATGACATCAGGAGTAATATCTATTCCATCATTTAGAGTGAGTGAGTTGGGTTTAACCGCACGTTGAACAGTATTCCAGTCATATCTCGGCGTGTCAGCTTAATGTGGGAGGAAAGTGATGCAGTGATACCTACGAGCACAGGTATGGTGCTAACAAACTAAGAAACATAATCGGGGCAAACCGGGATTGGAACCCAAATCATTGGTTCCTGATGTGCAAAAGGGACACAACTCCGCAAAGCGAATTGCGACGCCACCCTTGCCCATTAGCATTTAGATAACAAGTGGACAAATGAACATTGCATTAATTTATATAAATCATCTTGACACGGGAGGAAAATCGAAACTGTTTTTAAAATAATCCGAATATGAAATTCAAACGGTGCTTGTATCCATCCGTTGTGAAACTAAGTGTAGTGATTTTGGCCCTGTCAATTGGCGTAGAGGTCATGGTAGCGGCCTCGTTCCAGGGTTATCAAATTAGATGTTAACGTTTCTCGTTGGACTTGAGAACCAGAATGATGGTTTGGTTTATATAATTCTAAAACTCAAGCTGTGTAAAGTTACTTATACTTGGCGCTGAAAAGAGAACGCGTAAATGTATATCATTTTATATGTGTACTGATTATTTTAAAACGGTTGAGAAAAACACGCATCAATGTCCAATAGACGGTGGGCGGGGGCTGGGTGGGTTGGGGGGCTTAACCGCTGCACGTGTAGGTGCTTTTGTAAAATCTGCCTTTTTTTTCTTTTTTCTTTTTTTTCGTTTTTTTTTTTTTTTTTTTTTTTGGGGGGGGGGGTCCTATTAACAAATAATTTCTTATGTAATACTAGTTTTATTCCAGATATGATGGAGAGGAATGTGTTTACGTGGAGCACAAAATCCGGCAATGCTCGTGTGGTAGAGATAAGGACGTTACGAGACAAAGGTCATATGCAATTTGTGTTCCACAAGTTGGTTCATGAATATCACGGAAATACAGGCATGTTGATGTGGACGCGCGGCCACCAAAACCCTTAGTCACAAAGAGGCACAACTGACGTGATTATCTATGGAATATTGTAAGGAACATTTTCGCGATCTCGCATTCTCGCCATCTCGACCTTTGAAAACGAGCTCACTTTGCCAAAAGAGCGAGAATGCGAGATCGCCAGAATTCGTGAGTTTACTAATTTGGCAATAGGTTACAGGTATGGATTGCGAGAATGAGAGATCGCGAGAATGCCCCTTACAGTATTCCATAAGTAGCCGTTAAAACGGGTAAAGGAAATTCAAATTAGGCATCCGGTTGATAGAGAATGACTTCAAAACAGGACCCTGATAATTGAAATTTCTCTGAGAAACTTAACTTGGCTTCTGTAATCAGCTTCGCCATGAGTAATAGTAGTAACATTGGATAATAATAATAATAATGACAAAAAATCACTAGAAAATTTAACCTAAAGTTTTGAACCGGAAAAGTGATGTTTTAAATCTCTAACGTATATGCTATCCCTCGTTTCCGCATTTGGCAGTTGCTGGACAATTGTTTTGTTTGTGTATATATTTCCGGATCGACAGATGGAACTATTAGTTGTAGTGTTGTCTAAAGGATAACATCATTTTCGCCTTGTACAAAGTGAATATACGAGAAACAAGAATTGATCGTATTTAATTCTATGTTTTCACATTCAATCGAAATGTCGAATGGTGTTTCTTTCAACTCTATAGTCTCCGTGTGGGAAATTATTTTCAACGGCAAACTCATCTGATGTCACATTAACGAGAATGTCCCAAATAGTTTCAGATTCAATTTCCTTAACATCGGACGACCATCCCGTTAAAAATTGGAGACATTTAGGCATCTATTTGAAGTGTCCGTAAAATCTTCAAACATCAAGTGGGGGAAAAGACTAGGACGGTGACGCTTAAAAATCACATCAATGTGAGCCTTGTAGTCTGTCTTACAGACCCTGATACAAATATATATCAAATACAGCCCTTGCAAGTCTATACTGTCTGGCAAGTCTAGATCACCGCAGAAGAGAGTCACTGGGCTCCTTTTTATTATATTTTTATTAAGATAATTGAACAACTGTTGTTTTTTTTGTACAACATGTTCATTTCAGAGACTAGATGTTAGTCTCTGACCCTGGTGGCGTGTACTCCGATGCCGTGTCCTCTTATCTCGTGTACTCCGATGCCGTGTACTCCGATGGCGTGTACTCCGATGCCGTGTACTCCGATGGCGTGTACTCCGATGGCGTGTACTCCGATGGCGTGTACTCCGATGCCGTGTACTCCGATGGCGTGTACTCCGATGTCGTATACTCCGATGGCATGTACTCCGATGTCGTGTACTCCGATGGCGTGTAGTCCGATGGCGTGTACTCCGATGCCGTGTACTCCGATGTCGTGTACTCCGATGTCATGTACTCCGATGCCGTGTACTCCGATGTCGTGTACTCCGATGCCGTGTACCCCGATGCCGTGTACTCCGATGGCATGTACTCCGATGTCGTGTACTCCGATGGCGTGTAGTCCGATGGCGTGTACTCCGATGGCGTGTACTCCGATGTCGTGTACTCCGATGCTATGTACTCCGATGGCGTGTACTCCGATGTCGTGTCCTCTTATCTCGTTTACTCCGATGCCGTGTACTCCGATGGCGTGTACTCCGATGTCGTATACTCCGATGGCATGTACTCCGATGTCGTGTACTCCGATGGCGTGTAGTCCAATGCCATGTACTCCGATGCCGTGTACTCCGATGTCGTGTACTCCGATGCCGTGTACCCCGATGCCGTGTACTCCGATGGCATGTACTCCGATGTCGTGTACTCTGATGGCGTGTACTCCGATGGCGTGATCTCCGATGGCGTTTACTCTAATGGTGTGTACTCCGATGGCGTGATCTCCGATGGCGTTTACTCTAATGGTGTGTACTCCGATGGCGTGGTCTCCGATGTCGTTTACTCTAATGGTGTGTACTCCGATGGCGTGATCTCCGATGGCGTTTACTCTAATGGTGTGTACTCCGATGGCGTGATCTCCGATTGCGTTTACTCTAATGGTGTGTACTCCGATGGCGTGATCTCCGATGGCGTTTACTCTAATGGTGTGTACTCCGATGGCGTGATCTCCGATGGCGTTTACTCTAATGGTGTGTACTCCGATGGCGTGATCTCTAATTGTGTGTACTCCGATGGCGTGTCCTCCGATGTCGTATGCTCTGATGGGGTATACTCCGATGCCTTGATGGCGTGTACTCCGATGCCTTGATGGCGTGAACTCCAATGGCTTGATGGCGTGTACTCTGATGGCGTGTCCTCCGATGTCGTGTACTCTACTGTCGTGTACTCCGATGGCGTGTACTCCGATGGCTTGATGGCTTGTCCTCCGATACTGTGTACTCCGATGTCGTGTACTCTACTGTCGTGTACTCCGATGTCGTGTATTCTAGTGTCGTGTACTCCGATGCCTTGATGGCGTGTACTCCGATGGCTTGATGGCGTGTACTCCGATGACTTGATGGCGTGTACCCCGATGCCTTGACGGCGTGTACTCCGGATCCGATGGTTTGATGCCGTGTACTCTGATGGCTTGATTGGGTATACTCCGATGGCGTGTACTCCGATGGCGTGTACTGCCATGGCGTGTTTCATTGCCCGGCAGTTTATATTTTTTAGAAGCCGTTGTGATACATCATGAATACTGGAGACTTCGGCGTTAAGCGGCATTAATTAATTTCCCTTGAATTTCAATTCACGCCAGGAACGGAAAGAAAACAATTTCGTAACTGAAAATCATAACATGGCAACATAACAAATGATAGGCGCGTTATAGTGAGCATACACATATAGTGAGCATACACTTATTTATGACGAGTATAGGTGTAATTGGCCAGATACAGATACAGTCCACTTCCGCACTTTTATGTTAGGTATAATCACCCACCCCTGGATGTATTCAGTCAACAGCCCCTCGAAATTCAGAACGTAATGACTTGATATTTCGTAACCAGTTTTTTCTTTGACTCGTGTTTGTCACAAATAATATCCCCAGGTCAACCTATTGTTCAAGCTCAGCACGACCAACGCCATTGCATTCTTTTAATTCCAATGACGCAAGTCAACCAACGCATTGTGTTGGCTAAATGTACACTATTGCAGATTCACAATGGTCGGTCATTGACGTACCGACACCCTGACCCTAACTCGCAATCAACAGACGTGCTTGTAGTATAGGTCTTCAGTAATCCATGTTTGTCGTAAGAGAAGTCCAGTGATTAACACCACGAGCATCGATCCACGCTATTGGGATCGATGACATGCATCAACCAAGTCAGCGAGTTTGGCCACCCGATCCTCGCCTCTTACGACAAGCATAGTCACCTCTTACAGTAAGCATGGTTGGCTGAAGACCTACTCCACCCCGGATCTTCACGGGTCTTGTGCATAAGAATCGGAATTATTGCTTAGACTGGAAAAGTCAAAACAACGAAATTGGACAAAAAAGTTTACCTAAATTTCAGGTGTAACGATGATAAGACATGGTTCAAATAACAGTTAAGTAGCCAATTCCCTTCCACTGATTTACCCACCTGAACTAGAAATAAGGGACACCAGTGAAACCATCTCATCTTATTCACAGAAAGTATTTGAGACAAGTGGAATTAATATTATGTGGATTCTAAAAAAACTTGACTTTTTACAATCTCACAAAAGAACCAGGTTCAATTCTGTCAAGAAAGTTTTTCAACTTTGTACACAACAATCCTACAAGACAGTTTGCTGATGTGTTGAAGATTAACATATTGGCAACATCGATTGAGACTGTAGAGTGGCGTGGTCCTCACTATTTAATATGTTGTACATACACAAGAAATCTTACGAACAGCTTCTGAAAGGTCGTTTATCTATGTTTATCTATATAAATATGCCCCCAAACGCCGCCGTCAGATTAATGTTGGGGTACACCTCAGGCTGTGAGCTTGTGTCTTCAGTACTCGTGAACGGTATTATCCTGGCTCTGTTCTGGCGATCCGCTCCAACAAATATAGATCTATGCACGTCGTTTTCGCTACCATCTGGAGGTATACTTATTTGAGTCCATTTGCAGAAAAAGACCCACAGGTAGGCTGAAGCTCGTTTACTGATATTGGTGTCATGACAATTATATGACTGTGATGATTATTACCAATGATGATAATAATGCCATTCGCCAAAATGAACACGAAACATCCTCTCTGAACTCTCTAGATTTGTGTTTGTTCCGATTATAAGGTACTGGCAAAATCTGAGAGAACGTTCATCGTTTCAAGTTACGCGTGCCGATGGTTGTGTCATATGGATCGGACATATGTGTCTGATTGATTTACACTTTCATAAGTTTAGTGGCCCTATAAAAACTTTACAACGGAGGTAACCTATTGACAATTAGTAACGTCATAGAACATTATATTTTCATGACGCCACAAACAAGATACGTGACGCCAATGACGTCACATTACAATAAAAGAGACGGCAGCCCGTCTTCAGGGAATTGAGGTCTGCTGTCATGTTACACTGACATGTAGATTTTAACGCGTGTGCATTTGTATGGTATTTCTATCCATTTGAGCTTCAAAACATGTAACATTTGCGTCAGTGTTCATACACAGAACAGGGGCGGTCGGGTAGCCTAGTGGTTAAAGCGTTCGCTCGTCACGCCGAAGACCCGGGTTCGATTCCCGACATGGGTACACTGTGTGAAGCCAATTTATGGTGTCCCCCGCCGTGATATTGCTGGAATATTGCTAAAAGCGGCGTAAAACCATACTCACTCATTCACTCATACACAGAACAAGACCAGTGACAAGCCAGTATGAATAATCAGCGTCTTCCAAGTAGAGTTGTGGAGGCGTTCCCATGCAGATTCTTAGAAAGTGCTAAAGAACAAAACAATGAAAAATGATTTCATACATACTGCGTTATTGTGTTGAACGGCTTTACCTGTCGGTAAGACAAACGACTTGCACAGAGTTTCCCCAATGATTAACGTGTAAGTTCTGGATTTAGGAAAAATGAAGGAGTCATGAATGTTCTCATACAAAAGAATCATCGATTGCTATCTGTTAACAGAGTTCGTTTTCGTAATTTTAAATGTTGGGCAAGCCATCCACGAAATCCACGACCGGAATTGAGCAGTGGCTTTCTTGACTTGGCTCAGCTTCCCACTGACCTGGAAATATATAGGGTAGTTAAAAAACAATTAACATAGTGACATATTTTTGTGACAGATCTACAGTCAAAACATGTTAATTCAAATGCTATTAGGGGTGGTCGGGTAGCCTAATGGTTTAAGCGTTCGCTTGTCACGCCGAAGACCCGGTTGGATTCCCGACATGGGTACAATGTGTGAAGCCAATTTCTGTTGTCCCCTGACGTGATATTGCTGGGAAATTGCTAAAACCGGTGTAAAACCAAACTCACTCACACTCAAACGCTGTGAACTCTGACAAGAGGCAATATACTGCGAGTCTCGTCTCCCACAATACGGTGTAATATGCCCTGGGATATGGCTGATTGTTTCTCACTGCACCCCGACTGTTTGGGGTGGTTCTCTTAATATCAACCACTTGTTTGTTCACATTTGCCAGCTCGTATAGTTGAGTGCGACGGAAAGCAACACTGTTCATAGTCTGATTATTCAGGTCTGCTCAGGTCGATACGTGTGGTGTCGACATTGTCAGAACACGAAGAAACGTAAACGTGTATTTAAAAAGTCGTAGATTTTAAGACCACATGTAGTCTTTTCTTCCAAATCCTTCTTTTTTCAAGTATGTTATGTGCTCTCTGACCCACGCTGTGATGTTGCTGGAATATCGCTAAATGCGGCGTAAAACCTCACTCACTCTTGATTTAGGGCGAGCTTGGACAATTTGCTCCATGGTTTCTGCGAATGACAAGAGTTACTTCCCCTCCCCATATTGATCGACTGCAGTATACATTTATTAACGCATTCGGCGGGAATTAAATTTGTCTCAGCTTTCTTACCTAGGCTACTACCTTGTTACATGGAACCTATTTTTCTTCCTAGCGGATAAAAGTAGCTAAATGTCTGATCCTTATGCGTAATCGATTAAGAACAACATTAAAAAAACGACGCCACGAATAAATGTGATTATAATGCAACAATTCGCGATATTATTCTTGTGTCTTGTTTACTGTTTGTTGTAAGAGGTTTTAAGTGTTTTTTATTCAAGAATTGAAATATATTGAAAGTTGTAAAACTTTCCAGTCGTACTGCGTTAATTCCCCAATTGTTTGGTGATTACAAATATAAGTGCAGAAACGATAATGAGAAGTGATAGCTAGGGTCATTCTTCCTCAATAAACCGTTAGCTAGCGATGAACTGAAAGACATACACGGATTACAGTGCATCATTGGATAGTAAACAGTAATAGTATTCAGATTTTCTCTCACGATTAAATAATATGCATCAAACTTTGTTATTGTTCCTGCTCTTATACCAGTTGTGTTGTATTGTGTATACGAGATTCCACGTGTATATCTTTTTTATCTCTCCTAATTCCATTTTAAAATGGCGTGTTCGTAATGTTTATGATTCAATGGCATTGTATAATTTACTGTAATATTTGTTTCTTAATATACACATTTCGGTAAGACTTTAATAAATTTTCTGTCTGCCTGTCTGTCAGTCTGTCTGTAAATACAGAGTTTTATAACTCAATGTCATTGGGTGAATTATCGTCAATACTTCCTCCAAAATACAAACCCGATAAGCGCGACGATGAAACCATCGTCTCGCAAGGAAAAGGGGAAGCAACTCTGTAATGCTTCTGTGGTCTCTATTTCTCATAATCGTTTATCAAAGGGGAGTATTTCGGGAGGCGCGGCCCCGCAACCCGGTGTGACGTACGTAGGGTATTTATAGCGTCGCTACTGTCTCCCCAAACAAATGGAAACTTGCATGTGAGTGTATTTCTTCTTGACGTAAGCATCTAGGACAGTGTCGAGAGTTTAGTTCCGGGAGTCGCCTATCCCTGTGATAAGCAGGGGTTGATTGACAGATATGAACACGTTTGAGACGGTTTGCGATTGTTGAATGAGAGCTGCGTGGTTCAGAATACAAGGAAATGTGAACTCTACGATAAGGTAAGGACGTGAACTTTGAACTAATCTTGTGTTTATATGAGCTAGAAAACACCGTTCTGTTACAGTTAGAAATAGTCGACATGGAGTGTCCGTGGAAATATATTTATAAGGAAATCAAACGGAAGAACAGATTCATAGAGATTTTTTCATAAGTTGGGATGAGGTATATGTTACCTCGCTACCTCATCCTCATAATAATTCACACTTGTTTACGTAAACGAATGTACAACAGCTGTCGTGGAAAATCCAGTTTTGTCGAGAGGCATCCGAAGGTGTTTGTTTTTTTTTAAATTGACATCATTCATCAAATGTTAATGATGTGAATGATAACATATATCAGTTGAATTTGTGTATTATTTCGACATGTTTTATGATTCGATGACTTACGGGTATTTATATTTCGTTTTTCGTAATTAAATTTTGATGACTGCAACTTTACTGAAAGAGTGAACCGTATGTGTGTCTGTTTGTATAACGTGCCTGGCTGAACAAACGAGTAATGATATTCAGAGTAAACATGTCGACATGAGAGGCTACTGGGCATATCAGCAGACAGAATGTTTAAGTGTATGACGCTAGCTACCCCGGAATGTCAGCCATGTGTACACAAGCATGGCGACGATATTACAGAATACTGCAAACAACCTGTGTGTAGGAAGCCGTGGACGCGTTTGCCTCTCGCGGTTTCTGTTGTAAATATATCCATCTAATATCAACTGCTTACTTCCACGCCGAGAGGCGATGTACTCTACGTTCCTTAAACCAGTCATATCGATACTATTAATGACCCCATGATCATTTTTTATTAAGCTACTCCATAGTTTACATAGTTGATCTCATGCCTATTGAACCTGTGCTGAGTGTAAGGTAATTTAGGTTAACGGAATTGTAACATATATTCTCCCTATAGTCCCCTATCCCTACTCAGTACTTTAATCTAATTAGGACTGATCCATTACACCTGTGGGTATATTCCCTCTTTGCCGAAATAAAAATGTCTAACAATTGGGACGTCTAACTAATGGGATATAACCGTACGCCCAGCTGTTATATACACCTGCGTTTACGTTACATGGGATACCGTGCACCATTCATGCTGCTGTTCGCCTTCAAGCGTGAATCCTGTGTTAGGATGGTCGATACTGTTTACTGTTAGCTATGAAGTAGTGCTATCATTGGTTCATCTACAACTTCGTTGTAAACTGTCGGGACAAAGAAAGTACACACCCATGTTTAATGGTGGTTATAAATGAAAAAATAACAAGAAATGGTTATTCGATGGCGATGTCTTTGATACGGATATTATAGTTGTGTTTTGGGCCTTAATTTCAGACCCGTGAAGATTCGGGGTAGAATAGGTCTTCAGCAGCCCATGCTTGCCGTAAAAGGCGATTATGCTTGACGTAAGAGGCGACTAACGGGACCGGGTGGTCAGGCTTGCTGACTTGGTTCATGCATGTCATCGTATCCAAATTGCGAGGATCGATGCGCATGATGTCAACCACTGGATTGTCTGGTCCAGACTCGATTATTTACAGACCGCCGTTATATAGTTAGAATATTGCTGAGTGCGGCGTTAAACAACAAACAAAAATTTTAATTTCAAGATATATAGTTATATTTGTTATATTATTATGATTTGATTGGATTTTTTCGCTTTGACCGGTTTGAAGTTTTATTTTGCTTAGTTCCTGTGAATATTTATATTAACTTACATGGTTTTAACTTACTTGGAAGTGATTGTGTGTGTCTGAGCTGAAGCCTTCATGTTACTCTTCACTGTCAACTGTGTCGTTCATAGCGGAGCTTGTATTGTTGAAGATGTAATTGCTTTAGCTTGATTCATGGTTTAAAAAAAAAATATTTTGCATTTTGGGAAGTTTTGATATCAGTGGATGTATTTAATTAGGAATTTGTGGTATTATTTCTGTGGATGTGTAAAATCGCGACGACTGAGAATGTACACCTTTTACCGAACAAGATGCACGTGGTTATCAAATGAAAATATAAATGTACAGCTTTATGGAAAAGTGTGTTTTACGGAAAGTGGTGGTGGACTTACCAAAACACATTTAGTCAAGTATGCATTGTAGTTTTTGAAAACATATCACCAAATGATGAAGTTAAATGTTTTTGACGTAATCAGTAAGCTTCAAAAAAGGGGGAGGGGAGTTGCGTCGGAGTTAGGGGAGGGGAGGGTAGGAACGGCACCCCTACATCCACCCTGGTTCCGCCGATGAGGTTCACGTGTTTGGACTTTACTCCCTTGCCTTGGGAAGATGGCGCCACGCCGGGTGCCATATGTGGTAAAGTGCCCTACGCTTCCTACATTTAAATTCATCCTTCCCTAACCGACTTTGATTAACGATGGCGTAAAATAGTTATCAGCTGATATAGTCTGAAATATCTCGGTAATGGCCAGTACGATTTCTAAGTGTCTGCTTGATCTGCAGGCAATACGATGAATGTTCTTGCACTACAGTTTGATGTATGGGTAGTGGGATGTTCTTGTCATATATGCATGCTGGTGCTGGCTATATATTAATTCTATTGGGGCTAGACAGAGAGTTGCGTCCAGGATCCACTGTAAGTATCACGGGGCGTTTGGGTAGCCTAGTGGTTAAAGCGTTCGCTCGTCACGCAGAATGCTCAGGTTTGATTCCCCACATGGGTGCAGTTTCTGAAGCCCATTTCTGGTGTACCCCGCCGTGATATTGCTGGAATACTGCTAAAAGCGGCGTAAAACATTACTCACTCAACGACCTTCATCACGTTTGGTTTCAGTCCCCACAGCGAGGGAGTTGAGGTAGCCCAGTGGTTGAAGCGCTAGCTCTTCACGCCGATGATCCGGGTTCGATTCCCACAGGAACAATATGAAAAGTCCTTCCTCGGTGTCGGCACCATGATATGGCTGTAATATTACTTAAACGGCGTAAAACAATACTCACGCATTGTATGTTTTTGTCTAATTAGAAACTGTACTTAAGGAATATCCCTGTCAAATAATCGCGTAGTAAGAAATATTTTGTTTCAAACTGGACCGGTTGTTTCGGGCAAATGATCAATTCCTCCAATCTTAAATAAAACTATTGCCACTGTCTCAAAATTACACTTTCATTTCCTCCACTGTGGATAATAAGCCTAAGCCCGCTTCAGCAACACGAGCCCAAAGCCAATCTACATCTTTTAGTTGCCTAGCAACGAGATAAATGATGACAGGGAGTACACATTTTTTTAACCGTAATCAACTGAACTGTTACCTGACAACTGTGAACATTTAGCAGTCGTAATCCTGGCATGGTGGTGTTCTACATCCGTCTTGTCCCCGGACGGAAGCTTCACTTCGTGAAACCGCAGCAGGAAACCAGCGAAACAAGTACTGTACTTATCTTACCTTACATGTAACATACTTGACTTGTATTGTTCAGTGACGCTTTGATAAATACTAGTGTACCCCGCTACGGCGATATGAAAATGAAAAAAAATGTACCCAGCCGTTCTGTCAACAGACATTTTGACGATGTCTGTAAGATTGGCAATTCAAGCCCGTTACAGCGAAATTTCGTCGCGTTATATATATTCACATTGAAACTGACTTTAGATGTACGTGTGGCACATAGCCTAAACTTCAACCCATAGTTGTCTTTAGCTCACCTGGCAATATGGCGACAAACAAACGCATGGCATCTCTATCCCCGTTTGTTGTCAAATTATGGTGAATGATAAACATGGGGTGAACACGGCTTGACGTACCCTCTGTGTGGCCGTGTGCCCCTCGTGAAGCCTACAACTTATGATGTTCCACAATACAGATGGGGGCAATCATGGTCTTAGCCCACCTTGCCTAGCTTTTTCTGTTGGGTATGGCAATCGGCAAAACCTTTTATATTTTCACCCAAGACGCACCGGTGTGACTTTGCTGGGAATTCTGGTAGAGAAAAGATCCCCAGTGCTGACTGTTATATTTCAGCCAAATAACGGCACTTTTAGCAGTATTTCAGCCAAATGATGGCGTTTTGAGTAGTATTTCAGCCAATTGACGGCGCTTCTAGCAAAATTTCAGCCAAATGACGGACGGCGCTTTGAGCAATACATCAGCCAATTGACGGACGGCGCTTTGAGCAATACTTCAGCCAATTGACGGACGGCGCTTGTAGCAGTTCTTCAGCCTAATGACGGCGATTGTTGCAGTATTTCTATCGTATCACGGTGGTGGACATTAGGAATGGGATTCAAACACTGTGCCCATGTAGGAAACTGTACCTAGGTATTCGGCCATGTAGACTTCCTTCACAGAGTAATTAGTGAGTGAGTGAGTATGGTTTTACGCCTCTTTTAGCTATATTCCAGCGATATCACGGCGGGGGAAACAAGAAATGGGCTCCACGCATTGTGCCCATGTGAGGAATCGAAGCTTGGCTTCGGCGTGACGAGCGAACGCTTTAACCACTAGACTACCCCACCGCCCCTTGACAGAATAAGCACTTGAAATAAGACCATTAGCACCTCCTGCATGCCTATTCGACATGTTTTATTGTTAATTGTTTGCGTCACTGTATGATGCGAGCAGACTGACTCTAGACTCTTGAAATACTCATTAATATATTTGCCCCGTGAAGATCCGGGGTAGAATAGGTTTTCAGCAACCCATGCTTGCCGTTAAAGGTGACTATTGCTGAGTGCAGCGTTAAATAACAAACGAACAAACATTAACATATTTAAATTTCCGACTCTTATTACAATCAGTGTTGGGTACAAGGGGCATATTCGTTCCCAGAATCTCAATGGGGCACTCGCTAAATGTATTATCATAGAGAACTAGGGGGTTGGCGAGACAAGCCACCCACGTTTGTCACATGAGTGGAGTCATCAACGCGGTATACATGTCCGGCTTTTGTAACTGTGTATGGCTTCTGTATTCACATTCAACGACAGGATGTGACTTTTTCCCGTTCTGGTTTTGGTTTACATTGGCATTTTTACGCACACTCCCTTCTATGGGCTTCACCGCGTCAGGGGCGGTCGGGTAGCCTAGTGGTTAAAGCGTTCGCTCGTCACGCAGAATGCTCAGGTTTAATTCCCCACATGGGTACAGTGTGTAAAGCTCATTTCTGGTGTCCCCCGCCGTGATACTGCTGGAATATTGCTAAAAGCGGCGTAAAACCATACTCACTCACTCACACACCGCGTCACGCTGGACCACAGTGAGTGAGTGAGTTGGGTTTAACGCCGCTTTTAACAGTATTACAGTTATATCACGGCGTGACAGCTTAATGTGGGAGGAAAGCCATAAGTGATGCAGGTCTCAGACGATTACCACTTCGGTGAAACCCACGAGCACGGGTATGGTGCTGACAAACCTAGAAACATAATCGGGACGAACCGGGATTCGAACCCACAATCATAGGTTTCTGGCGTGCCCAAGGGACGCAACTCTGCACAGCGAATCGCGGCGTCTTAGACGACTTAACCCTATGTCACTGGATTGTCTGGTCCAGACTCGATTATTTACAGACCGCCGTCATATAGCTGGAATATTGCTGAGTACGGCGCTAAACAACAACAACAATAATCAAGGCAATAAAAAAAGGCAAAATGACTCGAGGATCCGCTGTACCTCTTGGTATTTGTGGACAGAATAGACCCCACAAGTACCCAGAGCTTGTCAACAGCGTTGTCTAATCTGAGAATCGGTTGGTTAAAGGCAATTCTTCACTGGGCTAGGGACGCAACTCTGCATATCAACTAGTGCACAAATCTCCCAATGTATATTGATCGTGCAATGATGTATTAGAAATCTAATCTTCGGTAAACGTAACACATGGAGATACCGGGTTGGAACATAGCTCCCCAGCAACCGATGCTTTAACTTGGCAACGAAATGGATCGGGTGGTCAGGCACGGCGACTTGACTGCGTGTTATCGTGCCCCGACGATGTGGGGGTTGCTCATGATATCAATCACTGGTCCAGACAATTTACAGGTGGCGACTGTAAACAACAATCAAACAAACAAACAAACTTAAATGTATGATTGTATCGTAATGGCGCCCAGTACAAGTATTGTGTACCCGTGAAGATTCCGGGGTGGAATAGGTCTTCAGCAACCCATGCTTGCCGTAAAAGGTGACTATGCTTGTCGTAAAAGGAGACTAACGGGATCGGGTGGTCAGGCTCGCTGACTTGGTTGATGCATGTCATCGATCCCAATTGCGTGGATCGATGCTCATGATATCAATCACTGGGTTGTCTGGTCCAAACTCGATTATTTACAGACCGCCGTCATATAGCTGGAATATTGCTGAGTGCGGCGTTAAACAACAAATCAACCAACCAACAAGTATTGTGTGTGTAGTCCAGGCCCGTGACTCCTAAATCAACACAAGAACAGAAACCTAGGAACATTGGCATGTGGAATTTACATTTTAAGAAGCTAAACCAATATGAGTCATAACAACCTGGTGGAGTGGTTATCGTGACAGCCGTTTTTACGTAATATAATGAATTAGCTATGGTATGAAAGATCGTTACAGTCGTTGACTTGAATTATGGGAATATCTCTCTACCCGGAAGTCGGAATAATTTTCGATCAAGTCGTGATAACCCTAGTCGAGATTGCTAACACCACTAATATTCGCTTCAGGCGCTTGTTGGGCAACAACGTGAAACTCTGACTAGACTATTAATACAGTAATGTCGCAAGGCGAGTTCTTTAGTTTAAACGTCGCTAGATCAAGGACGTTGCCTCTGTGAAAAGCAATTACTAAATGGCTGCAATATTTCCGATACGATGTACGCTCATACTACCTCTCTTCGGTGTGACAAGTCGATACAAGAATTCTCTAAAAGTCGTTTGATTACAAATAAATATGTCAAGACCGGGTAAGCCTGGCCAAATCATACATTCTCAGGCTCGAGAACTGGCCTATAATGTCATAAATTACATGGAAAAAGTATGTACGAATAAATCTCAAGCATTGTCAAAACCTAGCATAGCCCCATCTTTCCGAGGCAAGGGAGTTAACTGACTTTAAAAGTCCAGTTTCCATCCTTGTCGAACTAGGCTGGAATTACTGGGCTCGATCGTTGCGCCACCAGTGGCTATTACCAATTATGTCCCTTCTAAGCCTCTCCTATGGACCAATCAGATTCCACCTCTCATATCACTTGCGTTTGCTTCACACAAAATGGTGGCGCCCAGTCAGGACGATTTGATCGATAATCAAGATCTATATTGTGATAAAACGGGTCTTACATCGCGAAATGCATCAAATCCCGTGAGCCCCTTGATTAAAAAACATGAAAGGATTTGGAAAATATCTGCTGACAACGAATTGGCGAGGCACATGCTTTGCAAACCCTGCAATCGATCGAAATCTGCACGACAGTTTACGAACCGGATTTTGATTTCGGATCGCGATTTTGATTGGACTATGCATAGACTCGTTAGTCCAGACAAAACGTAACTCCATAATATCAGCCTAGTTCGGCAAGGGTGAAAACTGGACTTTTATAGTCAGTTAACTCCCTTGCCTCGGGAAGATGGCATTGCCCCTGGTCTGTCTGTATCTACGCTAAAGCGCATAACTTGCAGTCACCGTTTTCATAGTTATCGGGCACCTCACACCAGCACGTACTAGTATGTGCCATTGAACTCGCCACAAGAACTCCTTGTAAGCCGAGACAGGACACGCACATATCCGTCGTACTACTTGTCGCAGACCACCCGCTACCCCTTTCTTCACAATGGTACGCGCCAGTGGCCGGACCTCATACATAATCATACGGGGTTAATTGTCAGGCCACAACTCAACTAATCCTGGCTTTGAATACACATTGCCATTTAGAAAGTGGTCAAATGTAACAAATGTTATATTTGGGATAACACTTTCTTAGTACAGATTCTCGTACTTTTTTGGAGTTGAGTCCCATCCGGGATTCGAACCCACACTACAAGAGTGAGGCACCTAATCCCGGATGGGACTCAACCCCCCAAAAAGTACGAGAATCTGTACTTTACTAAGAAAGTGTTATCCCAAATATAACAGTTGTTATAATCCTGGCTTGACAGTATTGCAGTGCTAAACTTTGTTTATTTGTTGTTTAACGCCGCACTCAGCAATATTCCAGCTATATGGCGGCGGTCTGTAAATAATCAAATCAGGACCAGACAATCCAGTGATTGACATCATGAGAATCGATATACGCAATTGGGATACGATGACATGCATCAACCATGTCAGCGAGCCCGACCGCCGGATCCTGTTAGTCGCCTCATACGACATGTATGAGCGCGAGTTGCGGAAGACCTATTCTAACCCGGATCTTCACGGGTATCTTGCGATAAGCACACGTTTAAAAATACCAACATGGCCAA